GGGGGCAGAAAGGGGGGGGGAGGAACACTTGCTTACGGTGGCTGTGTGCGGGGGCACGGGCGGGGCGTAGGAGGATGTGGCCAACTTTATGAAGGAGCAGAACCCGGACACGGTGCTGCGGCAGCTGCGCGAGGACTACTCCAAGTACAAGTTTATGGAGAGCAAGCTGATGCAGAACCGGAGCATGCTCAAGACCAAGATTCCGGACATCAAGAATTGCATCGACATGGTGGCGTATCTGCAGAAGGCGCGGGACGAGGGAACGACTGTCGAGACGCAGTATCCGCTGTCGGACAACGTGTACGCCAACGCGGCCATCGAGAACCCGCAGACGGTGTGCCTCTTCCTTGGCGCGGGCGTGCTGATGGAGTACGAGCTCGACGAGGCGGCAGAACTGCTGGCGCGCAACCTGGAGACCGCGCAGAACTCGCTCGACTCGCTGCAGAACGACATCGGCTTCCTCAAGGACCAGATCACCATCACGGAGGTCAACACGGCCCGGGTGTACAACTTTGACGTCATCCGCCGCCGCAAGGCCGCCGCCGACGGCACCACGCTCGAGGAGAACGTGCAGTAGTTTCTTAAAGGCCAACGCTACCAAGATCGGGGTCGACGTAACGTGTGTTTACAGGCCAGAGCACTCGTCCTCGTCCTCGGTGAGGGCGATGATGAGCATGACCACAAAACCGAGGAGGATGCCAGCGATCTCAATAAGGGTGAGGCGGATGGACGAGGTGTGCATGAGCTGCGGCACGAGGTCGCTGAGGGCGATAAAGAGGAAGGAGCCGGCGGCAAAGGCAAGCAGGTACGGGTTGGCAGACGCGTAATCCTGGCCGATGGCGAGGCCGATGAGGCAGCCGACAAAGGCGGTGGCGGCCGTGGCAAGGTTGAAGAGGAGGGCGGCAATGCGGGAGAAGCCGGCCTTGAACAGCACGCCAAAGTCGCCGAGCTCCTGCGGGAGCTCGTGGAAGATGATGGCGATCATGGTGGCAATGCCGGCCGAGGTCGACGACGAAAAGGTGACGCCGAGGACAAGACCATCGATAATGTTGTGCAGGCCGTCACCGATGAGGTTGAGCCAAGCGTACGGCTTGACCGAGTAGCAAAAGTGGGTGTGGAAGATGGTGCCACGGGTCTGAAGCTTGGCATCCATGGCCGACGCCGAGTACGACGAGTACGAAGCCTCTTCCTGGAGCTCAGCCGACTCCGAGTACTCGTACATGTACTCCTGCTGCGACGAGCCCGAGCCCGACGAGACCGAGTCCGACGAGCCCGACGAAGTGACAAGCGCCGCAGATGCCATCACCTCGCCACTCTCCGAGTCCGAGAGCACCTTGCCATCGTGCGAGTGCGAGTGCTCGCCCTGGCCCGGCTCGCCGTGCGAGTGCTGGTGCCCGCCCATCGAGTGGATGATCTTCTCGACCACAAAGAAGAAAAAGACCGAGGCCGCCGTCGTTCCGACAATGCCGAGATACTTCTTGCCGCTGTCAGCGGGGTGGTTGGCGTGCGCGTGGCCGTCGTCACTGTCGCCAACGTTGAGCGCGTGCGGAAGGAGGTGGAGGACAGCGTCACCGACAAGCGTGCCGACGGCAAAGCCAAGCAGGGCCGAGAGCACCCACCGCTTCTGCACAATCGGAAAGATGACAATGCCGAGGACGCCCATGAGCGAGACCAGCAAGGTCGCGCCGAGCGCGCCGAACCAGGCCTTGGTCTTGCCCGGCTTGCTGCAGCTCGCGTGCGAGTCGGTCGCCGCCGTGGCGCAAAGGCCGGCCTGCTGCAGCGCCAGCAGCGCGGGGTACATCTGCGATGCCTCGGCGGGCGCAATGAGCGTGTCGTTGTTGGTATCGTACTCCTCAATGAGCTCGTCGACCGAGTGGCACTCGTCGAGCGCCAGCGCCCGGGTGTGCGCCTCGAGCGGGCTCGACGCCGCAGCCTGCGACACCCGCACCGCGTGCGCGTTGTCGTGGTCATGGTCATCATGCGCTCCAGCCTTGGCCAGGCCAAGCTTCTCCATCAGCTCGGTCAGCTCCTCCTCGGACCACGAGCCCGAGTTGTCCTCATCGACCGCGTTGAACAGGACCGTGGCCGGGTCAGCGGCCTCGGCCGGCGCAGCGCATAGCACCACCAGAACTGCGGCCACCGCCGCCATCACTGCAGCCCATCGCATGTTAACAGTCATAATCATGGCGATAGTCTTCTGCTAGAGGTTGACAAAAACAGAAGTGCACAAATAAAAGACTGCTCCGCAAACGTCCGAACCGCAAATGTCTCAAACAAGTCGACCGTGCTCCGCTTTGGTCCGCCTCACGAGTGTAAAGTGCAGGGGAAAGGGAGGAAGTGCGCGAGAGGGCAAAAGTCGTCTGGCTCTTGCAACAGCAGCTACTTGAGGCTACCGCGATACAAGTTGGAGAGGGGTGGGGTACCCAATACAGATGAGGCAATGGCTCATGGACTTGTGGCCAAATCGTGCGCCATGTGGCGGAGCTCATGTGGCGGAGCTCATGTGGCGGAGCTCATGTGGCGGAGCTCCAGGTCACGCGCCTCAGACTCTCACGGCCGGCCAATCCCGCTGCACAGTCATCATGCATGCGCTTGGTATGCCTAATGTACAATATGCGCATCTTGGGGTTGACCGACCGCACATCTCGTGGCCATCGTCCTTGAGCCGCATCGTGCAATCGTAGCCACCAGCCAATCCCAGCTCGCGAGCCAGGGCGACACGCTCCCGGCTGACGACGACTTGCTCGAGGCAAACGACTCGGTCCCAACACCGATGGCGACAACTAGGAGCGCCCATACCACCATCATCCCCAACGAGGGTACCCTACCCTCAGTCGAGCGCAGAGGCCAAACCCCATGCCGATGACGGCCCCGCATCAGGAGGCGCCACGCCAGCCGGGGAAGGCAAGGCCTGCCTGAACTCCTCCCCCTCCCCCCCCCCCCTTACACACACAGGCAAACACCTCCCCTCATGCCAACCTCGTTCTCCCTGGTGCCGGCAAGCCAGGCGCTGGCAGCGACGGCACCACGGGCCAGCCAGCCGTCGACGTCGGCGGCGCTGGCCAGCCTGCTCGAGGGAGGCGGTAGTGGCGGCGGCGGCGGCGGCGGCGGTGGTGGTGGTGGTGGCCGGGCGGTGCAGGGCGTTGAGGCCCGCTACTCGCGTGGCGAGGCGCCTGCTCTGGCAAGACCGGGTGCGGGCGCAGGTGCGGATGCGGGTGCGGGCGACAACGATGATGATGATGCCGGTGGGCTGGGCCGGCAGAAGCCGTGGCGACGGACCGAGCTCGCCGCCCTGCACAAGGCCCGCGACATGGCTCCAGACTTTGCCACCTTTCTCGAGCTGGCGTCGGCACTGCTGCCGCGCCGCTCGCGAAGCGAGATCGTGGGCATGTTGCGGTCGCGCCAGTTTGCGACGACACATGCTGCGCTGCGGGCGCGCGCCGCCGAGCGGGCGCGGTTGCAGAACGCTCGCGCGCCTGTCTTGGCGCCGGCAGTGGCGGTGGCGCGCGAGGAGGCCCGCGCTGCCCGCGCTGCCGGGCCGGGCCGCCCGCGCAAGCGCGGCATGGCTCTGGCGCCGGCGGCCGCCCTTGCCGCCGCGCCATCGTCTCTCCTCCGCGCAGACGTCTGGCTCAAGTCGCAGCTGCAGACGCTGGCGTCGGCGGAGCAGCTCTCGGCTGATGACCGCGCCTTTGTCGCTCGCCGGCTCTCCATCCGGGCTCAGATCGATGCTGTTGTGTTTAAGCGCGAACCAACAGGCGGCGCACAGTGCCTCGCCCTGGCGACCCCGGCCGAGATTACGCTCGCCCGCGCCCGCTCGGCTCGCCACGCGGCCCTCGCGCGCACTCGAGCACGCGCCTCCTCCGCCTTCAGCTGATGCAGCACGTCGATTCCTCCTCGGGCTTGAGCGCGACGTCGACAAAGGCCGGCGGCGGCATGTCGAGCTCGGTCGGCGCCGCCACGCTGGCGGCCTCGGCAAGCTCGAGCGTCGACGCTTTGGGCACCGGCTCGTAGTACACGTTGTCGTTGTCGTGGTGGTAGCTCTTTGCCGCCGCCTCGATCGCCTTGACCTCGCTGCTCGCGAGTGGCACCAGTGCGCGGAACCGCGCCGCTGGGTTGCCCCCGCCGAGCACCGACGAGAGCAGGCCCTTGGACGACTTGATTGACGCTAGGAGCTCGACAACGCCTCCCATGGCTTCCGTCGCCATGTCAATGTACGCGCACGCCACCCCATGCTCACCGGCCTCGCTGGCCATCGCGGCCTGGTGCCGCAGTGCTGTCGCGCGCGCCAGCCCGCCGCGCATCGTCAAATACGGCAGAATGGCGCTGTCGCACCCGCTGTTGGTCGCGACATCGGCCGCACGCCCGAAGCGCACCGCCACCGACGCTGCAATGCGAGCGGCCAGCTTGCCGCTCACCTTGCCCTCGAGCGTAGTCGAGAACAGCAGGCACGCCTCTGCCTCGGCCCGTGCCCACTCGATGAGCAACGTCGCACCCGCGGGCGTCGCCTCTAGTGGCAGGTGCTCTGCGTCTGGCGCATCCACAAACGCCGCCACCAGCCTCTCGAGCTCGATGAAGACGCCTGCCGCCGCTCGCAGCGAGGTGTACGCCGCCTTGAGCGCCGCCACCGTCGGCTCGGCCGAGCCGCCGTCGCCTGCAGCCTGCGCCGAGTCGTCCAGCGCTGCGTGCGCCATCGCCCAGTGCTGCATGCCCAGCGACGCCACAATCATCACCAGCTCAAACCGCGCAGACTTGAGCGAGAGCACTGTCGGTTTGGGCCCAGTCGCGCCCGAGCTGGACGATCCGGCGCCGCTGTTGCCGTGGCTCGCCACCGCCACATCCGACGCCGCCACATGCCGCAGACTCGCCGTCGACCACGTAAAGTGGAACTTTTGCACCGCATCCCGTGTCTGCTCGTCAAACGCGTCCGCCAGCGCCACCATGGCCCCAGCCCAGGGGAGGAACGCTTCGTACGCGCCCAAGTTTGTCTCCGAGTGCACGTAGGCACTCTTGATCCCGGCCACCAGCTGCACACCATCATCGCCATCACCATCGCCATCACAACCACCATCACCACCATCCCGTCATCCGCCCGCGACTGCCCGTAAGTATCCCCTTCCCCCCCCCCTCCCCCCCTCCCCCCCCCCCACCATACACACATCGCAGTGTGCCATCGCATGCGCGACTCGCCGAACACCGCTCACGCCCACCACCCACACTCCCACACTCCCTCCCTTCCACACACACGTGGGCATGCGGCGTACCTGGCGGCGCTGCCGAAAGTACTCGGTCAGGTCGGTGGGGTCGGCCACAGCGGCAAGCAGGCGCTTCTTTCCGCGGTCTGGGAGCGGCTCGGTCGTCGGCACGCATAGCCGGAACATGGTGGAAGAGCAGAGTGCGACAAGTGTGCCGGTCAAGGCAGACTCGGCTGACTCGGTCACTGCTCGCTCAGAGATCATGGCATCCAGGGAACGACAGGTCCATCCGAGGGATCGGTCCGATGGCACACACGGGCCAGGACGGCCGCGCCATGCTCGGATCACGAGATGCTGCACCCTACTCTCCCCCGCCCCGCTCTCGCTCTCGCTGTCACTGTCGCTACCGCTACCTGCTCCGCACGCACGCAGGACTGGCTACACTGTTACCTCTGTCGGGATGCTCGGCTGGCGCAGCGGCGCACAGATAGGATCGGTTCAATCTGACGTTGGTTACAACTCGTTGGGGAACTCGACGGCGAGGAAAACGGTGAAGAGGAACCAGAAGTAGATGGCCATAAAGGTCCACAGCAGGCCGAGCGAGATGAGGACCTTGATCCAGTCCGAGCCAGTGGTGCCACAGTACAGAGTGGTCCCGTCCTCAGCTTGCGTCTTGATCACAGGCTTCTTGCACTTGGCCTTCTTCTCTGCAGGCTCGGCCGCATCGGCCGCGCCCTCGGTGCGACCGTACGAGACAGTCTCGCGGAACGAGGCCCGCGGCTGGTTCAGCTCCGACGGCGGCCGGGGCTTGCTCTCGGACTTTTGCCGCGACGACGACGCCCGCGGCTCGGCCCGCGACGACGACTTGCGCGCCGAGCTTGACTTGCCCGCAGCCCGCGACGACGACTGCCGCTGCGACGCGCCCTTGCTTGCCCGCGATGACCCGCGCTCGTTCTTCGACACAGTCTTGGCCCGCGTCGCCTCGGCCAACTTCTTCGCGTTCACATCCTGTTCGACGCACACACACCGGCCACACAGCGGCCACGCCATGGTGAGTCACTCCCGCTGCGGCAGAGACGCCGCACCTCGCCCAGCTGACATCGGCCAGCCCACAGACACACACAGACACACACAAACACACACAAACACGAGCACGCAGGAGAACTCCGCGTCCCTTCTCATCCACTCATTCCCTGCCTTCCCGCCCCTGGCTCTTCGGTCCCCCGCAACCGCCACCGCAAGCGCCCGCGGCCTGTTCCAGGTACCACCCGGCGGGAGCAACGGATGCCGCGGCCACGGGGCAGCTGCGGTTCACCCGGGGAGAATGACGGCATAGACGACGGGTTCAGCCCACACACACCGCCACGCCCACCGCAACATGGTGGTTGTGCTACATGTACGGCCTCTACGCTGTGTGGCGCCTCGAGTAGCCCACACAGTAGCGCAGATGGCCGGGAAGGCCTGGTAGTTGGTCGGCTGAGGGCATTTTTTTTGGGGAGGGCGGGTGGAGGAGGCAATGGGGTAGTGGCAGCAAATGGTGGGGGAGGGGGGGGGAGGGGGGGGGGGGGGGGGGGGGATGATGGGCATGGTGCATGGGCTGGCACCTACCTCATCCGAGTAGTAGTACGAGTAGTAGTCCCCGTTGTTGCCGCGGCCGTGGTCAGAGTACGAGTACGACATGAGGCTGAGGGTGAAGTGCCTGTTCCTGCCACCACATCGGCAGAGCCAGGACCAGGACCACGACCACGACCAGGACCACGACCAGGACCAAGATGATCGTCATCGCCATCGCCATCGCCATTGCCATTGCCATTGCCATTGCCACCGTCATCGCCATCTACCTCCTCCTCTACTTCAGCCCGCATCCATCAATGCCACCAAAGCCCTCCCTACATGGTTCTTGATGGCCAACAGCTGTACAACGTCCGTCCACGTAACCATCATCACACATCACACACATCGCACTCACCATCCACACGCCCATCCATCATACCCAACACCACCACTATCACTATCACCACCACCACCACCACCGCCGCCACCACACTTGTCCCATCCCCCCTCTGCAGCACCATTGCCATCCCAATGCCGTCCATCGATCAGCACAATGGGTGACAACGAAGGTTTTGTGGCATTGGCTGGGAAAACGGGAGAACAGCCAGGCGCACCAGCATCAGCAAGGGCCAGGCAGGGGAGGAGGGCTAGCTACTACAGGGGTGACATCTCACCCACACACCACACACACAAGCACACACTCGACTCTGCATTGTTGCCCCAATGTCGTCGTACTCGTCCTCGTACTCGTCTTCTGACTCTATGTCGGACGCCACCTGGTTGGCCGACCTGAAGGGCTGTGGTGCCCTGCCATCGGTCCGTGCCGAAGACGCCGAGTCGGACAAGGCCGAGGCCGGCGTCACCAAGCGCCGCAGCGGGCAGAAGGCTGTGCTGGGTACGCATCGGCCATCAGCAAGACATGATGGGGGAGGTGGTGGTGGTGGTGGTGGTGGTGGTGGTGGTGGTGGCCAGTGCGTGATTCACAGACAGTGATGGGCTGGGGGGGTGGCGGGAACAGGTGAGGGCAAGGCGTGGCCGGTGGGGGCGACCATCAAGTGGCACTTTCTCTCGGGATCAAAGGCGGTGCAGGACAAGTGTTTTGCCATCGCCAAGGAGTGGCTGCAGTATGCCAACCTCAAGTTCAAGATCGTCAAGTCGGCCAAGAGCGCCGACATCCGCGTCGACTTTCAAAAGGGTGGCTCGTACTCGTACGTCGGGACCGACAACAAGCGCATTGCAAAGTCCAAGCACACCATGAACTTTGGCTGGCTCACTGAGGACTCGACCGATCGCGAGTACCGCCGTGTCGTCCTCCACGAGACCGGCCACATGATCGGCCTCACCCACGAGCACCAGCACCCGATGGCCAAAATCCCCTGGGACGAGGAGGCAGTCTACAAGTACTACGCAAAGCAGGGTTGGTCGCGCGACCAGACCAAGGAGCAGGTCCTCAAGTCCAAGCATGCCACCCAGTACTCCAAGTACGACAAAAACTCCATCATGGAGTACCCCATCGCTGCCGAGCTCGTCACCGACAAGTCGTTTGTCACCGGGTGGAACACCGAGCTGACAAACACCGACAAGGCCTTTATCAACTCGGTCTATCCCTTCTCCGACAACAAGAAGAACGCCAAGATCCAGGCCCTTGTCAGCGGTGGCGGTGTAGTCGGTGCCGGCTCCGGCTCGGGCTCCGGCTCCGGCTCGGGCTCCGGCTCGGGTTCGGGCTCCGGCTCCGGCTCGGGTTCGGGCTCCGGCTCCGGCTCGGGCTCCGGCTCGGGCTCCTACTCGGGCTCCGGCTCGGACTCGGGCTCTGGCTCGGGCTCGGGCTCGGGCTCGGGCTCGGGCTCCTACTCAGGTTCGGGCTCCGGCTCCGGATCCGGATCCTACTCGGGCTCGGGTTCGGGCTCGTCCTCAGGCTCTAGCTCGGGCTCCCATTTGGGCTCAGGCTCAGGCTCCGGCTCCCACTCGGGCTCAGGCTCAGGCTCAGACTCAGACTCGGCCCATCGCCGCCCCGTGAAGGCAAAGCCCAAGAAGGTCAAAAAGGCCAAAAAGGCCAAGAAGGCCAAGAAGGTCAAGAAGGTCAAGAAGGCCAAGAAGGCCAAGAAGGCCAAGAAGTCCAAGGGCAAAAAGTCCAAGGCCAAGAAGGCCAGAAAGAGCAAGAAGAACAAGCGGTTTAAGGGTCGTGGCCACCGCCGCCGTCGCCACTAACTATCGCACCATAGCAGCCTAGATGTTCGCAAAGTCGCGCGGAGGATGCAGCTCATTCTCGATGATAGGACCGATGACGCGGACGCACGACTCGGGTGAGGTGCCCGCGATAAACTCTTCCATCCACGGGACCGAGGCCTTTTGCGGCGCATACAGGCGGATCTCAACAATGACTGAGCGCCCGTTAAAGAAGAGCTCCTTGGTCGACGGCGCCACAATCTCCTCCTTGAGTGCTCGGACCTCGACAGGGTACGAGCACATCGGCGTTGAGGTGCCGCCGGCGCGCAGCTCGGGCTCGCCGTCGGTGTAGAGCACCACGTGGGTGGCATTGCCGTACTGTGGGTGCACAAACGCAGTCTCGAGTCCCAGATACATGTTCGAGTTGGGCGCAAGCGTGTTGATCTCATCGGGTGTGTTGGCCGAGAGCACAAACTTGCGCGCCCGCGAAATCCGCGACGACCGTACCGACTGGAGACCGTGGAAGAGCGGAATGACCTTGTTGCCAAACTTGAGAACCTCAAACTGCGCGTCGAGAGGGAGCTTGTCGAGCTCGGCAAGCAAGTCCGCCCGTGCCATCTCTGCCCGCCTCACTTGCACCTTTTGCGACGACGACTTGCGGATCGTTTGCAGGCCCTGCATCGACTCGGAGACGTCGAGCACAAAAACCTTGCGCATCAGCTGGCTTGACCGCGTCGCTGGCATGGCCGGTCGCGCTAGCGACTGCTCCGTCACAATCGACGACGCAGACACGCTCTCAAACAGCCCATCGCGGTAGTCGTCACGTCCGTCGTCGCCCGTCATCTTGGACACGGTCGACGACGCCCGCGACGGCCGCCGCACAGCCAGAAACTCTGACTTGATGACCACAGAATTGGTCGGCGAGTCGACCGCGGACTGCGGCAGCCGGCCAAGCGGCTGTGACATCCATTGCGCTTGCGTCCATGACGCCAACGCTGCGTCCATCGACGCCATCGCTGAGTTGCCAACCGACCAGGCCGTGTCAATGTCGTCGCCACGCGACGCCTGCGTTCCACACCTCTGCACAGACAGTGCCGGAGGGAGGACAGAGAGCGTCGTTGCGCACAGGTGGTTACCCTCGTCCTGTACCACAGGCAGCGCCCGTCCCTGCAGCCGCGATACCGACGAGTTCGACTCGTACAGATCGTCATCACGCGCCGGTCCATTACGCCGTCGCGTCCGCCCCAGACTAGCCAGCGCGGATGCCACCGTCACGTTGAACATCTGCGGTGATGGCCGCTCTATGGCATCCGACATCCGGAACAGATCCACTAGTGACGCCGCCGACAGCTCTGTGGCTGTCCGCCCAAGCGAGCTTGCCAGCTCCGGCTTGAGCCGCCCGCGCAGCAGGCCGCTCGGCACCATCGTGTGCCCTTCCTCCATTGCCGCTGCGAGGGCCACATGCGGGTTGCGCGGCGCCTGCTGTCGCGCAAGTGCAACAATCTGGTCCAGCAGGTGCTGCTCGCGCGACGCCATCAGCTCCCGCACCCGGATGAGCCCAAAGTGCACGCCTGGATCCACCACGCAGAACGAAAAGACCTCGCCCCGAGCCCAATACTGCGAGACTTGACCCGGGCAACCGCGGAACGCGACGTTGATGACCGGAAAGTCGCGCTCCAGCGGCGAGTTGCCGAGCGGCGTAAAGAGGATCTCAACCTTGGACGACTCGTGCCACTTCTTGGAGTGAACCACAACCCGCGGCCCGATCGCAAGTGTCAGCGGGCACCACGCCTCGTAGCGCAGCATCGGCACTCGTCCGTCCTTTGCCCGCAGCATCACGTCTGCCTGGTACAACTTGCCCGCCACAAGTTGCGGCGTCCGCAGCAAGTCCGAAATCGGGCTGCCTGTAAAGTCGTCCATGTCCGCCAGCTCCCAGCTCACAGGCTCGCCGGTCTCGCCGTCCTTCAGCACAAGCGTCGTGTTGACCGGCGACACGTCGTGGACGTACACCACAAACGGCGACCGCGCAATGTGCACTCCGTCGACTTTGATCTCCAGCAGCGCGGGCCCGATCTCGTCCGACGGCAAGTCCACCCGCAGCGAGTACACCGCGAGCGTGTCGTACACACGCTCCAGTGGCAGCCGCGTCCGCCGCCCCGACGGGCGCACCAGTGTCGCCTCCATAGACACAGACCGCCGCATCCCGGCCAGCGACGATGCTCCAGGCACGTAGTTGTGCTCCGGCGAAATGTAGTGAAGCACCGCGTTCTCGTTGATGGTGTACACCTTGGGCGGCATGACATGCGTGCCCCAGTACTGCGCTTCCAGCGACCGCCGGTTGAGCGTGAGCAGCCCAGTGAGCGAGACGCGGTGCAACGAGACTGTCGAGTACTCGCTCTCAAACTCGTCGGTCCAGATCGGCGGCGCCGCTACCTCGATGGCGGTCACCACGTGAGCGTGCGCCGTGTGCACCACGCGGACAGACGGCTCAAACGCCGTCGTCGTCGCCACGTAGCCGAGTGCCACAAACATCGGGTCAGGCGGAATCGGCCGCCAGATCCACAGCGACTTGATGCCCTTTTGGATGCGGAGCACAAGCTCGTAGCCGCGCGGGTGCCGGAACGCCGGCGAGTCCGGAGCCATCAGAATGCCAAACTTGGGCTGCGACGTCCCGGCCACAATCGTGTCGCCGAACCGGACGTGCCCGCGCGGCAACGCCACCCGCCACACCGAGAACGGGTCGCGTGTCGCAATGCCCGCGTTTGACCACACTTTGACAAACTTAACCGAGAACTTGGGCGATGGTGTGACGACAGAGAGCGGGAGCGCAGGCACCGGCTGCTCGAGCGAGTGTACAGCCTCAGCCCGCGAGGCGTCGTACAGAGATCCACCGGCATCGTGCAGGTGGAGAAAGAGCTCGAGTGTCTGTGCCGTCATAAAGTAGTTGGAGGCAAAAACGACGAGGCCTCGATCGCACCCTGGGCTAGTGACGTGAGGAGCGTGCACTTCGACGGCGCCACAGGCCCTGCCATCAGCTGGATAAGGACCTGCGTCCCGGGCACTACAATCTCTCGTCGGTACGTGATGTACAGCGCAAACGAGCCGACGTCGGTCCCGGTGAACGACACATTAATCACATCGCCCGTCTTGGTCAGCTCCGTAAACGTGCCGGCTTCAGCCTGTGTCCCCGACGGCGACGCCATAATTTCGTTGAGCGCGCCCATACGGCCCATCCACAGCGCCGGCGACGCCACGTTCACGCGGTGCACAACCGCAGAGTAGTCGGCGAGCCGCGTCCAAATCGAGTTCCCGGTCTGATCCATCGGCACAATCGAGTACGTCACAGTCCCCGGTGCGTGCATCTTCCACGTCGTCACACTCGCCCCGTCGTCAGAGTCAGTCACGCTCGATCGCTCAAAGTACTGCCGTCCGCCTGCAAGCTCGCCATTGGAGACCATAAAGTCAAACGGTGAGGTCATGACTTCAAAATCGGCTGCAAAGTTGATCCGCGGCTTGGGCGACGGGGCAAGGAGCGGCTGCCATTGCATGCTTTCGTCAATCCCGGCCAGCCCCATCATCGAGTTGGGCGAGTGCACAACCTGCGAGCCCGCGAGCGCCGGCGACGTCGACGCTAGCGAGAGTCGCAGCAGCGGCGCAGAAACAAGACGCTTCATGCCAATCTCCGGGTCCACACGCGCACTCCGCCGCGCCCCTATGCACATGCCGCACGTCAGCGAGGCCAAGCTGCCGTTGCCGCTGCCGTTGTCGGTTCCGGGTGCCTCGACCAGCGGCGCCACAACCAGCGATTGTGTGCCGACCACAAAGTGCGGGGTGTGGAACGAAGCCAGTCCGTTCCATCCCCGCTCGTCGCACAGCGCCCGGATAAGCGACGACGACCGAATGGTGCTAGAGAGTGTGAGGCCGAGCAGCGGGTCGCAGTTAGCCGCGGGCTCGGCGTTCCACCCGTCGCCAAGCGAAGGGATCGTGGTACCAGAGGTGAGCAGCCCGCTCTCGTTCGGATCCTCGCCGGCCTCGCCCTCGCAGGCGCCTTGGCCCATCGTGCCGATGCCAGTGCTCGGCGGGAGCACCGTGACGAGCGCCGTCTCGGTTGCCGAACGGAACTGTCGCGGCGACCGGCCCTTGCTCGTCGCCTTGTCGTTGGTCGACGGCAGTTGCCGGACGGCAAAGACGGACAGGGCCACCGGGTGGGCCAGACAGGCGCCGTAGCGAAGGCACTCGTGGCACGTTCGCTCCCGCCGCCCACCGTATGTGCCTCCGGTCACACTGGTGCCGCCAACAGCACCACGGCTCTGCCCGACAGCAAGAGCCATACCATCGAGCTCCACGCCACCTTCCACATGCAGACTCATGACCGAGCGCTCGCCGGGAGCTGTGAGCGCCACAGGTGGCACCTTCTCCTTGCCCATGACATGTTGGGCAAAGACCTCAGGCGTGGGTACGTTGGCCAGCTTGTAGGCCAGGACGAGGGCGGTTGCCACCAGACAGACAAGGACAAGGCTGGCTACCACCACCGCCGCAGACATGAGCGTCTCCGACATGCCGACCCGGAACCTGGAACCTGGAACCTATGTTCCCCAATATCCTGTCGAAAGAACGGGACGGTCGTCCGGGTAGCGGTCCGAGGTGGGAAGGTGTGAGTGAGGTGGGGAGAAGGGGAAGGGGAGGAGCGGTAGCGGGAAGGAGTTGTCCGTGGCAGGTAGTCGGCCAGCCAACGACTGCCATCGGTCGGGTTGACGGCTCACTCCATCACTCCATTGCTTGCCACACATCGGAAGCAATGCCTGTGCTGATGCTAAATGCCATACATCGGTGGATGGGTATTTGCTGAGTGGGGTATGCGGTGTGAGGTCGGAGATGATTGAGAAGGATGGATGGCTTCCCGGCCATGGGTTTCTGCGCAAGAATGCCAAAGTGGCTGTCTTTCTAACTCTCTCTTGATCAACGTGCGATGCGATGAAAAACTTAGTCATGGCAAACAAGACCAGAGCGCGAGACGCTAGATAGTCTCCCTCGAGGAACAGCCATGCAAAACGGGCATGTGGTAGATGCAATACCCATCGGGCACTGGCGCGGATCCGAAGCGGCTTTGTGGTGGCGTGGGGTGGGTGGGACGGGCGACTTGGCGGTGCGGGTGCACCGCTTCTCGCGTTTTTCCCGACGTTGAGCGATGGATGCGACAAGCAGAGCGACGCGCGAGACAGACACTGTACTGCCGTCATACTACCTCGAGCAGAGGGCACGGGTGCTGGAGACTGTGTGGGCGGAGGATGAGCTAAGCAAGGGTGTCTGCTGCGCGCAGCGCAGGGCGGGCAGACAGGGCAACGCTGCGGAAGATTGCGACACAGGCGTTTGCTGGGCTGAGGTAGTCGAAACGGCGGCGACGGTGGCGATCGACGGGCGACTGGCGGTGTGGCGCGGTGATGTGACCCGGCTTGCCACGGCGGGCATTGTCAACGCCGCCAACGAGGGCCTGCTTGGCGGTGGTGGCATCGACGAGGCCGTCCATGCCGCTGCCGGCCCGCTGCTGCAGTACGAGTGTGCGCTGGCCACCAAGGCCATGGGCGGCTTGCCCGACGCCGGCGAGACCGTGGTGAGCCACGGATACGCGCTTCCTGCACGATATGTCCTCCACACCGTTGCGCCGTACCTCGACGACACCGGTGAGGTGCAGGACGACGTCCTCGCCGCCGCTTACCGCTCGATCCTGGCTGCCGCCGCCGACTACGAGCTGACCTCGGTCGCCATTCCTTGCATCGGCACTGGGTTCTACGGCTTTCCGCTGTCCCGAGCGACCCGAATTGCCGCTGCCGTCGTCGGTGAGTGGCTGGAGGCCGATGTGGCCCGCGTCCGTGCCGCTGCAGCCGATCCGACCACCTCCTCCAGCGACATGCAGTGGGCATTTCCCCATCGAATCGTGCTTGTTGGCTGGACCGCATCGCAGACCAAGCTCCTTGCCCGCGCTGTCTCGGATCTGTTCTCGCAACGACCCCCTGCAGCACCGACGACGAAGCTGGCGAGTCGTGACACTCTCTGAGCAACATGGCCAGCGCTAGATGGCGAAGGGTGCAGGCGACGAAAACCGGCTGCGGACCTCTATTCCATCCGCCATCGGTGATCAGATACTCTACGACAACCGATTGTGACTGTATGCGACTGTGTGTAAAGGTGCCATCGCGAGCAGGTTGTGTGTGACGTGTGTGGCGTGCGGAGTGTTGGTCGGGCGGCGGCGGCAGGCTTGGTCTTGGCTACCTGGACACATCATTCATTCCCCAACGAACGAATGATGGACGGCCTCATTCGTCGCAAGGTGGCACACCCGTCGTCGCAAGTGCGACAGCCATGGCGTCCATGTTCAAGAGGATGCGTGAGAGCGTGATGCCGACACTCAAAGAGACCCGTTTCCAGGAGAAGGGCGTGCTTACTCCGGAGGAGGTATGTGAGGGGGAGGGAGAGGGAGGGAGGGAGTAGGGGGGGAGGGAGGAGGGAGGAGGGAGGGAGGGAGGGGGGGGGGGTGGAAGCCTTGACGACGACGTGTTCGTTTTTCCCCTGCCAGGGGTGGTGGAACGGGGGTGGGGGTCGGGTGGAGGGGGGCACAGGTGGCATGCAGGAGGCCAGGATGGGGTGGGAGGGAAGGGAGAGAGGGAGGGGGAACGGGGTGTGGCTACAAAGAGGGTAGGGGGGGGGGAGGGAGGGAGGAAGGGGGAGGAGCAAGCCACCCCCCCCCCCCCCCCAGCCCACGACCCCGTCCTCTCGTAGCTGGTCGCCGCTTGGTGGCAGCCATGGACAAGACTCACAGCAGTGGATACCTGGGGGTGTATCGGGAAATGGGGCGTGGTGCAGTTTGTGGCGGCAGGCGATATGCTGGTGTACAAGTGTCCGACATGGTCATGGTAAGTGGCTGTGGTTGCTGGGCTGGGCACTGAGAGGCTGTAGCAGGTGGCCGCCCCTCCCTGTGGCCACCCGGCGGGCGCCGGTTGGGCGGTCAGGCACAGGTCGCACATGTGAGTGGCAAAGCACGCAGCAGTGGATGCTCAGGCAGGTGGGGGGGGAGGGGGGAATGTGCTAACAGAGAGTGTGACGGTGGTGGGCGTTGGGCACGGACAGGGAGTCTGGAAGCACAGTGCGGGCGTTTCTGCCCGAGGACAAGCAGTTTCTCATCACACGCAACGTCCCGTGCCGTGAGCGTGTGGCGGCCATCGAGTACTTTGATGACAACGACGAGCTTGTGGCGATGGACGACGGCGACGACGAGGGCGACGGATGGGTGGCGACCCACATGGATATGGGCGCCGGCGGTGAGCAGCTGGCGGCCATTGCGGACGCCATGCAGCCGGTCTCTGTTCCTGCGGTGGCGTCAATGGAGTGCTCGGGCTCGGACTCGGACTCGGACATCCCGGACATGGACGACTTTGACGACGACGACAATGTTCTGGAGGACGACGATGATGCCACGGCGGTGTTTGGCGGCGCTGGGCCGTCGAGCGGCATGGAGGAAGCCAACATCCTCATGACCCGCACGTACGACGTCTCGATCACCTACGACAAGTACTACCAGACCCCCCGCGTCTGGCTCTTTGGCTATGATGAGACTGGCCAGCCGCTAAGCCAGGAGCAGATCTTCGAGGACATCTCGCAGGACCACGCCAAGAAGACCGTCACCTTTGAGCCGCACCCGCACTCGGGCATCCCGCACGCCTCCATCCACCCGTGCAAGCACTCGAACGTCATGAAGAAGATCATCGACAACCTCGGCCTCTCTGGCCAGACTCTCCGCGCCGACCAGTACATGTTCCTCTTTGTCAAGTTCATCTCAACCATCATCCCGACCATCGACTACGACCACACCTTTGACATGGAAGGCTGAGCCTCTTCCATCCCCTCCCCCGCCTTGTGCTCGGGACAAGGCTTCCTCGACACCGTAAAAGCTTGATCTGATAGTGGCGGTCCGAACCTCGGCTCACCATGCCCCCCCCCTCCCGTCTCGCCGAGACTCATTCCCCGACACTCGTCTCACCTCCCATGATCCGCCTGATACGGTCCCGATCGCTGGGGATCATCACCACGCCACGCTCATGGCACACTGCAGCAGCGGCTGCCGACGCCTGTGCGGCCGCAGCATCGAGCCGGCCCATGCCGCTGGAGCGGGCGGCGCTGGGAGTGCGGCCGCCGGCGTCGCCGCCGCTGCACACGACGGTGGCCGTGGCATGGTCTGGCGACGGCGAGGCCGTGGCGACGGCCCATGGCGGCGAACACGTTGTTGCAGTGTGGGCCATGCCGGCGCTCTCCCTCGTCGCCGTCCTCTCCGGCTGCCGCCGGACGCCGTACTCGATCGCCTTTGCCGGGCACACGCCTCACGCATGGACCCTTGTCGCCGTCGACCTAGGGAGCAAACTGCGGGTGTGGCGGGTGGCCAAAGCCGATGGCGCGGTCACCGTGCTGGCTGAGGTTGATCTCGGTGGCGGTGCTGCGTCCTCGCTCTCTATCGCGCCCGGCTGGGCCCTAGGCCACCCCACGCCGGGCGTCATCGCTACCACTGTCTTTGGAGCCTCGGTGTGGGACGGCGCTTCCACGAGCACCGTCCGTGCCACCGCACTCGAGGCCAAGCTACCCGTTGTCGCCATCCGCCGGATCGCTCGCGTTCTTCACTGCGGGACCGCAGTCCTCGTCGCCTACACCATGCCGCGGCCGTCGCGACACCAAGAGCCACGCACACTCGACGTCGGCGCCTGGGTCCGATCCGGCGCGAGTAGCGAGCTCGTGCCGGCCACAGCCGACAGTGTGGAGCGCGTCACGGTCGACGCCCGCCATGGCAACGTGCACACCTCGGTGATGAAGCTCTTTACCTTGGTCGGCGACAGCCTGCGCTGCGAGCTCCGCATTGCCGAGGCCGCAGTCTTCATCGACGCCTCGGTGGCTACATGCCCGGACTCGCGGCTTCTGGCGGCGTCGATGCTTCATGCTCGTGGCTTTAGGGTTGAGGTGTTCCACCTCCGAGGCCGGGCGCGCGGGAGCCGAGCGTGCGTGTTGCCGGTCACGCCGCGCCCGGCGGCGGCGGTCAGCCTCGCTTCGGGCGGTGCCCGGCTGGCGCTTGTTGCTTCCAGCCGCGATCCACTGCGCGGCGTGAGCAACGTTGCCGAGGTGTGGGCCGTAAACGGCGCGCACCTCTTGGCCCGCCTGCGACTCTGGGCCATGCCCAACGTCGTCTCGTTTGCGCCCGACGGTCTCGCGCTACTGGTCGGTACCACGACAGGCTCGGTCGAGCTCCTCGATCGCATTCCACGCGATGCCGACCCCGGGACAGACAGCAACGACAGTTCGTCATCATTGCTGTCATCGTCTTCAGGCAGTGATTCCGACGACGAGCCCGGCGGAAGTGGCGGCAGCCTGCAGCGGCGGCAGCGGGTACTCACATGAGGCCAACATACTCGGCGTGCGGGTAGTGGGCGACGAGCGAGGCCCACTGGACAAGGAACCGGTGGGCGAGCGGATAAAGGATGCGGCCCGAGAGCGAGAGCGAGTCGACGCGGCACATCGACTCGACAAAGACAATGCGGGTGGCGGTGAGGCCGAGCACGTTGCCGACGGTGGCGGCGATGCAGAACGGGACGCACGTCCCGGGCCCGTTGACCAGCACCACGTCTGGGCGGATGGCGACGAGAATGAGCCACAGCGCATGAACTAGGGCCCACGCCGTCGTCACCACCGTCGTCACCCACGATTGCCCGACCTCGCGCGCCCGCGGCGTGGCCACCACCCGCGCGTCACCCGCCCCTTCCTCAGCCGCCTCGGCCTTGCCCGCCGAGTGCCGATCGGTTGCCGCCACCACGTACGTCCGCGGGCTGTACCGCGCTCGGTCGAGCGCAGCCAGCATCGACAGCATTTCCGACGTGTGACCGCCAGAGCCCAGGACCACCAGCGCCGCCGCTGCCTGCCCCGCCGGCCGCCGCCGCCCACTCCCTTGACTACGGCCGAGCCCGAGCGCAGCCCGCAGCCCGGGCACGCACGCCGCCGTCCTCACCGCCAGCACCAGAGCCACGCATCCTGCGATGCTCCAGGGGCTTGCTGCTGCCAGCGCCCAAAACATGGATGTGTTGAGGGAAGTGGGTGCGAGTTCGAAGGGAGGGAGGAGGGCTTACGACGGAGTGGCTGTCTTCGACATCCTGCTGGTGACACACACACACACACACACACACACAGCAAGATAGGCATGTGGGGAGATGTGGGGTGCGTACAAGGCGCAGAGGTGGAGTATGTGTGAAGTTTGTGCAACAAAACAACAAGCTACGTGACAAAGGTCGGGTGGCTAGGCGGAGCGACGGCTTTGGGCAGTCGCTCAGTTGGAAGCCGTGGCGGCAGCCCCGGCCAGGTTCTGCGACGACCGGTTGTGCTGCATGTGCGACTGGACAAGCTGGCCGGCGGCGAGGGCCGAAATGAGCGAGAGCTCACCGGCCATGACGGTGGCGGCGACGATGCGGGCGAGGGTGGCGGCGTTGGAGCCGGGCACATCGCGGTTGGGACCCTTGACGCCGAGCATGCGCAGGTTGGCTGACTGGGCCTGCAGGTGGGTTCCGCCACCGATGGTGCCGACCTCGATCGACGGCATGGTGACCGACATGTACAGGTCGCCATCACGAGTCTTCTCCATGAGGGTGATGCAGTTGGATGACTCGACGTTCTGGGCGGCGTCCTGCCCAGTGGCGAGGAAGATGGCGGTGACAATGTTGGCGGCATGGGCGTTAAAGCCGCCGACCGAGCCAGCCATGGCCGAGCCGATGAGGTTCTTGGAGATGTTGACGTCAACAAGGGCGTCAACCGAGGTCTTGAGGACCTTGGAGACGACCGAGGCCGAGATGGTGGCCTCGACCGAAACCGACTTGCCGCGGCCGTTGATCCAGTTCAGCGCCGCGGGCTTCTTGTCGGTGCAGTAGTTGCCCGAGACCGAGACCACAATCATGTCGGGGAACTCGGCCTGGAGGAGCTCGAGCGCCTTCTTGGTGCCCTTGGAGATCATGTTCATCCCCATGGCATCGCCGGTAAAGGCCTTGAAGCGGGCAAAGACGGTGCGGCCAGCGACAGAGACCTGGACCGACTCGAGCCGCGCAAACCGCGAGGTCGAGTTGAACGCCGCCTGCACCGCCGCAAACGTCTCGGGATCGTCGAGGAACTTCTTGAGCTCGGCCGCGCTGGCAAGCGACGGCATGCGGAGGACCGGGCCACGGGTCATGCCGTCGGCAAGCAGCTCCGACGACGCCCCGCCCGAGAGCGTGATCGCCTTGCACCCGCGGTGCGTCGACGCCACTAGGCATCCTTCGACGGTCGCCATGGGCACAAAGTACTCGGTCCCGTCCAGCAGGAGCGGGCCTGCGGTGCCCACAGGCAGCGAGACGTAGCCAACCACGTTCTCGCAGCACGCACCCTGAATCGGCGCATAATCAATGTGCTCGTGCGGAAGCGTCTCGAGCTCCACACCGAGCGTCTCCAGGTGCATCCGCCGGATGACAACCGCCCGCGCGCAGTCGCCCAGCACCTTCTCCAGCTTGTACGCCGGGATCTTCTTGGCTACCACAAGCGCAAGCACCTCCGCGTCCGAGAGCTCGCTCGTCGGCAGCTGCGAGATGACCTCCAGCGGGCGCACGCCGCCGGCCGGTGCCTCAACCTCATCCGCGCCCATCGCCACGCAGTGGTCGGCAGGCACCTTGTTGGCCGCAAGCTCCGCAGCCTGGTCCAGCATCGCGCCCTTGGCAGCCTCGGCCCCGCGCAGCGCCTGTGCCTCGGCACGCACCACGTTCTGGCCCTCGGTCAGCTCGTTCTGCAGCATCTCCGAAAGCGCGTCACCGGCCCACCCGCCTGCCGACGTGCCCGAGTTGACGGCCTCGTTGCCAGACATGAACACATTGTTCGAGAGAAGCGGGACAAGGAACTGCGAACGGTGGAACTTGAAGCCCTACACATGCCAACACCAAGTGAGAAGGGGGAGGGGGAGGGGGAGGAGGAGGAGGAGGTGCGTGAGTGAGTCTTCGCAAGCCCATGGTGTTCCGCCGCCGCAGGCTCGGCGGCTCATTTTCCGGCGAAATGGAACACTCGAAGCGAAGCTTTTCGCACACGCCACGCCGGCTGCTCCCCCAATTGGGTAATAAACGGACGAATGGACGAACGGTTGCCGGCGCCATCCGTGATGGCGCGGCACGGCAGGGGCGGGGGGGGGGGGGGGGGGGGAAGCCGGCCCAGACGGACGGCATGGCACATCTGTGCTAGCTGGCAGGAGTGGTACCTTGCGAGGAAGGGGGGGGGGAGGGGGAGTGTGTGCGCTGGGAGAAGCAGGGCAGAGCCCGTGGTGAGGCCTTGGGAACCCGGCGTGGTAGTGGCAAAAACTGGTGTGGCCATGCCACGTCGCCTTGCTGAAGACGGCTGCGTGACTCGGCGGTAGCAACGTTGCAAGGAGAGGACGTACCCAGGTGAAGAGCGGTTGGAACTCGCGCACACTCATAGTATATGGGGATGGGAAAGAGGGAAAGACAGAGGACTCGAGAGAAGAGTGCGTATGACGGAAGCGGTCACAGGACACCGCCCAAGTCGGAGCTCAGAATACGACGCGCCTGACGTTCGCGATGCCACCATGTCGGCGAATTGGATTGGAACGCTGGTTCAACTGACTTGGTGCCCGGGAGGAGGAGGCGGGGGGGGGGGGGGGGGGGGAGGGGCCGGTGTAGGGGGGTAGTACTGCTGTGCTTCATCCATCATGCCATCAATCAAACAGACTCACCACAGACGGGAACATCGAGGCCGGGAGGGCGATAGAACGGACAAAGGCAAGGTCCTTAAAGACACGGTAGCGAGTGGTGTCGTCGAGGTAGTCCATGCCGGACGAGCCGCCGGTGCCATGGCGGCGGCCGATCATGCGCTCGACCATGCGAGCGTGGTGGGTCCGCCACAGCACAAAGGCAGCCTCAAAGTCGAGAGCGTGCTGGACGGTGTCGGCAAGGTCGATAAAGTTCGAGTAGTGGCGGAAGGTGAGGAGGAAGGTGGCAGCCTTGCGGGCGCGGCCAAGGCGCGGGTCGGCGTAGAACCGCTCGAGAGCGTGCCATTGCTCGGTCGAGGCCTCAATGCGCGCAGCGAGGTTTCGCTTCTCCTTGTGGAGCATCTGCTTGAGGAGCTTGGCGTCGACGTCGATCGACGGCGCCACGGCGTCGAGCTCGTCGAGCGCCGCACGCAGCTCGGAGATCTGGTGGTTGTGCTCGGCAGACTTTGCGTCGAGAAAGGCGGTGAAAAAGGTGTCGAGATGGTCAAGCTCGATACGGTCGAGCCAGCTCATGACCGCCTCCTTAAGCGTTGGCTGGGTCTCGGCCTCATCAAAGACCTGCGTCTTGTCGGCCAGCTTAGTGATGAACGCGTCGCGGTAGTCGCCGACAAACTCGCACTTGCGCTGCTTCTCGGTGATGCCAAAGCGGAGCTCGAGAATGCGGAACTGCGCAGACTGGAAGCCCGAGGCCGGCGAGAGCGCCCAGCGGTACTCGAGGAAGTCCTGCGGATCGTGGTGCTTGGCAAGCGCCTCAAAGGTCGGCATCGAGATCCGCAGGATCTCGTGCGCTCGCCGGAGCCGCGACGTCGCCAAATGCCACTCGTCGCGCCGGGCGTCGGGCGAGAGCAGCGTCTCGATGGTGTAGTCGAGATCATGGAGGACCTGCTTGAACCAGAGCTCAAAGACCTGGTGGACAATGATGAACAGGTGCTCGTCATGGTGATTGAGGCCCTTGCCCTCGCGCCCGCTCTGCAGCGACGTCAATGTCTCTGGGTGAATGTAGTCCCAGTACGTGCACGCCTCGGTGTAGTCGCGCTGCGACGGCGCCGCCAGGAACGGGTGAATGGTCTCGGCTCCGAGCGACGTGATGTTCTCAGACCGAGACTGCGCAAGCTTGGTCAGCACAGCCTTGCTCCTGTTCTTCCCCGCACATTTCCCCAACCCAGCCCCCCAACCCCCAGCAGCCACAACCCCGCAACGTGGTAAGTGACTCTCTCCCTGCTGCTGCTCCTCCCCTCCTGGTCACCGCCACGCACGCAAACCTACGTCTCGTCGAGCATGCCCTGCGCACCGTGCGGCACAGGGCACTTGCTGGTGTCAGCGGAGGCGGCAGCAGAATCTCTGGCGGGCTCGGATGACATGTCGTGCTGTAGTGTGGTGTTGGCTGTGTAGGAAAGGGGAGGGGGGAAGGGGAGGGGGGGGGAAGGAGGGGAGGGTAAGCTGGTGCTGGATCAGGATCGAGTTGGGACCGTCGACGTCCCAATGTGATCTGATCCGGTCATTCTTTGGGGATGATGTTGTTAATTCTTTGACACATCGCTGCGGCTCGCAAAGGGTACAGCCACGCAGGGTCGGACATGCTTGTCCAGCGCTCTCTCTCTTTCTCTCTCGCCCATCAGTTGATGCGTGCCGACTGCGTGCGGGTGTGGGCCTCAAAGTACATGCCGATGCGCTGCGGCCACTCGGCCTCGTCAACGCCATCGGCAATGAGCTCGTCAAAGACGGCCTGCGAGTCCATGCTGTTGATCGAGATGCCGGCCGAGGAGTAGCTGAGCTTGATGGCGAGGGCGAGGACGGAAAAGTAGCGGAGCTTGATGGCGTCGTACTTGGCCTGCAGCTCGATGAGGGCCTCGCCCTCCTCGGTCATGGGCGTCATGCCGTTGTGGTTAAAGTAGGTCTTGAGCGCAGCGTTGACCTTGCGCTGGTTGGTCCGGTTGGCGGCATCGTCACGGACGCTCTGCTGCAGCGCGGCGAGGGTCGTCTGCAGGAGTGTGACCTTGTCCTCGAGCTCAGAGATGTCCGACATGCGATCGGAGATCTGGGTGGTGAGGGAGACAACCATGGCCTTGTTCTCGGCGTTGGCGGCCGAGAGGCTCTCGACTTGCTCGCGGAGATTGGCGAGCTCGGTCTCGGCCGCCTCTTTGGCCTTTTGTGCGCGGACGAGCTCGAGATTGACCTCGCGCAGCTGGCGGGTCTTGTCGACCTCGGTCTTGAACGGCGAACCCGGGGTAGCCGGCGTTGCCTCGCGGACGGGTGTTCCGCCGTTGCGAAGCGGTGAGTTGCGCGGCCGCCGCTCGAGCGCCCGCAGCTGCGACTCCATCTCCAGGAAGGCCTTTTCGACAAGTGCCACGGCGGCAGCGCCGCCCTTAGCCGCGCTCGCCGACTTTTCATGGGCGGCAATGAGGGCCGAGGCGTCCATCGAGCCTTCCGACGAGTCCGAGAGCATCGACGCGTTGCCCAGCTCGCCTGGCGACGACGCCAGCGACGAGTTGATCGACTCGTTCAGCAGGTCCTTGGACATTTCGCGACGCCGCGACCGCATGCCCTCGGCCTGGTTCTTCCACGTCCGCGGCGAGCCACGGCCGGTGTGCGGCGAGCCGTGCCGCGACCGCAACTTGCCGCCGCCCTTGTGCGGAGACGACGTCGCCTCCATCAGCAGCGGGTTCTCCTTCTCGTCAAACACCGAGAACGAGGTCGTGAGATCGTGCGACGAGTTGAGCGACGAGTTGAGTGACGAGTTGAGCGACGAGTTGAGGCTCTCCATGAGCGGCGCCTGCAAGATCACTCAAGGGGGAGGGGAATGGTGGGGTGGGGTGGGGTGGGGTTGGGGGGGGGACGGCGGCAGTTCAAAACATTTGAAAATTTCGTGAGTCCAACGGCCCCCTCTGCTTTGCTCTGGCGCTCGCCCCAAGTGTACCCAGTGGGGAGGTGAAGGCATGCAGGGTTCAACTCCAGACGGATGTGGATGACGTACACGCGTTGCCATGGGTGGGCGATGGATGTGTGTGCGCGGAAGGGGGTTAAAGCGGGGGAAGTGGGTGGAGTGTGGCGGGGGTGGTGTGGGGAGAGTGGCCAACGAGCGGGAGGGCAGCAACCGTGGCGCTGGCCGCCGCTCACCGAACGACCACGGCAAGGAGATCACGCAGCCTAACTGCGTCTGGAAGACGTGGCGAGGTTGAGGGGCGAGGCCCGAGCCCATTGCGACTGATGGACGCCATCGATATGTACACAGGTGCGTGATGGTGATGGTGGCGGGGGTGGGGGTGGTGATAGAGGCGATGGCGATGTGGATATGTGATGGGTAGGGCGGGTGGGGGAGGGGAAGGGCGTGCCCTTTCAAACGGTTGGTTCGTTCATGAATGGCTTTGGGCAAGAGTGCTCCAGTTGTCGGCCACTCGCCTCCCATCCATCTTCCATCCGCCCCATGTCAGCCGCTGGTGCGCTCATGGGCAGCTCGCTGGCGCTGCGGACGGCGTTTGGCAAGGAGCGGAGCTTCACACGGTTCTACACGGGAGGCCCGCTGGCGGTGAGCTCTGCGGTGGCGCGGCAGGATGCGCTCCGCGGTCAAGTGCCCGAGGAGGCCTCGGCAGGCCTCGCCGCGGTGTGCGCTTGTGATGACGGCTTTGCGGTCGTCTCGCTGGCGACGGGAACGACGCAGGCGCAGCATACGCTGGGCGCCGGTGAGGTGCTTGCACTTGCAGCGGGCCCGCGGCTGGAGCGTGCTGTGGTCTTCTCGCGCGAGCGGCTCGACGTGCTGCAGGTGGTCGAGGTGGCGACGGGCGCGGTGACCCGGACGATCAAGACCATGTCCGGCCCTGTGGTCTCGCTCGTTCTCGATCCGACAGGCAACCTGGCGGTCACGGGCTCGACCGACGGCAAGGTGCGGGTTTGGAACGTGGACAAGGGCTTCTGCACCCACAACTTCAAGGGCCATCGCGGTATGGTCACCGCCGTCGCCTTTCATCCGCAGCCGGATACCTGGGTCGTCTTCTCGGGCGCCGACGACGGTACCATCCGGGTGTGGGACATGATGAACGTGTCATGCCTAGGCGTGATGGAGGGCCACATGTCGTCGGTCACCTCGATTGCCTTTTCGTCCGACGGCTCGGTCATGGTCTCGGCCTCGCGCGACGGCGTCATCATCGCCTGGTCCGTCCGCGACCGCAGCATGCTCGCCACCATTCCGGTCTACGAGATTGTCGAGGCCGTCGTCATTGTTGAGGCGAGCGAGCTGGCGTGCGAGAGCGCTGCCGGTGAGGCTGTTGATCGCACGAGTGGCAAGAGCAAGAGCAAGGGCAAGAGCAAGGGCAAGAAGGGCAAGAAGGGGGCCAAGCTCGGCGACGGGCTCCTGGCGCTCACCGCCGGCGAGAAGGGCTGCATCCGGGCGTGGTCGCTCTCGACCCAGCAGGTGGTGCGGACGCTGGCAACGCCGGGCAACCTTGCGCTCACCTCGCTGCTGGTGGTGCCTGGCGACGCGGTCGGCGCCGGCGAGGCTGGCTCGTTGGCGCTGCTGTCGACGACGGTCGAATCGGACGTGCTGACGTACGCGCTGCCGGACGGGCAGCTGACCGCGACGCTCTCCGGCTACCACGACGAAATCTTGGATTCGGTGCTGGTGGGCGAAGACGAAGCCGGCATGCCGCGCCAGGCGGTTGTTGCCTCCAACTCTAACGTCATCAAGGTGGTTGACCTGGCGACCGGTTCGAGCTCGGTGCTCGAGGGCCATGACGACGTGGTGTTTGGCCTTGCGCTGGCGCCGTCGGGCACCGCTCTCGCGTCGGCGTCCAAGGATCGGACGGTCAAGGTGTGGGACATGACCGGCGGGAAGCTGGTGGCCTCCGGCGCCGGCCACACCGACGCCGTCTCAGCCGTCACATTCTTCTCGCGCGACTCGGGCAAGGTTGTGACCGGCTCCAAGGACAACACGCTCAAGGTGTGGCAGGTCAACGACACTGGTGACGTGATGGAGGCGCTGGCCACAGCGCGCGCTCACCCCAAGGACATCAACGCGCTCGCGGTCGCGCCCAATGACAGCTTGGTCGCCTCGGCCTCGCAGGACAAGACGGTCAAGGTCTGGTCGCTGCCGGACCTTGACCCGGTTGCGACGCTCTCAGGCCACCGCAAGGGAGTCTGGGATGTGCAGTTCTCGCGGGTTGACCGTGTCCTCGCCTCGGCCTCGTCCGACAAGACCGTCAAGATCTGGTCGGCCCGTGACTACAGCTGCCTGCGGACGCTCGAGGGCCACGCGGCCTCGGTCCTTCGCGTCCGCTTTGTCTCGGCAGGTATGCAGGTGGCGACGACGGCCGCCGACGGCATCGTCAAGGTCTTCACTCTCAAGACCTCGTCGTGCGCGGCAACCATCGACGCCCACAACGAGAAGATTTGGGCGTTGGACGTCGCCGCCGACGGCGAGTACATGCTGACCGGCGGCGCAGACTCTGCGCTCACCGTCTGGCGCGACCAGACCGCGGTCGTCGCCGCCGCCGCCGCTGCCGCCGCCGAGGACGTCGTCCTCAAGGAGCAGCGGCTCGCCAACGCGCTGGCCTCCTCCAAATACTCGGAGGCGCTCGAACTTGCGCTCGAGCTCAAGCAGCCGCGCAACGCGCTCCGCGTGCTGCAAAAGCTCGACACGGCAGCGGCCAACCAGACCGAGCGCACCGCTGCGCTCGCCGAGCTCGTTGCCCCACTCTCGCCGGGCAAGCTCGAGACCCTGCTCGGCTTTGCCAAGATGTGGAACACCATAGCCCGCAACGCCTTTCTCGTCCAGTCGCTCCTGCACGCCGTCTTTACCTCGTTTGATCCCGAGGATCTGGTCAGCTCCATGGAGGGCTCGCTCGGCAGCGTCCTCACCGCGCTCGAGCCGTACACCATCAAGCATGCCGCCCGGCTCGATCGCCTCTACCAGGCCTCATTCCTCCTCGACATTACGCTCAACGAGATGGACGTGCTGCAGCCGCTCGACGAGGCTCCAGGCGCCGCGACCAGCAAGCGCGCGCTAGACAACGATAGTGACGACGACGACGCCGCATCGAGCCCGTCTGACGAGTCTGCCGAGGACGACAGCGCGGCGGCGACCAGCGACGACGACGAGAGCTCGTCGCGGGCCCAGGCGACAAAGACCAAGCGTGGACGGTCGCTCCGGCACCGCTCGAGCCAGGCTGTGCGGCGGACGTAGCGCCTGCTGGCCAGAGAGACACAATGAATGAAGCCACGTTGGCAGATACGGTCATTTACGTGTGATTTTCTAGCAGGAGGGGACTATGATGCCGACGACGGAGGCGCGGGCGACGCCGACGCCTCGGGCGGGGTGAGGAGGGCGAGGAGCTCGTCGAGATGCGGGACGTTGACAGCGGCGGCGTCGGCGCCGGCGCCGAGGCCCATGCCCGAAAGTGCTGACTCGCAGCGAGCGATCTTGTTGCGGGCAGCAGCGACCTCGCGCTCAAGCTCGCGCATTTCGTCTTGCAGCGCCGCCTGGCGGTCGGAGAGGAAGGCGAGCGCGTCCGGGAGAGCGAGGCCCTCAACGTCGACCACATCGACGGCGCGAGCAGCGCGCTCGAGCTGGGCAAAGCGGCGCTTGATGAGGTTATCGACTCGTGCGCGGACCTGCTGGCGGTGGACAACAAACATCTCATGCAGAAGAACAACGTCGCTCTTGTCGCGGTGTGTCCGCGGGAAGCACTTGCGGAACTGGTCGAGCGAGAACGAGTCGTACAGCCGCGGGCCGAGGAGGTGGTCATACACCTTCTTGCGCAGGTTGAGGAACAGGTCCGACGACACATCCATGGTTGGAGGGACGGCGACAAGCACACCCGGCCAGTGGGTGAGGGGGGGGGGGGGGGGGGGAGGGAGGAGGGGAGGTGGGGGAGGTGTGGTGGTGGTAGAAACTGGCGCGGGCGGTCGATGGCTTGCAAGCGTCAGCGGGGCGGTCGGCGGTCGGCAGTCAGCTTTGGGTGGGCGGTCGAGTGGCATCTACCGCGGGCCGCGGGAGAACAGGTGACAGACAACGGGAGAGTGGAGCTAGCTGCCGCAGACTCGCAGACTCGATGGCCTTGCCTGGGCTTGGGCCAGCCGCCAGCCTCTTCCCTTCGCCCCGCCTCCCTGTCCCCCCCCCCTTGTGCCGTCTTTGGTACCGTCTGGCTCGGCCTGCACGATGTCGGCACGATGTCGGCCTGGCTCTACCCAACCCAATTTGCAGATGGTTCGACATGTTTCGCCACAGCGTGGTGCGGGACGAGCGAGGGGCTGGAGCGCGGGCAAGCGGCGCGACGAGGGCATCAGCGCTCTCGGCCAATCGCACTTGCATCGCCTGCTCAAGGCTCCTTTTTGTTGACATGGATCTCCTCGCGCTACCGGACGAGGTGCTCATTCTGATTGTCCATGGCCTGGGTCTCCTGCCGCCGCGCGACGTGGTGGCGCTGGCGAGCACCTGCCGCCGGCTCCACACCACCCTCCTCGGCTCGCGGCTCGAGTACGCGCGGGTGCACGCGACGATTGGATACGACGCATGCATTGCGCATGGATTGTGGGCCGGCGCCGAGTACTGCCTGGTAAGAACGCCCCTCCTTGCCGAGTACGTGCCTGCGACCGCGCCGACGACGGCGGGCGCCGACGACTGGGCCTGGCTCGGCTCGGCCGACGACCTGCGCTCCGGCCGTGAGTTCTGGTACGACTGCCCATCGCGGCTGGTGGATGTTGCCGCTGGTGCATGGCTTGGTATTGCTGCCGATCGCTTCCGCCTCGCCGCGAGGCTCACCCGCCTCGACGCAACCGTTGCCGTCGAACGCACGCCGGCCACCGCCGCAGCTCTCGCCGAGCTGGGACCGTTCGGAGGCAGCGCACTGACGCTTGCGGCACTTGCCGTCCTTGCTGGCGACGCCGAGCTGGCCATCTGGCTCGTGACTAGCGCCGAAGCTGCCGCGCCGCCGCACGCTGTCGATCAAGCGCTCCTTCTCGCTTGCGCGCTGCAGCTCCCGGCCGTCATCACGGCCTGCCTCACCGCCACTTGTGGGCCGCCGGACAAGCACACGTGGGACCGTGCGGCAAGCATTGCCCGCAAGCATGCTACGCTAGGGCGTGCGCATCCATCGTCTGCCAAGGTTCTCCTCGCCCTCTTTACCAGCAGCGCCCCAGAAGCAAGTCCGCTCGTCGCCATCGACGCCGAGCCGGCCAGTGGCGCAACGATCTCGTGGCCCACCACTTAGCGCAGCTAGAGCCGAGTGGAAGCCCGGCAATCGTGTGGAGCGTATTGCCGGATGAGAACAAAGCCAAAGTTTGCTGCGCGCGTTGACTGTGGCAGGCAACGCGGCGCGCCGTGGCACGGGTGCGGCTGGCGGAAACTTCCATTTTGGCACACTCGGCGGTCAGGACACCCAACTCTGGTAGAGCCATGGCGAGCGAGAGTCTTGAGGCCAGTGTTGTCAACAGCAGGCTCGAACGCGAGGTTGTGCTAGCGTGCGAGGAGAGCCTGGCCGCCGAGCTGGCGCCAGGCATGCCCGAGTTTGTGGCGGGCATGATTGTGGTCTTGGTGAGTGAGCACATGCCGGCAACTGAAGCCGAGCTGGCGGCGCTGGTGGAGGAGGCTCTGGCGGATGAGGCCGAGGCGGTCGAGGGCGGGACCGAGGGTAAGGTTGAAGAGATCATGGCCCGAATGCCGGTCAAGGACCTTGTCGGACTTGGCGAGACCGAGGCCGGAGCCCGCGCCCGCGCCGCCGCGGCCGCCCCGCTGAGCGCTGACGAGCTTGTTGGCTGCGCTGGCATGGCCGTCCTTGACGCCGATGGCGAGTGGCACCCCGTTGTCATCGAGCGCGCCGAGCCTGCCGCAGGCATGGTCGATGTCCGGTTCGTCGAGTACGGCTCAGCATTTGTGACGCTACCGCTAGCAGACATCCGTCTCGAGTCGGAGCTCCTGGTCTCGCCCAAGGCGACAGGCCTCTGCCCGATGTGCGAGCGCAAGCTCCCGCTCACCTTTCATCATCTCATTCCGCGCACAACGCACGGGCACTACCTCAAGAAGGGCTACACCGTCAAGCAGCTCAACGAGGGAGTTAACGTGTGTCGGCCGTGCCACTCGGCCATCCACCGCGCCGAAGACGAGGAGACGCTCGCCCGCGAGTGGCGGACGCTCGACGCCCTCCTCACTCACCCGGCCATCATCAAGTGGATTGGCTACGCCCGCAAGCTCTCTTCGCGCAACTACTCGGGTCTCGGCGACGCGCCGGCCGTCCAGAACGCACTGCAGCGATCCAAGAAGCAATGACGCGGTCCGCGGGGGTTGCAACAGTGTTAAGGTCTGCCTCTCAGCTGGCGGCTCACGCTCACTCTAGGTAGTCAAAGGTGGCGTCGATGCCAAAGTACTGATCAAACTGCTTCGGCTCCATGTTGTACGTCTTGCGGCAGTAGGTGCGGACCTGGAAGACGTTGTCGGTCCAGCGGTTGGCAGCCTCACGAGCGAGCGCGGCATCGGCGCGAATCTTGGCCACCACCTCGGGGTTCGAGTCGGCGTACTGCACCAACTTGCGGTCGAGCTCCACAAGCTTGGCCTTGAGCTCCTCGACCTCGGCCAGCGCCTCGGTCCGCTCGTCCGACTCCTCGCGGGCATCCTCGAGCTTCTCCTGCTCGTCCTCGAGCATCTTCTTACGCTTGATCTTCTCCTCGCGCTCGTTGATGAGGTCGTTCTCGCGCTGCCGCTTGCGGCAGCCCACCTGCGACGCAAACGCCCAGTAGTAGTTGGACGAGCCGATCCTGTCGAGGCAGAGCAGGTTGTCGTCGACGAGCGTCTGCGCCACATCTTTGATCGACATCACCGGCAAGCCAAGCTTCGCCCCCTTCTTCTCCATCTCCTTCAAGTTGAAAAAGGTGTTTGAGGAGAGGAACATGTTGAGCAGGATCTGGCGCTTCTGCTCCAGCGACATGCCGCGGCGAACCTGAGCGTCCGAAAAAGGTCGTGTTTTGACGCCTCCCTGTGAGTCGCCTCCCCCCCCCTCCTCCCTCCTCGCTCTTCACCTCCACCACACCCACGCCGCCCACCCTACATAACCACGAGGTCATATTTCCACCCCCGCGTGCCTGCCTACCATCTTGTCTTTGTTTGTGAGGGGAGGAGGGAAAGGTGTCTCTCTGTCGGCCGTCGGGCGAGAGGAGTGGTCGTGTCGCCCAGCCGACCGTCGCTGTCGGAGCGTAGCCAATCGTCAGTCGCGATGACTCGCCGCTGTTCAGAGGCAAGCGCCTCGCGCGACTCGCTGGCCTCGCTGGCATCGCAGTGCGAGTCGCTGGCATCCGTCGTCGCACTCTTGGATACTGTTGAGGCCAACGACGGCGCCGAGGCACTGTAGCTTGAGCGGTCGTCGGACGGTGGTGATGCCAGCGTGTTCCACTCTAGGCCATATCGAGCGCACGTGGGGAAGGGCATGACAGGTTCAGATCAATACCACCATGAATCTTACCTTCAGATCCATATGCTTCGGCACCCGTCACGATCCAGGCCATTTGCAGGTCAACCAGATTCGCGGCCGTGGTCTGGAGGCTCAACTGCCCACATCCAGCCAGACACCCGAACCGAGCACTGCCACCACTACAGTGCAAGCTTACACTCGTCACGCGCAACACGTACCATGGCTATGGTGTGGGAACAACTGGTGGAGAAGCTTGGGATGCAGGCCCATCCCGAGGGCGGGTTCTTTGTGGAGACGTACCGGGCCGACGAGGAGGTGGCCGGCGGGGCGCTGCCGGCGCGGTTCTCTGCGACGCCGCGGGCGTTCAGCACCGCCATCCTCTTCCTCATTCCGGCTGGCCATGTCTCGGCGCTGCATCGGATTGCGCAGGACGAGGTGTGGCACTTTTATGCTGGTTCGCCACTTGTGGTCGAGGTTCTCACCGACGGCGAAGACGGGCCGTCGTCGTCTGCCCTTCTCCTCGGGTCCGACCTCTTCGCCGGCCAGGCTGTCCAGGGCGTGGTCAAGGCCGGGGCCTGGTTTGGTGCGCATCTGGCCGATGAGGATGCCGGGCCTGAAGCGTACGCGCTGGTCGGCTGCACGGTTGCGCCGGGCTTTGACTTTGCCGACTTTGAGCTGGCCAAGGCTGACGAGATGGTGGCCAAATTTGCCAGCGTGCCTGGCCTTGACGAGGCGCTTCTGCGGCGTATGTGCGCGGCTTAAGGACGTGCGCATGGCTCGAGCGCCATGATGATACCCACGGCCACGGTGGCTGCGCCGTCGCGGAGCATGATCGAGCCCAGCCGCGGCATCACGCTGTGGCGCTCGGCGGCTACCGGCGCGGCCAGACTCAACACGGCGTCGAGGTGGTCGCCGGGGCGAGCCACGAGCGGCTTGTGCTTGCTCCGGCTCTTGGCCTTGGCCCGTGGCCGCCGCAGGCCCTCGACAAGTACGTCGACCTCGGCGGCGTGGATGTGAGCCACAGCGTCGTAGCCGGCCATGACTGGGCCCGGTGCCGAGTCTAGGAACAACAGTCGAACCATGACCTTGGTCGTCGGCAACGTCGGGTGCCCGTCGATGTCGTCGATGAGGACTTGCCCGAGGCTGAGACTGACCTCGTCGATGCCACGGACCGTGAGCGTGACTGGTGTGCCCGGCCCGGCCGCCGCCACCTCGATCTGCCCACCTGGCTGCGGCGTGGTCATGCTCACCACGTCGAGCGTCGCGCCGCTCGGCTCGAGCCGAAGCCGGTCGCCGGCGTTGATTGTACCCAAGGCGATCACGCCCATGATGTTGAGTCCGGTAAACGGGTCGGTGAACCAGTCGCTGACCGGGAGGCGGAGCGGCAGCGCCGCCTCGGCCGCCGTCTGGCGCGCAGGCAGCGCCTCCAATGCCGCCATCAGGCTGGGAATATCGGCCGTCCACGCCGCGTCTCCGCGCCGCTCGTCGGTCACATGCTCGCCAGTCCACGCCGAGACCGGAACGCACGTCACGGCCTCGGGTTCAAAGCCAAGCGAGGTGGTGAGAAAGTGGGTGAGTGTGGTGGCAATGTGCGCGTAGCGCGCCTCGCCCCATGCCACCGATGGGTCGTCCATCTTGTTGACAGCCACAATGATGTGCTTGAGGCCGGCAGCCCGGGCAAGCACGCAGTGCTCCTTGGTCTGCCCGCGGGCGTCAAAACCCTCCTCAAACTCGGTCGCCCTCGCCGAGACCACCAACAGGCCCGCGTCGGCCTGCACGGCTCCGCCGATCATGTGCGGGACAAACGCATCGTGGCCTGGCGCGTCGAGGAGCGCCACCTTGCGTGCAGTGCCGGGCGTGACCAGGGCCGCCCGTCCGATCTCGCATGTCTTCCCGCGCTCGCGCTCAAACTCGGTCGAGTCCATCGCAAAGGCCCACTTCCACGACGTGCCGGCACCTGATGCGCTCGCCTCGCGCTCAAGCCGGTCCAGCATCCGCCCGTCGAGCGCCTTGGCCTCGTACAGCAGCCGGCCGCAAAGCGATGACTTGCCGTGATCAACCTGTCCGATTACACACACAGAGATCCGACCTTGCTCTTCCGCACTCATGGCTGTCTCTTGGTCCTAACACTGCGTATCCTCGGGCCGCCCCTTCCCGCCACATGCTAAGCCGGCACTGGTTTTGTGGGCAGGACGCGCTCCGCCTTGTGGCTCCTTTCTAGTTGCCAGGCAATGTCTGGTTGCCTGGCAACGAGGGCTGCAGCAGGATGCCCACCGCGCCGGCACTGTAGCCAGCACACCAGCCACTGTCACGCACCACCCGTCTCCCTCCCAACACGTCATGCAGCAATACCTTGCGCTTGTCGAGTCGCTGTGGGCCCACGACACAAGGGCAGCGTGCTGGGCGTGGGGCGCGGTGCTGGGTGCGGTCTCGGTCGTGACTGGCGCGTTCGGAGCGCACGCGCTCAAGGGCATCGACCCTGGCCTGGCCAAGACATGGGACACTGCGGTGCGGTACCACACGTACTCGGTCTTTATGCTGCTGTTCCTCGCGGTGGCGCCAGTTGCTAACCCGGTTGCCCTGGTTTGGCCGCTGCGGCTGGTCCTTACCGGAACCACTCTCTTCTCCGGCTCGCTCTACCTTCTCGTCGTCACCGGCATCCGCAAACTCGGCGCCATCACCCCGATCGGCGGCCTCATTCTCATTGCAGCCTGGCTCGCTCTTGGTGGCGCCATCATCCCGCGTCCCTCCCGAGCTTAAGCGGTCAGCTGCTACCTCCCTTATCACGCCAGGAGTGGCTCTGGCCAGCGGCTGCAGCGCAAAGCAGCACTGCCACCAACCTTGGACACATAAAGCTCCTCATTGACCCGGCGGCCTTTGGCCGGCCGAGCCGGGTCACGTGGCACACGCGAGCTTGGAGCACCCAATTTCACAGGTCACATGCCGTGGCGGTCTCTTCTCAACTTTTCCCGGCTGTGGAACGAGCCGCCGCCTCCCGCTACCACCCACCCAGGCTGCTTGAGTCACACGCACGCACGGCCACACCGCACTCTAAGCACAGCAAGTAGCAACACCAAGCAGCCGCAAACTTGGTTTTCTCGATTGTGTTCCTCATGCGTGGGTGCTCGCCTGTCCTCCTGGGACTTGTGGCGGTGCTCGCGGTGGCTGTAGCGGCGACTGCCCAGGATGGCAGCCGTCCGCTCCCACCACCCCTGTGCCGGGCCGTCATCGGTCTAGCAACAAGTACGTCGTCCTTGGGGAGGCGACGAGTGCAAGGAGGGGGAGGCAGGGAGCGCAAAGGATATTGTGGTGGGGCAACAGGTGGGTGGCGGGAGACTCACTAGGAGCTTGCGTGAGAACAGACTCCCCCCGCGCCCCGATGCGTTTCCGGGCGCGGCAACGGTGACCGGCGGCCTTGCCAAGGCCGTCGCCAACCACGCTGCCTGTGCACCAAGCGCAGGCAACAACGAATTGACCCAGCTCGATGTAACGCTGTCCCCTAGCCCGGTCGCCTCGCTGTCCATGGCAGTGCCTGCGTCTCTGGCATCGGCGCACGTGACTTCGGCGTCGTGGGCGGCTTCGGTGTCAGCGTCGTCGGAGAGCGGGTCGATGACCGGTCTCACCGTCAGCCACACACTGACGGTGACCGTGTCGATGGCACTGGCTTCGGCACCAGACGCTGTCTTTACCGTTAGCGGCAAGCTGGAGATGACGGCCTCGCTCCCGCTCACGACCATGCCGCTGGCGTACCTCGCCGAGCTCGAGCTGCCCTTCCACGGCAAGCTCGAGCTGACGGGCACCAGCGGAGCAACGGGCAAGGTCCTTATCGTCGACACTCACCCGACCGACGGCCAACTTCCGCTTGTTCTCATCCACGCGACGACGCCAACGTCTTCAGGTGCGGTCGCGGCGTCTACTGCGACCATCGTGGCCAATGCCTTGGCGCAGGTGCCTTCGGACACCATTCCGTCGTGGATGGATACCCCGCTGACGCTCTTTGCCTCGCTCCGCGCTGGATTCGTGTCCACGGGCGTTGGTGCCCCGGTCGTGGTGGCGAGCGGCGAGCTCGTCCGCTCGGCGTCGGAGACTGTGCCCGGCGCGACCATCTACGCCGCGCACGCCGAGTGCCTCGTGGGCGGCTGCTCGGTCCTTCTCGAGTCAACTCTTGCGTCTGCGATTACGCAGACCGGAACCGGAGCCGATGCTGCTGCCGTCGTCTCGACGCTTGACTCGGTCTTTGCGGTCTCGGCGACGTCGATCATTCCGGTCTCAGTCTCCGCCACCACGGTCGCGGTCGGAGACAAGGTTGGCATTGTCTTGCGCGCTGCCACCTCGCTCGACGCACTGGCGCCGGCGTGGCCGACCGCCATTGTTGAGCTCTCGCCTGAGCTCCTCCTCGGCATGGGCCGCGGCCTCCAAGTCCGGTTCTCGGGCTCTGTGGCATCAGTCATGATTGGCTCGGGCGCCGATGCGCAGCGGGTTGTTCCGCTCGCGCCCGTCTTTGACGGCTCGTCGCTGGGTGGCGTGGCGCTGCCGGACGCAGCGCTGACCGGCAATGCCAGCGATGTGGCCGCCATTGCCGCGCAGGTGGGCGAGGCGCTGACGGCCACGCCATCGCTTGCGCCAATGCTTGCCGAATTTATCAACACTCGTCTTGTGCCTGCGTCTGGCGTTGATGGTCTGGTGGATGCGTACCTAGCGGCAACGCTGACGCCAAGTTTCAACGGATTCTGGGCGTGGTTTACCGGCCCGCACACGCGGACCGTCTGCGCCGCCTCGCAGTTGGAGCATTGCTATCTTCAGTTCCGTGCTCCGTTGGCCGGCGAGACGACAGTCGTGCCGACTCTGGAAGTTGTGCTCGCTGGACGGAGCCTCTCCGCCCCGCTCCCGGCAACCTGCACTCATCATCTTAACGCCACGTTTGCAGCGGGTGCTGCGGCGCTAACTGCATCTGTGCCTGCCGTCGCCGGCTTTGGTGCGCCCGGCTTTGTCACCACCGTCTCGCAGCTCACGCTCGCGCAGCAGTCGGTCTACCTCGCGGGTACAATGGATCTGGTGTACAGTGGTGCGCCTGCGTGGAAGCATGCGCCCAAGGTCTACACCTCTATCCGGGCACGCGCGGTGGATCTGGTCTCGACTGACCCGACTGGTGCCGCGCTCTACACGGCTGCCGACGTTGCATGCACAAATGGGGGCCTTCAAGTCGAGAGCGTCTCGCTCTCGACTGACGCCTCTTCCGCCGGTGGCTTTTCCTGGGCCTCGCTAGCGCAGGGCAAGGTTGCAACCAACAAGGTGAGGGTTTCGTCGGCCGGTGCGTCGGCGCTGGCTTCTTCGCTCTCGGCGGCCTCGACCGAGCTGGCCACCGCTGGAAATCACGCGTGGGCTACGAGCGAGATTGGGCCGACGAGCCTGGTTCTTGGCGCGTCCATGCTCTCTGTCCTCGAGGCACTCGAGAATGCTGTGGCTGGCAAGCATGCGCACGACGCCAAGGACATGGTGGCGGTGGTGGCGGCGGCGCTCGACGCCGCGCCGGGTGGGCTCGGTGCGCAAGTCACCGTCGAGCTGACCGGCACTGCTGGCGCGCCTCAGTTGGCAGTCAGTGTGGCGAGCGTTTGGCGGGCTGAAACGCGGATTCAGACCGAGGCCGCCCCGTGGGCCGGAGTGGTGGACCTCTCGCGGGTTCCGCTGCACCTACTCCTCACTTCGGAGCTTGAACTCTCGACTGCAGCTCCAAGCAGCGTGACGCTGGCAGTCAGCGGCACAGCACGTGTGGCGCATTTTGCAGCGCCAGCGAGCTGGCAGATGTCGGCCGCGGCGGTGACCGACGGCTCGATGCATCTTAAGCTCGACCTCCCGACCAGCTCGAGTCTCTCGGTCAAGTGCGATGCCAAGACAGACGGGCTGTCGGGCTCGATGGCGTCGATGCGTGTGACGATCGAGGACAGCGACCTCGCGGCAATGGACAATGCAAACCTGGTCAACGGGACCGTGCCGCTCTCGTCGGACGCGGCCGTCAATGTGGTCGGCTACCCCCACTTTCCGCCCAAGGCCGTGCTTGCCAGCGCCTCACTCCACGGCTCGGGCCCTGTGGCCTCCCTCCTTCCGACGCTCTCTGCCACGGCACCCAAGGACATCATAGCGGCGCTGTCGAACACGCTCTCGTCGGTTGCCAGCTTTGGCTCTGGAGCCGGCTCATTCCCGCTCCCTCTGGTGAACAAGGGCGTCGACGCGCTCGACTCGGTTGCTGCGGCGCTCGAGCCGATTCTGGCCAAGCTCACCTGGGCTGGTGACCTTGAGCCGGAGCTCATGTACGCGACCGTGTGTGTGGACGCGCCAATTGCAGCACACACCGAGAACTACGCGATTGGCGTCAACGCGCCGTCGCTGCCAACCGTCGAGTGCTCGTTCTCGTTTGAGGCGCTCAACACTGGCAACCTGGCGAGGTCGCTGCTTGCGACGGCCGAAGCCGGACTTGCTGGATGCACCTATGCCGGCAAGGCCGGCCTCCGGGTCCGTGACTTTGTGGCACCGAGCGTGAGCAGCGTCTTCTCGCAGGACGGACAGAGCTGTGCAGTGTTTTCGCTCAAGCCGGCGGTGCCGGGAGTGGTGAAATCGTTCTCGATGAAGGCCAAGAGCAAGAGTCACGTGCTCTCGCCGTACACAACGACTTGGACAGAGTCGTCGGTGCCCGTTTTTGGACGGTGGGACGACCTGGTTGTCCTCCTTGCCCAGTCAGGTATCAACTCGCTCGTCCACCTTCCGTCGTCTATCGAGGTCGAGGCGCTGAGCCTGCCGTCGTGTGTGCCGAACGTGCCGGGCTGGGCAGCGTACTTCTCGGGCGTCCTGCCTGGAACTGCTTTCAAGCTCGGCTTTAACGCGACGCTCTTTGACGGAACTACCTCGTCGGTGGCGTCGACGATGAAGGCTGGGCCGATCAACGTCGAGCTGCCTGCGTCCAGCGCGCAAGCCCGCGTCGACGCGTTTGTGCAAGCCGAGGTCGGCATCATCCACGGATGCGCGCCGCTGCGATCGGCGCGCAACATCTCGATCGAGACTGCGTTTGTTAACGGGTCAGCAATCGAGGACTTTTCCACCGCGCGGGTGCCTGCCACCGGCGGTGGCTTCCAGCTCCACGCGCAGTTTGTTGTGCGGTCTGTCGAGCCTGACGTCCCACCCAAGTCGGTTGAGGTGGCGCAGTACATTCATCTCGCGCCCGGTGCGCTAGTGTCGGAGCAGCTCATGCACGCGCTGCTGTCGCAGATCACCGACGTCGAGCTCGCTGGCGTGCTCGGCGTCGGTGTTGTGGCACCCGACCCAGTGCTCAACCCGGGCTCGCCGCAAGTGGAGATTGCTATCAACGCGGCAATCAACCCGGAGACTCAACACCTGGTCATCCCGTACTCGCTCTCGATTTCGAACATCACGGTGCCTGGCCTCGAGTACGCCGCACCAGTGATGAGCCAGTCGCGGTCGGTGGTGAAGGAGCTTGTGGTTGGCCTCTCTGCTGCTACGTCGTTCGAGGCAGAGGCAACAACCGGAACGCTCGGCCCGCTCGGGCTCGAGGTCGGGTCGGTGACGGCGGAGACATCGGCGTCGCTGGTTCTCACTGCGGCCTCGCCGTGGCTCACAACCGCTACGGCGCTCAAGGCCGGGACGACGACGAGCTCGCTCTTCTCCACCTTTACACTCGAGGCCGATGTTTCTGGCTCTGCAGTCGTTGGTGACATGCACATCGACGCGCTCGACGCGCCAGTGCCCGGCCTCCCACACCTCACCATCAACCTTGGCGTGTCTGACTCGGGCGACCTGGCCTCTGGCGCTGCGTTTGAGCAGTTTAAGGAGAACCTGCAAGCTGAGGCGACGGCGACGTGGTCTGGCGACGATGCGTTGATCCGCATGCTCAAGGGCATGATGTCCAAGGACGCGTCGATGTGCGAGCTGCTCAAGGCCGGCGTCGACTTTCTGGCCGACGTCAAGGCCGACCCCAGCGTCCAAGCCCCGCTTGCCCCGATGAAGCACTCGCCGTTTGGCCGGGTCCTCGGCAAGCTGTTGCCCATGTACGACGACACGGTGGCAGCGGTGTGCGATCACGGCGAACCAATGTCGGTTGCGCTGTTCTGCTCGTTTATGGCCGACGCGTTCCACTACCAAGTTGGGCCGGTGTGCTCTGACGTCACGCTTGCGCACGACATGTTCCAGCTCCCGCTCACGTTTACGGCCTACTCGTACTCGTACACCGACGCGTCGGTGATGGACACCCAGCTGTTCCACGGTGGAGGCGAGCTTGCCGCGGGCGTGTCGACATCGAACAACCTTGCGGTGTCGGCCAAGGTCGAAGTTGCGCTTGTTCTCGACGTCACCTTCCCCGAGTCTGGGCCGATCCAGATCTCGCTCAACAAGGACGAGACGTACGTGCGGGCGTCTGCCGGTGGCAGTGACGACGGCCAGCTCAAACTGCAGTTTGGTCCGTTCTCTGCGCAGGTGGCAAAGTCGCGGGCATGGCTGGCGGCTACAGATGCGGTGGGAGAGACGGCACCCGCCACTCTCGCCGCCTCGCCGGGCACCGGGGTCGTCCTCGGCGGCTCGGCCGGCTTTGAAGCGACGGTCACGTTTCCGTTTGTAGACACGTCACAGTGTGAGATTTCTGTGGAAGTGCCGAACCTGGCCGAGCCGTCATCTGCGACGGCTTCGGACGCAAAGTGCGCCGACTTTGTGTCCAACCTCGAGTCGGTGCTCTCGCGGTCGTGGATGGCCGAGTTCTTTTCGCATCCTGGCACCTTTTTCTCCTCGTTCTCAAGCGAGATCGCCAAGCTTCGGGCACAAATGTTTGGTCCAGACTCGATCATTGGCTCCAAGGCAATCGCGTTTATCGACAAGAAACTCGCCACGCTCTTTGATGGCGAGCTCGCGGTCATCACCGGGCCGGCCGTTGCCTCGCAGATCATCCACCAGATCTCGGTCGACCTCGTTGACAAGCTCGCGGGCATTCCGGTCTCGACAACTGTCGACGAGATTGTGGTCGAGATTGTGACCGGCGCGCTCAACGCGCACCTCCCGCACCTGGCGCAGCCGGTCACCGTCGCCCACGATGCGCAGGCTCGCAGCTACACCTGGTCGATCGAGTTTGGCAACTCGGCACTCCGTCCGCTGTTCTCGGTTAACTCAGACTGGGGCGCGCATGGCCTGCTCGACCTTGACATCCAGTGCAACGCCCAGCTCGAGGCCGACTGGACTTTTTCCATTGCGCTCGTTTACTCGGCGGTTCACGGCGTCTCGGTCACGCTCCCGGTCGAGCCGGCCTTCTCGTCGACCGTCGACCTCGACATGCCATCCGGTTGTCAGCTGGTCGGAGGGCTTGGTCCGCTTGGCTTTGAGCTTATCACCACGCCGGCGGAGACGTACCTCAAGGGCACGCTCGCGCTGACGCTTCAGCCCAAGGCTGACGTCGACATCGACATTTCGGCTCAGTTGGGCGGTAGCGGCCTCCTTGGCGCCGGTCCACTCATTGCCGACCTCGCGCACACCACGCCACAGGAGGCGCTTACCGCGTTCATCCACTACGAGGCCTCGTTCAAGGCCGGGTACGAGTTTAACGTCAAGGCCGGGCAGACGTCAACCACGCCGACCAAGCTCGCGCTCAACGACGTCGAGATGTGCCTCGGCACCATGCTTGTCAAGTACATCGACGCCATGATGGGCCACGTTACCAAGATCCTCGATCCGCTCAACAAGGTCTTTGGCCCCAAAGGCGTGCTCCTCAAGCCGATTCCGGGCATGTCCAAGATCTTTGGCTCCAACTTTAACGCCCTTCGTGTGGCACGGTACTTTTGTGAACTCACGTCAGACTGCAACATCAACGATCTTGTGGCGGCGGTCCGGACGTACGCACGGATCATGGACGTTGTCGCCGTTGCTGACGAGCTCTCATCGCTCGGCGTCGAGGGCTGCGGTGTGAGCAAACTGCTCGGCTCGTTTGAGCTTGCGCTTCACAAGCCAGTCCTCGTACCCGACAGCTACCTCCCACCCAAGACCAAGCAGATTCTGTACAACTCGGCAGTTGCGCAGGCTCACGAGAAGGAGATTGCCTCGTTTGTGTCGGGCGTGACGACCTCGGGCTCGTTCGGCATCGAGTACAACATCCTGCATGATCCGGTGGAGAAGCTCCTTGACATGATGATGGGAACCAACTTTGCCATTGTGGGTGTCACCATTCCGGACGCCACGCTCGCTCTTGGTATGCATTTCCCCATCCCGATCTGGCCGTTCCCGCACGTTGTGCTCTCGCTAGACTTTAAGGCTGCGCTCACAGTCTCGGTCGGTGAGGTCTCTCTCACTTACGATGCGGTCTACGAGTCGATCCACTACAAGAACCCGTCGTACTTGTTCCGCGGCTTGGGCGTGACGTACACCAACCCGGACGGCTCGCCGCACTACCCGCTCATCTTTACCGCGTCGATGACCGGCGAGGTCTCGGTCGGCGTCTTTATCTTCAAGGGCTACGGCTACGCCGGGCTCCAGATCGACGTCTCAGTCCGGCTCAACAACCCGAACGGTGGCGAGGTCATCACTTTTGACCAGATTGCGCGGCTGGTGAAGCACGGCAACCTGATGCACTCGCTCGACGGCGGCATTGTGCTGACATTCAAGTACGGGCTGGGCATCCGAGCATGTGTGCACCTCATTGTGGTCCACAAATGCTGGACCGTCGTCCACTGGGACGGGTCGACGACGCTCTTTACGCACAAGTTTAATCCGCAGTCTGTGCCTGCAGTCTCTTCGGGTGCGGGAGCGATCAACCTCGGGCTGGTCGACTCTACGACGAGCGGCATGATGCTGGCGAGTGGTGAGCTGCCGACGTACACCATTGACGATGCCGGCAACGGCATGATCTGGTTTGCCTTTGTGGTGCCTGGCCAGCCGGTGGGTAAGGCGCTGCCGACCCGTGGCGTGCCATCAGTGTCAGCCAAGGTTGTGACGTTTGCTGGATCCACAAACGGCGCCTTCCGGGTGGTGCCGCGGTCTTCGACACCTGTTGCGCTGCCGTCGGTCGCCACCGCCCATGTCGAGCTTCCGATGGCGTATCACGCGCCGGCGAGCGGGACACCGACGTATGTGGCGAGTGGACTCAAGGTGAGCGCGGCCAGCGGTGCCGGTGCCTCACTGGGCAAGACCTGCGGGAGTGTGAGCCTCACCGAGCCTGTGGAACGGGCGTCGATCGGTATCGAAGGCGCGGTGTGTCCGGTGGCGGTGACGGTGTCGACTGCGAACAACGTGACAATATCAGGCAGTTTGGCAGCATACGGCGGGCATGCGGTGACGGTCTCTGGATCTGGAGGCGACACGCTTGCGGTGGAGGTTGTGACAGAGAGCGTGCGGATCGAGTCGTCGACGGTGCTGCTCGGCAAGAACGAGCTCTCTGTGGCTCTTGGTAACGAGGGTGTGTTCTCGCGGCTGCGGCTGAAGGGCTCGGCGTCGCAGGCGACAACCTTTACGGTTGCTGCAGTGCCGGCCGGGACCGAGACGTCTGCTCACGGTGGCGACGGCGACGACAAGTTTGAGGTTGCTGACCTCGCGGCTCTCGGCTCGCTGGTCACGGTCAACGGAGCTGGTGGCGATGCCAACAGCCTCAGTGTCACGCTTGCCAAGGATGCGACGTTTGCGGACATCATGGCCGACTTTGTCCTCGGCGGCTTTGACTCGGCCCCATCGCGCGGTGTCGGATTTGGCAACATCCAAACGCTCAACGTCAACGTGCATGCTTCGGCGAGCAAGAAGTCTGTTGGTCTGTATGTGGCGGCACCGGTGGCAGGTACCAATGTCAACCTGGTTGGCATTGGTGGTGCGCCCAGCTCGGTGCTAACCTACGATCTGCGCGGATGCACCAAGGAGTCAAAGCTGGTTGTGACCGTGCAGGGCGAGGGGAGCCACTCTGTGCTCCTGGGCAACGGAGCCCACTCGCTCATCGACTATGAGTGTGATATCGAGATTGTCAATGAGGCCAAGGCCGACGTGACGGTCCATGTCCATGCAGCGCAGGACAAGCGTGCGCTCAAGTATGCTGTGTCTGACAGCGGCGTTCATGTGACAGATGCGTCAGGCAAGACAGACGGAATGCAGATTGTGTTCAACGGACCTGTTGCTCGCGCGCTTGTCCACTTTGGCGTAGGTAGCACTGTCGCGGAGCACAAGATGGTCCACGCGACAACTGAGGTGCTGTACACGTCTGCCGGCGCTGCCAAGCTTGTGATGGCGTCGTCGTCTGCAGCTGTTGTGGCGAACGGAACGATTGACGTGACGTTTGGGACTGCCGGGTCGAACAAGCATCCGCTGGCGGCGATTGCGGCGCCGGTGTTTGTGGGAACAGCGAGCGGTGGGTCGCTGACGCTTGCAAGTGCGACGGGCGCGAGTGCCCCGGACCAGTGGTTCAACTTTGCGTCGCACCGGGTGTGCGAGGCAGAGGCCAAGACGGCAACGCCGATGCGGCCGACGGTCAAGCCGACGGCGTGGGCGGTGGAGCTTGCGGCTGCAGCGGGTGTTCCCGCGGCGACCGATGGGCTGCCGGCGTGCCAGCTGGCATACGGCGGACAGCCGTCACGGTACGTAATGAGCGTGACGACCGGCGGTGGTGTCGACGGTATTGTGGGACTCGGTGTGGACAACGTGGCGCTGACTGCGTCGCTTGGTGACGAGGACGACGTTCTCGAGTGGAAGCCAAGTAGCGACGGTGTGGCGATGTCGCCGCTGGCGGCGTCGAGTGTGGCTGGTGGTGATGCGGACGATGTGTTCCTTGTGCCAGACCTTGCCGGCATTGTGTCGATGCTGTCTGTGGACGGCAACGGCGGTGTGGACAATGTGTTCAACGTGACGCTGGCGAGCGACGGACTGATGGCCGATGTGCAGGCAACGAACGTTGTGGGTCACTTTGGCAGCGGACCGTCGCGGGCTGTGGACTATGCAGACATTCAGGTACTCAACGTGGAGATGCATGCGTCTGATGCGCAGCGTGAGACGATGGTGTACGTGGCGACGCCTGTGGCGGGGACGAATGTCAACGTGATGGGCGTGGGTGCGAGCGCCGAGCATGAGCTGACGTACGACCTGCGCGGGTGTGATGAGAGCTCGACACTGACGGTGTATCCGCGCGGCAGCGGGTTCCACAACATTGTGCTCGGCAACGGCGGCGAGAAGCTCGACGGGTATGGATGTAAGGTGCGGGTGTTCAACGAGGACGCCAGTGACCGAACTGTGTTTGTGCACGTGCGTGGTGGCGACGATGCACGGACGATGAGCTACGCGGTGTCGGACGGCCTCATCGAGGTGACGCCGGCTGCAGGCAGCGGAAGCTCGTTCAGTGTGGAGATGGTTGGCGTGGCGCGTGCGCGTGTCGACTTTGGAGTGGGCAGCACTGCAGCCGAGCATGTGATGGCCAGCGAGTCTACCGAGGTGCTGTACACGTCTGCCGGCGCTGCCAAGCTTGTGATGGCGTCGTCGTCTGCAGCTGTTGTGGCGAACGGGACGATTGACGTGACGTTTGGGACTGCCGGGTCGAACAAGCATCCGCTGGCGGCGATTGCGGCGCCGGTGTTTGTGGGAACAGCGAGCGGTGGGTCGCTGACGCTTGCGAGTGCGACGGGCGCGAGTGCTCCGGACCAGTGGTTCGACTTTGCGTCGCACCGGGTTTGCATGGCAGAGCCGCAATCGGGCGTTTTGCTCCGGCCGCCGACAGCGGCGACAGCATGGACGATGGGCCTTGCAGCGGCGAACGGAGTGCCAGCGGGTACCGATGGGCTGCCGGCATGTCAGCTGGCGTACTCTGCTGTCGCCAGCCAATATGTGATGAACATCACAACCGGCGGTGGGAGGGACGGCGTGCTCGGGGCCAAGGTGCAGAACGTGGCATTGAGCGCATCACTTGGAAATGGCATTGACTTGCTGGACTACCTGGTGTCTGGAGCTTCGGCACCGCTCGAGGTGGATCTCGGAGAGGGGGTGGACTTTGCCAACTTTGTAGGCCCACTGGACTCGCCGACGCGTGTGGCTGTGGGCGCTGATGGAGCTGCCGACGTTGTTGTGTTCTGGGCGCCGCCTGTGATGGACTCGCTCTCACCGTCGCTGCTTGAGGGTGACTCAGTGGTGCCGTGTGGGTTCGGGCGGCCTGAGCCGACACTTGTTGTCTCGCAGCTAACGACGGACGACGCGATGTCGCTACTCGGCGGGACGCCAGACATGTCGACATATCCGTGGCTGGCCGGCTACTTTGGCGGCTCGCCGCGGACGATCAACGTGACGACACCTGTGGGTGGGCATCTCGACTTTGACCTTGCCGGCAAGGAGGTGATCGAGGTTGTGCAGCTTCCGGTCTCGTCCGAGAGCACGTTTGCTGCCGCGTCTGCCAGCCACCCGGGCGAAGTGGCCAAGGATTGGGTGTTGGACATTGCACTCGCTGCGGTGGACGAGCCAATGTCAGTTGCTGTCCATGGAGTGTACGGAGGCAACGGCACGGTTGTGCTGCACCTTCCGGCGCTGCCTTCCACGTCGGCGTCTTACGACGTGAGCGTGCACGACCTAGGCTACGGCGGATACGGGCGGGTGATTGTTGGTGGGCTGCGGCTGACGCTGCAGCACGTTGACGTGCTTGTCCTCGACGCGAGCAGCGCGCCGGGCACCACGGTGCGTGTTGCAGACGCACCTGCACCTGACGGACTGGAGACTGCGCTCGTGTTGCTCGCGCCGCATACAAGCATCCTTCCTGCCGAGTTTACGTTCCCGCTTGTGATTGCTGGAGGCGATGTGCTGGCGCAGTCTGGGGCGATTGTTTCGGCGACGGCGCCTGTGTGGCTTGTGGGTGAGACGACGCGGGTGTTTATGGACGCCGGCAAAGCGGTGGACGTGGACCATCACTGTGTCGTGTCTGCCGAGGGCGTGGCTAAGAACGCGATGCCGTCGCTTGTTGTGATCGATGTGGTTGTGGGCGAGCTCGGCGTGAGCTCAGCAGCGGCCGCGTCGGCGCAAGGATGCGGTGCCGGCCTCTTTGGCGTGTCATACGTGGAGATGACGGCAACGAACGTGAGCGTGGCTGGGATTGCGGCTGAGGTGAGTGCTGCAGTGGTGAACGTGACGACCGAAGGCGCGCGGATCTCGCTCAGCGATACAGCTGTGTGGTCAGAGGCCAAGCTTGCTGTTGGCGAGGAGGCCGAGCTGTATGTGACCCGCGAGGACGGGTCAGTGTTTGAGGTTGGCGCGCGGAAGACATCGCGGGCTACCGTTGCACTCGGCGTGTTTGCAGCGGCGAGCAAGGCCGATGTGCACTGCACTGCTGGTGCGGGCGGCGCTGCGTTTAACTTGAGGCGATCGACACAGCTGCGATGCGGACGGCGGTGTCGATTCAGGGAAGCGGCTGCGATGTTGCGCTCGGCTCGACGAGCGCGGAGCAGCGTAACGTGCCTGCGACGACGGTGTGGGGCGGCGACGATGATGTTGCGGTGACTGTCGACGCGACGGTGTTCAACACGAGCGCGGCGAGTGGCAGCGCACGGGCGGTGGTACGTGCTGTGGGCGAGCAGGTCGAGGTGACTCGGCCGTCTGGTGCCAAGGCTGTGGACGTGACGGTCGGGCGGCCGGGTAGTGCGTTGTTCTCCCGGGTGGCAATTACGGCTGTCGGGAGCGGGATGTCGACGGTAGCGTCGACTGACGACGCATTTGTTGGCGCCGCGGCGCTCACGCTGCCGACAATTGTGTTTGAGCCTGCCGGGTCTGGCTCGCGGCTGGAGCTTGTCAACGTGGCGAACGGGGAGCCGTCGCGGGCTGTTGTGGAGGAGGCGCGCGTTGTGAGCAACGCCGGCGGAGCGATGCGGCTGGAGTACTGTGGCGACGATGGATGCTCGTGGACGTGCTACGCGTCGTCGCAGTGCACGGCGCGGCAGCTCCGTGCGGATGCGCTGTTTGGCGGCCCGTGCACAGATGCGCCGGAGCTCGAATCGTGCGCGGCGGCAGCGCAATGGCGGGTTGTGGGCGCGGTGAGCGCTCAGCAGAGTCGCGACGGGCTTGCGTGCGTCCCGTACGGACCGCTTGTGCTTGGTGGCGACGGTGGCGGGGCGGGTGGGGCGTTTAGCGTGAGCCTGATGGGCTTTGTGCTGGGCTCTGCATGCGTGTGCGCGATTGCGACACTGTGCGGGTTTGTGTTTGCCGAGCGCGGGCTAGACTACGGACTCAACCAGGTGTTTGGCGACCGGTTCGGGTGGGCGCGGTTTGTGGTCTTTGCGCTTGTCTCGCGGGCGCGGCTTGCAGAGTGGTCGCCGACGACGGTGGACGCTGTTGCGGCGGCGTACCAGGCTGTGGCGAACCTCGGTGGAGTGCAGTGCGCGGCTGTGTCGCCAGCGCCCAAGCAAGACACGATGTGGCGGAACGTGGCGGCCGGGCTTGCGTCGGCGGCGTGCGTTGGGGCAGGCCTTGCGGCAGCGTCGCACGTGCTCGCGCGACGGCGGTTCGTGGGTGCGTCTGTTGTGGCGCGCCTCGCGCGTGCTCTGCTTGGCCTCGCGATGTTTGTCCTTGTTGTGCCTGCGCTTGCCAACGCGCTGCGGAGTGGAGCCGGCGTGGTGGTGGTGGCGACAAGCCTCGTGCTTCTTGCGCTCGGCCTCGTGCTAGACACGGTGCGGACACGGGTGGTTGTGGTCATGACTGGCGCGCACCTAGCGCTGGACTCGCCGGACACAGCGAGCAAGGCCGTGGCTGGGCTCGGATACCTGCTCACCTTTGGCGCAGCAGTCTCGGCGGCGGTGCTCGGCGGGCGGTCGCAGGCCGCGGTCTCGATCTCCGTCTCGCTCGGGCTGTGGACCATCGCGGCGGCCGGCGAGCTCGTGGCCCCAGTGTGGAACGTTGTGCAGGGCGGGCAGCGGCGTGTGCTCGCCCTTCATGCAGTGGTTACCACCACGGTGTCGGCAATTGTCGGCGGCGTGGCGCTCTTCCTCCTCCGCGGGCACGGGCCGCTGGCAGTCGTTGCGCTCTGGGGCATCGCGTTCTGGGGCCAGTGGCTCTCGACCGCGGTCCTTGCAGTCCGTGGACGCTCGCTCGATGCCGCTGTTCTCCGGGAGCGGCGCAAAATGCTCCGGGGCGGGCGGTGGTCGATCGGTGTCAGTGGCGTTGATGACGAGGCTGACGGCACGCTTCCTCTCCTTGCGGCACGCGGCTTTGCGCCTGTTGTCGCCGACGTGACTGAAGACGAGCCGACGTTGAACTAACTAAACCACATCTGCTGTGGCAGGATGATCATACATTTTTTTGTGCCCAGCAGCCAGCTGTGGAGACAAGTCAGCATGTAGATGGCGTGGCAGCGGAAGCTGCATAACGTCCTTGTTTGTAGCTGCAGGTTGGTGATGTAGGAGTGCTGGAAAGTCCGTAGGGCAGCGGGGTGGGCCTCGTTAGAGTGTTTTGAGGGTAAGGCGAGGATCTCTGGTGTGCTGACAATGCTGCCGGCAACAATAGCGAGTCAACGATGCTGCATTCAGTTTGGTCTCACAGCCTCCTTACAAAAAACAGGCATATTTCCACCCCAAACGCGACAAAATATTACTTTTATATATTTGTTGCTGAAAAACAGCACAACTTTCAAAATAATCAATTTGACACAAAATATATATATGTACAGTCACGTTTACATATATTTATATAGAATTCATTGTTTTAGCCCATGGGGCACCACCGTGACACAGACTCGGCCGACCTGCGTGCGACGCGCTCGCGCGCTTGTATGCCGCCCTACATCGACTCAAGCGCATCTAAGTGCCTTGTTCAGTCTCATTGTAGTTGATCTGACCCCCAACCGGACAGAGTGCAGCGTCAGGTTTCAGCTTGGAGGCTTTGCGAGTGCGCAAGCCTTGCGCAGGTTCTCCACGCGCTTCAAAGCTCTTTGCAATGCGCAATCTGCAATCGGCCCGCTGGCAACCTTGCCAACCACGTTCATCTGCTGTACAACTCCCTAATACCTCGTTGCGCTCCGTACTCATCTCCTGGGCCGCCGGAGAACGACGTCCCGTCATCCGCACCTTGTGCTCTGGCTGCCAATTTGACAATCATCCGCATGGAACAGAACAAATATTTTACCCGCTGTCCTTTTTGCCCCCACCCACGGCGATTTGCACTCCCCGCGGCTCCCCAACACACCCGAGCCTTCTTCATTTCTCCTACTTCAGCCAACTACACTATACAGCCGTAGTGGGAGCTATCCTCGCCCTGACAGCCCTTTCCCCAGACGCTCGGCAGACCGCCATCGCACAAAATCCGGCGAACGTACCAACCTGTCCGCAAACGCAACACCCGCTCGAGTGGGCTGCAGATTAAAGCCGAAGCGATTTTCGCGTCGCGTTCTTCTCAACATGTTGTAGTACCCTCTTTTCTTCCAAAGACAAGAGCCTTTGTGCACCTTCAGTACAAGCTGTTCGTTTGATCAAGTCAACTATGTTTTTTCCTTCTTCCTTTCCCGTGCGCGCGCTTGCGCTCATCCTCGTGACCTCAGCCGCGCTCATCCCAACGGTGCTCGGAGCCGACCTCGCGGTGACGACCTCGTTTGTCGCCGGCCCGGTGATGGCGACCGGAACGTGCCACCCCAACGGGATGAAGATCGATCTGGCCGTCCCAACCGGCTTTGAGCTCGACGCCTCATCGCTGGCGGTCACTGTCGGCTACCCCACAGCCACCGCGCTCTTTGACGTCGGCGGCGAGTGCGAGATCGGCACGGCGACGTGCCAGACCTCGGCCTTCAACCTCACGCTCGAGACCGCTCGCTTCGGCGGCACGCTCACCTTTGCTGGCGACAGCGGTGCGGGTGCGCTCACGCCCGACGCGACGATCACGATGACGGCGCCATTCATGGCGCCCGAGTTTGAGGCCGACGGAGTGACGCCTGTGCTCGATCCGGTCAATGGCCAGGCGCCGGTCGTCGGCGGTCCGCGCTTTGCTACCTTTACTGTCTCGCTCTCGAGCTACACGCTCACCGATACGGCAACCGGCGCCAGCGTCACCCGCCCGCCGTCGGTCCACACCATTGACGTCGAACTTCGGCCGATGCTCGCCTCGATGGCCGTGCCCATCGAGTCCGACTACCCACAGTCGCTTGCCGCCGGCGCCAAGTGGCTCACCCCGCGCGATCTTGTGGCGTGGACAACCTCGAACGTCATGTCCGAGACTTTTCCATCAACAACATCGAGGTCCTTGAGCTCGTCCTTGCCGATGGCACCACGCCCAACAATGACGGCCTGCTCACCGCCCCCGACGCCAACTCGGGCTCGCCTGCGCCGATCTCGCTTGTCTACGACATGTCGTCGGTCGGCTTTGATGCTCGCCCTGAGACGGATGGCTCGATGACGACCCACCGCGCTGTCCCCGGCGAGCTCCACGGCTGCGAGTCGGCGTCGCTCATCTCGTTTGCTAACGTCAACGAGGCCTTCACCGACACTCGCGTCACTACCGACCCCACGCTTGTCACCGGCGACGCCATTGCCGCCGACTCGATCTGGCGGGGTGACATCATCCCTTCGGGCGTGCCCATCACCGCGGCTGCGGCCACCGGCCGCCCCATCAAGCCCAAGGCCATCGTCCTCGAGACCGTCGGCGTCGATGGCGCTGCCGTCCCGACCTCGACCCTCGCCATCGCCGACCTTGGCCACGCCATCACCTACGAGCTCCGCTACATGCTCATCTCGTCTGACGAGGCCTCGCTTGACATCTCGCTCGCACTTCCTGCCCCGCGCCACGATGTGACCGGTACCGTTTACAACCATGCTGCTCCCAGCACGTTTCCGCCGGCCGGGTCCTGCGCCCCGGCGCCCGACTCGACCGCCACCGACGTCCTCGGTGCCCCGGTCTTTGCCGTCGACGGCGCTGCCAACTCGCTCTCCTGGTCGTTCCCCTCACACTCGGACCCGCAGTCGGTCACCCGCGAGATTGTCATCCGCTGCTCGTTCATTGCTGATGATCACCTCTCGCCCGACCTCGCCGTCGCCTCGGCCACGGCCACTGCAGTCGAGAACGGCATCTTTGTTACCTCGGACCCATCCAAGGCTGCCATTCGCCAGCCGCTTGTCTCGCTTGCCGCCGCCTCGCTCATCGCCGCCTCGAACCCTGCCGCTGCCGCTACTTGCTCCTCCTGCGATGCATCTGCGTGGCTCGACGCCTTTGACGTTGACTTTTGTACCTCTGCATCGGGTGCGCCCACCTCGATGACCATTACCTCGGCGCTCGCCACGCCTGTTGCCGCTCCCACCAAGAACGTTGACGGCGGCGACACTGTCCGCTTTGCCCTCGCCTACGCCAACACTCAATCAGGCGTTGCTCACGACCTGACCGTTGTTGTTGACCTGGACGACACCTGCTTCTCGCGTCGTCCGCTCCCATGCGGCCTCTCGCTGACCGTCACCGACGCCGCGGGCTCGCCACTCGCCTACACGCTCGCCGCCGACGACCATCTGTTTGACTCGGCTTCGCCTGGCCTCATCATTCACGCTCTGCCCGGCAACTCGATTGCCATCGTCTCGTTTGACGCCTATGTCATCGACTCGGTCAGCGCGGGCGCCACTTGCGCTGCGCCCGCCGCAGCGCCCGCGGGCTACGACGGCACTGCTGCTGCTCCGCTCAGCACTCGCCGCGTCTCTCCTTCGTCCACTGCCGCGCAGGTCACCATCGCCTCGCCGTCGTTCGCCTGGCGCGACGGCGAGACCTCGTTTGACTTTACCGCCAAGGCCGCGGATCGGTCTGGCAAATTTGACCTTGCGCCCTGCGAGTCGGCAACCGTCACTCTCGACATCCTCCTGCCTGAGGGTGTCTCGCCCGACACCCAAATTGAGTTTGCCTCGTCTGCCGCAGGCATCCTCGTCATCGAATCGATTGTCCCACCCCGGACCCGCCGACCATCTCCTGGTCTGGCGCGTCAGCTACCATCAACGCTGCTGGCTCGGCCGCCACCATCGAGCTCGGCTCGCTCACCAATGCTCCCGACAACGTTGTTTCTGACGGCGACAAGATCTCTTTTGTCGTCACTCTTTGGCTTGACGCTTCCGCCGATCCGCAAACCATTCCGAGCCGCGTCTCGGTCAGGGCCCGTGCCATCACGTCGTCAGGCGCGCGCGTGACCTCGCGCTACCACTTGGACGTTGTTCAGCCTGACGTTGATGTCGCCCTCTCGTCGACGCCGACGATCATCGGTGACGCTCTCGACACCATCACCCTCGACCTCGCGGTCTCGGTCCCCATCGCTCGCCACACCCCGGCCTTCGACGTCGCCATCCGTGTCACCTGTCACCATTCCCGAGTACCACACCTTTGACGTCGCCGACCTCGCCCACCGCTCCGGACCAGCGCCGTCGTCCATCACCACCGACGGCAACATCGTCACTCTCCTCTACCCGCGACTCGACCCGGGTGACATCTCAGTCCTGGCGCTGCCTGGCGTCATCGCCGAGTCAGCGCCGTCTGGCGCTGTCGTCACCTACACGGCCGCGCGCACGTTTGCGGCTGCGCCGGCGCCCACCGCCATTGGCTGCCTGCAAACCTACGCGCCCGACCCAGTCACCCTTGACCGGACCCTCGCTGCCGCTGTCGTCGCTGTCGACATTGTTGATGCCTGCCTTGGCACTGACGACCTTCCCTACGTCGCGCCTTCAGAGGAACTCACTTTCCAGATCAGCATCTTCCTCCCCGAGGGTGTCAACCACAACCCGCACCTCTACGTCGGTGTCGGCGGCCCGCTCACCATCATCTCGGGCTCGGCCTCCATCAGCTCGCCGACTTCCCTCGACGGCGTCTCGCTTGATGTCCCGCCGGTCACCTCGTGGGGCATGCTCTCCATCCCGCTCTACGACGGCTCGCATCCCGACGCCATCATCAACAACCCCAACAATGCCGAGACTCCCGGCGACGTCATCACCATCACCGTCACTACCGTCGTTGATGCTGACGCTGCCCAGGGCTCGTACGTCGCGCTCTTTGCCTCGTACGCCTACACTACTTCGGCCTCGTCAAGCAACGTGCTCTCCGTGGCAGGCACCTCGCCCACACAGGTCGTCATCTCGCCGACGCTCGGCATCTCGCAGCCGGCGCTCGACTCGGCGGTTGCGCTAGACACCTACCAGGCCGGCGACGTCCTGACCTGGACCTCGACGACGGAGCACAAGACCATCGATTGGCACCCGCTGGCACCCGCCTACGACCTTGTCTTTACCGTCGCCAAGCCCGACTACGTTGCCGTTGACTGCGTCCTCCACCTCGACGACACTCCCATCGAGTCAGCCAGCGCCCTTGTCCCGACTTCGGCCTCGGCCACCCTCTTCAGCTATGACTTGGCCTCGCTAGCCCCCACGACGCCATTGTCTGCACCTTTGTGGCTACCTTGCCGGACTCGGTGCCCATCGGCGACTCGTTTGTCCTTCCTATCGAGCTCGACGTCGCCTACCGCGCTCGCTCACTGGCCCCTACCGCACCGGTCTGCCAGCCGGAAGTCGTCCCGCCGACGCTCACCCATGGTGCCGTCGCCGCCCACTCGGTCGCCATCACCCCGCTTGTCGCTCGCCCGCTCGAGATCTCCACCACATGCGCGAGTGCCTCGGCCGCTCGCCTCTTCCCGGTCCTCGCTTATGAGTCAGTCGACCTGACTTTGACCGCCACGCTCCCGCACGGGACAATGGTGCCAGCTACACTCACCCTCGACATCGATGAGACCTGGGTCCTCGAGTCGGCTGTGCTCTCCGCCTCGTTTGCGGGCATCGTCGACGCCGACATCCCGCTTACCCCGGACGCGCGCTCGCTCGATCTCACTCCGGTCGCGCCGCTTATCGTTCGCCCGGCCTCTGCCGATCCGGCCGACAATGAGCTTGTCATCACTGTTCGAGCCCACCTTGTGCCCGACTTCCGTCTTCCGCTTAACGACTGGGCTCCGTCGACCGCACCAGACCTGCCGCTCTCCGCCACTCTCTGGCACGCCGCCGCTCCGGCAACCTACCCGGGCATCGTCGCCACCCGCGCCGCGCCCGCGCTCTCCCTCGGCCTTCGTGCCACCGCCGCCACCGACGGCTCGGCTCTCGTCGACCTCTCTCTTGCACACGTCCGCGGCTTTGACCTCGCCTACTCGGACGCTGCCGCCGCTGCCATCGTCATCACCCTTGATCTCGACGCGGGCATGCCTTACGCTTTTGACACTTCATCATTTGCGGCTACTGCTGCGCTTGTCGGCGCCCAGCTCGAGGTCAGCCCCAACGAGAGGTCGCTTGTCATCACCGCCGATCCTGCGCTTGCGCTCGAGCTTGCGGCCTCTGCCACTGCATCCCTCGTCCTCACCCCCAGCGATGCGGCCGCGGCCTGCGCCTCGTGCGACCTTAGCGGCGGCCTCACCGGCTCGGTCACCTTTGTGCCCGGCGGATCGTGCGCTGGCGTCAACCAGGGTGCCCGTCTTTTGGGCGTCAGCGAGCCGTACGCCGTCATCTCCCGCAACCCGCCGTCCCTTGCTGGTCTCACCTCGATCGGCTGCTACGAGTACGCCGTCTTTGAGGGTGACGACTACGGCACTGACTGCAATGCGGCGACGGCGGACCCGACTCCGCTCTCCGAGCTTCCGTGCGGATGGGAGGTTGCGCCCAACTCGGGTGAGGTCTACCACGCGCTCGCCGCCAAGCTCTGCTCAGCTGGTGCTGCTGCATCGGCCGCCTCGACCTTTGACAGCTTCTCGGCAACTTGCGCGTGGGGCGCGTCGTGTCTCATTCTCGCCGATGGTACCGGAATTACTCCCGAGGGCAAGCCTTGTGCCTCGAACGCTCTTGTCTCGGTCACCGCCGATCTTAGCTGTGCCACCACTCGCATGGTCGGCGTCGACGGCGTCGATGGCGGCCGCGTCCTCCTCCGTCGTCTCTCGCAGCTTTGCGGCTCGGCCGGCGTCTGCGGCAGCGGCAAGCGGTCGTGGAATATGATCGATCCGGCCGCCGCGCCGTTCAATCTCGTGCCCGCCCAGCTCACGCTCGACGCGCCTGCTGATTGGGCTGTCGGCGCCAATGCTCTCGCTCCGCTCTCACATGTCCCGGCCATCTCCATCACTGCTGGTACCTCCCTCTCGGCCACCTTCAACGTCGAAGACCCTATCCTCTCCCACGCTGGCCGCGCTGTACTCACCATTGGCTACGAAGCCAAGGTCGGGAGCTCGGTAGTCCTCACCGCCGTCTTTGATGGATGGCTCCCGGGCCTCACCCTCTCGGGCAACATTGCCACCGGCCGGTTCGACATCGGCGTTCCCGCCGGCGTCAAGGAGATTATTCTCATGGTTTCCAACACCGCGTCTGACGACCTCGCTTTCATTCGCGGCATCGAGCTTGCCGTTGTGCCTACCCGCTCCACGGCTGACGGCACGTGCATGGACCCTGCGACGTCGGGCTTCAACATCCTCGCCAACCCAAGCTTTGACGAGCCGCTCGCCCCGGTCGAGGCTGGCATGATCGGAACCTGGGCGCCGTACATGGGCAACTCGGGCGGCGAGCTTGTCCACACCGGTTCGGCACTCAGTCTGGTTAACAGCGACTCGTCCGACGACATCATTGTTGGCCAGCGCGTTGAGCTCGCGTCTCCGCAGACTGCGTTCTTTATCGCGGCGCAGGTGACGACCGACGCCGTCTCGGATGGCTACGCCCCGTACTTGTCCATCTACATCGACGCCGAGCTCGAGTCGGGCGAGTGGGACTACGGCAAGCACGTGGCCATCAAGCCTGGCACTACCGCAGCCTCCATGATCACCGGCTCGGTTCGCTACGACGAGCCTGTTGTTGCCCTTACCGTCTACGTCATGCACCGCTTCCACACCGGCGCGCTTGTTGTCGACGAGGTCTCGGTCCTGCCGTATCCCTACGCCTGCGCCGACATTCCGCTTGCCGCTGCCTACGGCGACCCGCACATCCGCTCGTACGATGGCCTCGACTGGTCGTTCCAGGCCTCGGGCGACTTTGTCCTCACCGGGACTCGTGACTACTCGGCCACCACCCGCATCGCCGCAGCTGGCTCTGCTGCCGTTAACGCCGGCGCTGGCGTCTCGCTCGCCGGCCGCCCGGCCGTTGCCATCATCCGCACCGACCCGCCGGCCCCTGGCCTCCCGATTGCCTGGCCGCGCATTGCCCTCCGCTTGCCTGGCGCCGCCGAGTGGCAAACGCTCGACACGTCGGCAGCCGTCGCTCCCGGCGCGCCGCTTGACGGCGAACTCGATGTTGGCGATGCCGCCCGCGCCACCGTTCGCATCAGCTACGGCTGGTCCGGCGCTATCGACGCAGCCGCCGCGCTCCGCCTCCAGGTTGACTACATCGGCTCTGGTGGATTCGGCCTCAAGGTCAACGTCCTTGCCTCGTCGTACAACGTCCAGTACTTGTACATCCGTCCGGTCATCCCGGCCTTTACCCAGGGTCAGATCTTCGGCCTCCTCGGCACTCCCGACGGCGATGAGAGCAATGACATCAAGGCCTCCGACGGCTCGCTTGGCTCGCCCGACAACACCGCCTTCATCTACTCGAGCACCTTTGTCAACTCGTGGCGCGCCAGAAACGACGCCCTACCGGGCACCGCCGACCTTGTGGTCCCTCACCGGCCGCCGCCGCGCAGTTCTCGCTCTCAGCCTGGCCGCAAGACCAAGTCGACTCGGCATCGGCCACCTGCGCCCAGTTTGTCGGCACGCAAGCGCTCATCGATGCCTGCGCTCTCGACCTCCTTCTCACCGGAGACGTAGCGCTTGCCGCCGGCTACACTGCCGCGTCCGAGCTCGAGGCCGGCTCCTCGGCCGTCTCGCTCGCCACCGGCCCGCCGGTCGGCATTCCGCTCAACGGCGCATCTGGCTCTGGCGCCAAGACAAACTTTGGCTGGGCCATCCTCGCTGGTGTCGTTGTCGCCATCGCCGCCATCGTTGTCGTCATTCTCTTTGCCATGCGCTCGCGCTCGATCGCCTCAGCTCGCTCAGACGCGGAGGCCTCGCACCTCACCTCAGCTGCGTCGACCGCCATGAGCGCTGCCTCGGATGCCATCGTCGAGTGCGATCTCGACGCACTTACCCGAGGCGCCCGTCACGCACCTGTCATGGACGACACCGCGCGCGCCCGCGCGCGCCGCGCTGACGTCGGCTCGGTCGACGCTGCTCCGGCCGGTGCGGTCCTCACCAAGTCTACCGTTCTCCGTGCCCTCAACGTATCGCCCGGCATGACCGCTCAGGTCTCAGATTCGAGCATTGCCTCGGCTGACTCGTCCGCTCTCGGCTCACCGAGAGCCCCGCGCTCCAATGCCCAGCTCTCCGACCCGTCGGACCACTCGTCAAGCGTCGTCCTCACTCGCGAGATGTCCGGCATGCAGCGGCTTGCGGCCTGGTCCCGGTCCAAGGTCTTCTCCACAGATCAGCTGGATGCCTCAGCTTCGCTGCTTGTTGGTTCGCAGCCGCGAGTCCTCGAGAATTCGGACGAGGAGTGGTCGTCGATAGGCAGCCGGATCTAAGTCGACACGTCACTAAACTGTTTTACCCCCGATCAAGCCTGCGTCGCGGCGTACGCCATGTTGGTCATCCCCACCGCAGGCTCTTTCTTGGTGGGAAGAACCCGCCGCCAGAGCCCCGGCACAATGGTGACCGCCACCGCCACGCCGAGCAGCGTGCCAAGCGCCTCACCAACCGGCCATAGCCAGTGGTTGTCCCAGCAATCGCCAGAAGAAATAAGTGCAGGACCAAAGACACGTGCGTAGTTGAGGCCCGCGCCAGTGAGCGGACCAGCAAACAGAATGATCGACATCAGCGCAAGCATCACACCCTGCGGGCCCGAGAGCGTCGAGTCGCGCTTCGACGGCCGATGGACGTCGGCCACAAGCACCACCGTGACCAGCAGGCACGTGCCAACCGCCTCTACAAGCATGCCCTGCCATCCGTGCATCCGCGGCGCAAGTCGGGTGCACGAGACTGCCAGATCAGGCATGCCTGGGTCTGTCGACGGCGGAAGAACAAGCCACAGAAACGCCGCGCCCAACACCCCGCCCACCATCTGCGCCGCCATAAACGCCACGCCTTCCACCACCGTCAGCGTCTGCAGCACCACACACGCCAGACTCACGTTGGGGTTGAGGTGCGCTCCCGAGATCCCACCCAGCGACATGATCATGGCCATGACCACGCCCGAGAACGCCCACGCAGGCACAAGCGTAGAGAGGCCCGCCCCGTTCGACGCCAGCGCCCCGCATCCAATCGTCACTAGCATCGTCGTGCCAAACGTCTCCGCCAGTACCTTGCGCCACAGCGAAGGCGTTGGCTCCTTGTCGCCGGCCGCGTCACCGCTCTGCACCCCGGCCCAACGCCCTTGCCCGCCACCAGTGGACTCCGCTCCTGTGCGTACGTCCTCTCGCTCATCATTGTCTGTACCTGTACTTGCGCGAGAAGAGGTGTCTTCTTACTCGCCTCTCTGCCAGTGGCCGTGAAGCCGCCCGGTTTTGGTACCTCCAAGCCATTGGCCCAAGCCCACGTGACATCCAGGTGCTGTTGACAGCCGCACATGTGCGCATCACCCCCAACTCTCCCTCCTCCCTCCTCCCTCCAAGCCATCGCTGCCCCCACTGCCCATAGTCCCCAAACCACCACCGCAAAGCCTTACGACCCCCCCCCCCCCCTTCCTCCCCCCCCCCCTTTCCACTTGCCTCACTCTCGTGTCCCATCGCCTTCCATGTCGCCCTCCATGTCGCCCTCCATGTCGTCATCACAAATAGAGTTTTTTTACAGTTTCCTCTCTCCTTCCGCAGACCGTTGGCTAACGGCGGTCGATCCTGCCCAGCCTTCCCCGCCACCGGCCCACCTACCTCACCCGCGCGCACCACCCGGCATGCGGCGAAGCCCACACCCGGGCTCATCCGACATCTCGGCATCAATGCAAGCAGCATCACGACTCTCACCTGCGGCGAAGCGGCGAATGACCGCGCTTGGTATTGCCCCGTCGTCGCTCTCGTCATTTGCCGCTCCGGGCTCGGCGTCGGCAACGGCCACGCCAAAGCACGCCCGGGTCGTCAAGCCCTTCTCGCGCTGTCTCGCCGAGCTGCAGTTTGCCGTCTCGCCCATTCGCGAGGGCACCACCCGCCAAGCCGAGGCCACGGCCGCGGCCGCGGCCATTGCCGCCGAGCTGCCCATCGGCGCCATCGACCCACACACCGTCCTCTCAAAGCTCAACGCTGGGCCTGGGCCCATCACTCTCGAGCCCGATGAGGACGAGGCTGCTGCTGCTGCCGCCGCCGCTGCCGCCGCCGGCGCAGACGACCCGCGGCACCTGCTGCGCGTCCTACTCCCACGCCCGCCGGCGCCGCCTATCGAGTCCGAGCTCAACCCCGAGTACTCGATCGACGACCTTTTCGAGCCCATCGAGCCGCGCACCCGCAGCCGCCCGCGCGGAGACGCGGCCTATGCCGCGTACAGCGTGCCGACCCTTGTTCGCCGCCGCTCCGCTCCTGAAGAGCATGGCTCGCTGGCAAACCCCTCGCCACATAGCACCCTCGCCTACGTCGATCGGGTTCTCGACGATGCGGCCGCGCCCCGCGCCCCGGCCGCACACGACCTGGCAGCTAGGGCTCATCGCCTCAGCCACATCGACCGCCACCCGCTCGGTCGCCGGGCATCAGTTGGCGGTACGCCGCACGTCTGGCGTGCTGCCGCCGCTTCTGCCACTGACAAGCCATCGGCTGCGCTCATGGCCTCGATGGACCTTGACCAGTCGCGCGCGCCGTCTTACTTTCAGCTCGTCTCCACTCTGCGCTCCGCTGACAAGGCCGCCATGATGGACCGGATCCACGCTTCACCTGCTCGCGCCAAAGCTGCCGAGTCCAAGAACCTGCCGGCGTTTATGTCGCTCTCATCGTGGGACTCACCGTTCCCGTCGTGGGCAACGCCGCCGCGCTCGCGGTCCAAGGCCTCGCGTGCCGCCTCGGACTCGGCATCGGCCGTCGCAGGCTTTGGCCGCCTCGCCTCCACCTACACCACCACCTATCGCGAAAAGACTGCCTGCTTCACTCTGACCAAGGGTGCTGAGCTGGCGGCCTCATCACTTGCCGCCACTCGCCGACCAGCGCCGACGTCGACTCGCGCGGCCGGTCCCGCATCTGCCTCTTCCCGCGCAGCCTCAATGTCGGCCTCGTTTGCCGCATCCTCTTCTACCTCGCCGATCGCATCATCGACGCTCCGCGTGTCGCAACTCTCGTCGTGAGCCGTTGCATCTCGCTGTGGCATCCACACTTTATCTCTCACGACTGCCCCCCGACAAAAGGCTTGGCCAGCTAGCTCTCAACGCGCACCAGGCGCCTCTGCCCGCATGCGGTAAAGAACCGCCAGCTCCTTCATGATGACTGAGACCTCTGCTCGCGACTGCGACTTGGCCAGATGCTCCATCAGCTCGTGCTTGTTCTGCGGTGTGACCAGCGAGTCTGGAATGAGGTCCAAGACGTCGTACATCCAGGTGCAGAACTTGACCACGTCAAGCTGAAGGAACGAGAGGAGGACGGCGGCAATCTCGGTCTCAAGGTCAGCGAGCTTGTGGACAACGGTGAGGACGAGCGCAGACGAGATCGACGGTCCGTACTCGTCGAGCGTTCGTAGGACAAGCTCGTGTAGCTCGCCGCTGAGCTTCTCGCCCTTGTTTGTGCCAAGCGCGCAGACGACAATGTGGTCGACAAACGCCAGCACCGCCCGGCACGCCGGCACGTGGTCGACTTTGAGGCCCACTAGGCCGCAGTCCAGCAGCGTCCGGAGCAGCTCGCTATCCGCCACCACCAGCCGCGGCACACGCCGCAAGATCGCAACGACAATCTCAAAGTACTCCATGACCACTTCCGGGTGCATGACAAACCCGTTCTCTTGCTGGAGTCGCTCAAAGGTGATGACAGAAAACGCCGAGAGCTTGCTGGTGATGAGCTCTTCGAGCTCAGACGCTGCACAGAACCGTGCCATAAGCATGTACACCACGTACAGGTAGCATGAAAACGGCTGCGCCCGATAGCCTTCAAGCATAGCCTCCAGAATCGGCTCCAGAAACTCCAGAAACTCGACGCCCGTCGCCTTAATAGCGTACTTGAGCACTCCACCGCAAATCGTCTCGCAAACGGTCTCCACCTCGGAGCAGAGCTCGAGGACGGCAGACATGAGGCCCCACGTCCCGCGCATAAACGCAATGCCCAGCGTCTGCACAATGTGTACATAGTTCTCGTCTGGCACGTAGCACGCCTGCACCAGCGAGTGCACAAGCGCAAGGAGCTCTTGCAGCTGCGACACAGACTGGTCCGACCCACTCCCGGCAGACAGGCTCTCGCACAGCGCCACAATCCGCTCCGAAATCGGCTCGTACATCTGTGCCATCGCTGCAACTGCCTTCTCCACCTCCATCTCGGAAATGACAAACCCGCAGGCGCGGAGTAGCTCCGCTCGCGTCAGATGCGAGCACTCACCGTCCAGCGCGTCGAGAAACATCTGCCCCAGCTGCTCAAAGTTGGCTCCGAGGTACACCGCAGAGTCGTCACAAATGCACTTGAGCGTCGTCGCTGCGACCTCCTGCACCATCGGCTGTGAGACAAGCTCGACCGTGTACTCGACAATCGTACCGAGCTGCTCCGGGTGGTACTTGAGCCACCGCGCATACGACGAAAACACAATGAGGATCGAGGTCGAGAGCCGCTCATGGAGCGGCAGGCTCGTAAGCCACTCCAGCAGACCCGGCAGCAGCTCGTTTTCCTCGGCGCTTACCTCGGATGCCAATGCATTGATGCCAAACAGCAGCGCCTCGATAGGCTGCCAGCCCACAAGCCGGCCCGCCTCGTCGTGGTACACCTCGGGCAGCCCGTGCAGGATCGAGCACAGCTCTGCAAGCACCCCGTGCCCGCTCAGCACCAGGCAGATGTCGCGCAGCATCTGCGAGCCGAGCCGCGTCCGGAAGGTGATAAAATCAAACAGCGCCTCGTCACTCTCGTTGTCGGCATTGGGCCCGTACGCCGCACGCTCCACCAGCGACGCCAGCAGTGACTGAAACGTCTTGGCAAACGCAGCCGTGTGCTTGGCCGACTGCAACTGGTTAACCTCCTCGGCGAGTAGGTACCAGAACATGATCGTCGCCTCCACATGCTGCAGCGACGTTGTTGACGCGCAGTTGATGGCCAGTACCATTTCCACCGCAGCCAGGGCAGGCTCGTGCCCGCGTGCCGCAAGCACCACGTAGCTCTCGCCCACGTCGATGAAAAACCGGATGATTGCCTCGGCCAGTGGGCCCGGCTCGATGTCGCCATTCAGCACGCCCGCAAGCGCAGGGCTGAGTGCAAGCGAGTTGTCCAGCACTGCAAGCGCCACCTCGTTCCCGGGCTCCGTTCCGGTCTCGGTTGTGTACTTGACAAGCTCGGCAAGCGTCGCCAGCGCAGCCTCGAACAGCTCGGGCCGGTTGGTGGCCTCAAACGCAAGCTCCACAAGTGGCGAGGTGAGCAACCGGTCGCGCGGCAGCTCGCCGGCAGTCAGCCACGACCGGAACGCCACAAGCAGCGCCATTTGCGCATCAGGCTCGCTGGCCATGTTCAGAAACTGATGCAGAAGGTTGAGCACGTCTTCAGACGCAGCCTCCAGGTAGTTGGCCAGCTGGATCTTGCGGTTGAAGATCACGGGGTTCCGCCCGTCCTTCACCTGCTCCGGAAAGACCGCCAGGAACCGCAGGAGCACAAACGAGAGTGCAGGCGACTCGCCAAAGCCGGCCACCACGTCGGCAATTGGCGTCGTCCACTCGATCATCTGCACCGCCACGTTGGCGAGCGCGATGCAGAGCCGCTCCACAAGCTTGTTGCGCGTCTCCACATCCTCCCACTCGGCCTCGGCGTACCGCCCCAGCAGCTCCATCACCTTTGTCCGCAGGCTCGACCGCGCCTCGACAGCCCCCAGCTCGTGGTACGCATATTGCACCTTGTTAGCCAACATCTGCGCACAAAACAGCAGCGCAGCCGGCGGCGGCGGCGGCGCCAGCTCGGCCAGCGCGTATGTCAGTACCGGCCACGCTTCCGTCGACGCCTGCAGCGCACCCAGCCATGTCGTCGCTGCCTTCAGAACATCGGGCACCACATGCGGGTTGGTCATATCCGCAAACCGCGCCACAAGCCCTGCCGCCGCCACCTCGACGCTCTGCGAGTCGGGCAGCGACCCAAACTCGACCCGCGGTCTCAGCGATGCCATGACAAGGGCTGGCCGTGTGTATGTGTGGTGTGTAGGGGAGCAACAGGTGTGTTGTAGTGGTGGTGGTGGTGTGTATATGTGTGGGCAGGGGTGGGGTGTTGTTGGGTGAGGTGGGGTGTTGGTGGGTGGCGTGGCTGGCGGTCTGTCCGAGGTGTGTGTGTGTGTGTGTGTGTCGGAGGTTTGAGTTGGGGTGTATTTGCCCGGAGTGCCCCCCTCTCGACCCCTCCTCCCCCCCTCCCCCCCCCCCCCCCCCGTCGCGGACAAGAACCACTAGCCCCTCACCCCCCATCATGGGTGCCACCCAGAGACTGGCCACGGCAGCCGTCGTCCTCCCACCGCTGGTCCTGGCTCTTGCCTCGCCTACATGGGTGGTTGTCCTGGTGGCGGCCGCTGTGGCAGGCGCTGTTCTCGAGCTACTTGCCCTCCTCGCCCCACACCGGGTATTGCCGATGCCGGAGCCCGCGAGCACCGGGGCTGCCGAGGAGGCCCTGGCCGCATGGCCTACGGCGGGACTTGCCAGCTTGGTTGTTGTCGCTGTGTGGGCCTACGACATGGCTGCTGGCGCTGCTGCCGTGGCTCTCGCCGTCGCCGTCGTCCTCGTTCGCGCCGCCTCTGCCTGGGCTGCTCCGCCCCGCACCGGATCGCGCGCGCGCATGCACATCCTCGTCTCTGCACTTGTTCACGTCCTGGCCCTGGTGTATGTGGCGCTGCCGCTGGCTGTCGCCACACGTCTGCCGCGTCTTGGCGTCCCCGGCGCGCCTGCCGCCGACCCGGCCACTACCACAGGCGTCGTCGTCCTCTTTGCCGCGTGGAATGTCGACAACGGTGGCCTCGTCGGCGGCAACATCGCCTGGCCCTGGGCCAAGCACCCGCTGGCTCCGCGGCTCTCGCCAAAAAAGTCGTGGGAGGGCGTCATCGTAGGTGGCCTCCTCTCGCTCGCCTCGCCGCTGCTCCTCGGCCTCCTCGCCGACGCCACCTGGCCGGACGCTTACCCGCGCGCCTTCCGTCTCCCGGCTTTGCACCATCTCCCGCTTGGTGTACTCACCACACTGGCCATGGTGTGTGGTGATCTCGTTGAGTCGTTTCTCAAGCGCGCGGTCGGCGTCAAAGACTCGTCGTCGATCTTTCCCGGCCATGGCGGCGTGCTCGACAAAATCGATGGCCTACTCTTTGCTCTTCCGGCCGCCTACGGCATGCTCCTTTTGCTAGGCCACAGAGAAGTGTAGTCCGCCGCCTTTGCATATTTGTATCGTTTCATTTACACTCACTCACGTCCGCGGCTCGGTCGCCACTACACTCGCCCGATCCCACGGGCACGTCAGCGGCTGCGGCAGCCGTGCCACGCACTCGCCGCACATCTCGTGTCGACACGGCAGCAAGACCGTGTCGACTCTACTAGTGTAGCAGATGGCGCACTCGGGCAGTCCATCACTCCCCTCCTCCTCGGCGCGCTCGGCGCGCTCGGCGCTCTCTGCACCCGGCGGCTGTGTCACACTCACCTCTGCGTCGCGCGCAAAGACCCGAACAAGCTTGGTTGCCTTGGCCACCTCGGCCTCCCACTGCGCCTCCGTGCTCTCTTCTGCCCGCTCCACCGCCGCCGCATACGCCGCGTGTGCCGCTGCGATCGCTGCATCGCGCACGGCCTCGGCTCGTGCCACGGCCGTCGCGTGCTTCTCACCGAGCAGTTTGCGTGATTTGGCAAGCAGCCCGTTCTGCTTTTCGATGATCTTGCTGCCTTTGCCCGACGCCGACGACAGTGTGGTGATCGAGAGACTAAACGCCTGGCCCGCTGTCGCTTGCGGCGACGTCGCCTCTTGCTGCGACTGCGGCTCTGCCACCGGCTCCACCTCTGGCTGGGCTGCCAACACCGTAGTCTGCGCCGCGTCAAGCACCGAGCGCGCCACCGCGCCCGGACCCGATGACGGGACCACAAACTGGACGTGCTGCGCACCGGCAACCGTCACGTGCAGCGCCCTCCACGCCGACGCGTCCACCTGTTCCACATCCTTCACACGCACATCGCCGACCTGGGCCAGCGGAAAGCAAAACGCCAACGGCTGTGCTTCCTTGCTGGATCCACGACTCCTACTCAACCCGTCGGATGACGGTGGCGGCGCGCCGGCGGCCTCGCTGTTTGCCTCGGCCTGAGCGTTTTCGTCCTCTCCCTCGGCGCTCTCGTCGACGTCTGCCCGAGCCACCCGCACGCCATCCCACACCAGCCTCTCTCCCGCTTCCAGCCGGACTTCGCCAGCCAGCCCGATCGGCGTGCCATCAAGGCACAGGACCACTGGCGCAGGCACAAGAACCACGACCCCTCCATCGCCGCCACCACCTGCCGCCGTCGCAAACCTTCCCAGCGATGCCACCAACTCGTCCAGTGTGGGTGCCGCCGTATTCTCTGCATGCTTCCGTCGTGCCCGCTCCTGAACCCCATCCCACCTCCCTAACCCCGTGAGCTATCCGCCCCCCCCCCGCCCCTTCATCCCCACCTCCTCCAAAAAGTTTGAATGTGCTCTCCGAATCCGCGCCAACCTCAACCCCCACCCTCCACCCCACCACCACCATCACCACGGCCACCACAGCTGCCACAGCTGCCACAGCCACCACGGCCACTACCACCATTACATACCAGATCTTCCTCTGTAATAAAGGTCTCCTCGAAAGAGCCAATTCCAAAGCAGTCCAGATCCTGCTCCTGGAAGGCTAGACCCGACAGCATCGTTGCTCGCCAGCCGCCAGGTGAGGTGCTGGCCGAGCCAGTCGCCAGCTGCCTGCCCACCCAATGGATTGGGCACCGGCGGTAGAATCCTTAAACCACGACCTTTTCCCCTTGCCCTTGGAAGAGCCAACCCCACCCCACCCCTCGTCTATCCCCTACCCATGTCAGCCAAGCCCGAGACAGAGGCAGGAGCACAAGAGCGGAGAGGGGTACGGGCAGAGGCTGCTAGCGTCGCCGAGAGCCATGTCAGTGAGCGTGGGCAGGCGGTGGCCGAGGCGCAGACAAGCCGCCGCCGACGCGCGGTGGCCGCGGCGCGGAGCAGTGGCAGCAGCAGCGGGAGCTCCGCCGAGGGGGCGGGCAAGGTCGAGATGACGTATACGCAGTACAAGAAGCTGTGCAAGGCACGGAAGCGGGCGGCCAAGCGGTCGGTGTGGAACCGGAGCGGCGGCGTGGCGGTGGCTATCGACGTCGGCCCGGGCGTGCCCATGTCGGCCGGCGAGGTCAAGAAGGCCGCCGGCCACATCATGCTCTCGTACGGGCTCAACTTTAAGGTGCCAGAGTACTTTGACATGGCTCTTGTTGACCTCGGCGTCCCGCCGTCGCCAGTCGTCTCGCACCTGCGCTCGGCCTACGAGCTGGACAAGCTCTCGCTGCGAGTGTTTGCGGCGACGGCTGTCGACGTCGTCGCCGCCTCGCACCGCGGCGACCGCTCGGTCACAAAAGGCCTGGTTGTCCCTGCCGCTGTCACCTACATCGCCGCAGACGCGCCTGCCGAGCTGCCGGATACCCCGATGGCCTCCGAGACCTGGTACGTCATCAGCCAGCGCGGTGTGGCCAAGGCCAACTCGGATGCCGCCGCCCATCCCGACGAGCTCGTCCGCGCCGCCCGACTGCCGTTTGAGCGCACCTTTCCGGGCCTCGCCGACAAGGGCAAGTCCGTTGTGCCTTCACTCATCGAGACCTTCTCGGTCTTGCTCTTCTTCCGCCAGCATGGCATTTGGCGCGACGCCTTCATCCAGGGCTTGCACGCAAACAACGTGGCCAAGCTCAGGGCCGCCTCGCCGGCCGAGTTTGAGGGCGTCGACATCGACGCCGTCCGCGCCTTTGTCGACAAACGCCACTAGGACTGCCTGCCCGCCCTCAGAACGGCGACGGTGCGCCGGCGTCTGGCGCCGACGTCGGCGGTACAGTTACAACGTCGGCGAGCAGCTTGATCTTGGCCCGCTCCCACGCTTGCTTCCGCAGTTGCTCGTCGTATTGGTGGCGGAGCTCGGACTCGGACGGTGTCGCCCGCTCCTCGGCCGTCTGCTGGAGCACAGACTTGGCGTGATCCGTCATCATTGTTTTGAACGACACGCACGAGAGCTGCAGGATCTCCACAGGATCCACCGCCACAAACCGCGCCGGCGACACCTCGCGGTAGCCGCCGACATAGTTGGGAAAGTACTCGTATGCACCCAGCGGCGAGAGCGGCGGCTGGAGCTCCATGAACCGCGAGACAAACGCGGGGTCTGGCGCCGGCTCATGCGCAAGCTCCTCCATCAGCTCGTCGATGTCGACCTCGGGGTCCAGCGCACGCGTCACCGAGCCCGCAGACGTGTCAAGCTTGTCCTCGCTGCCCCGTCCCCCGTTCTCGGCCTCGTCGCCGCCTTCGGAACCAGACGCTTGGTCGTGCGGCACGGTGACTCGCTTGAGGACCCGGACTCGCCCGTGGCGGATAAAGTTGACAAAGTTGATGTCGTCGCCCTCGTCGATGATGACCTCGCCAACGGCATACGCCTTGGGCTGGACGATGTCTGCCAGCTGCCGCAACCGCTTGGGTGCCAACGAGTCGAACATCCGGAACCGCTTGAGAAACTCGACAAGCATGGCTTGCTTGCGGGTATGGTCGCGCGAGACAATCGCGTCGTAGTCATCCTTGTGCACCCTCAGCAGAATGCACGGCTCGCACGTCACAATCGACGCCGCCCGCACTGTCGTCTCGCGTAGCGCAATGTCGCCAAAATGGTCGCCGGCCTTGATGTTGGCCACCACTCGCTCCTCGCCCGTCGCCTGGTCCAGAATGAGCACGTCCACAGAGCCCTTGAAGATGATATACCAGTGCACGCCCGGATCACCCTGCCGAAACACAGACCGATGCCCTGGGTACGCCCGCGCTGTAATCACCGCCGCAAGCATCATCAGGTAGAACGTGTCCTTTTCGCCCTCAAACGTCTTCAGCCGCCGCATGCACTTGCACACAAGCTCCAGCTCTCCGCGGCTCCGTGGGTCCTCTGACAGCGACGCCCGCGACTCGCCCACCCGGAGCGCCTCCATGATCTTGGTCTCCATCTCGCTCTGCGTCATTCGCCTCCGCCCGCGCTTCCGTCGATGCGCCACCAGCCACTCGGGCGTCGTGCGCTCATCGCCGCCATCGCTCTTGGCCGCACTGCCATCGGTTACTCGCTTCCGCGCCGTCCTCGACTTGGGCTTGGACGTCCCGGCCACATCTGCCCACTCTCGCCCAGCCAGCCTCCGCACCACCCTGTTGACGTCCACGCGCTCCCGGCCGCGCGCCTTGGCCTCCAGCAACGCCCGCCTCCGTCTTGCCCCAGCTGCCTCGGGCGCCTCTACTCTGGCATCCGCCACACCACCTGCACTCCGCCGTCCCCGTCCGCGCCGCGGAGCCAACGCCCGAGCCAGTGCAGCCTTGGCCTCGCGCGACCGAGCCTGTGATGCCAGCTTGCGGCGGAGCGCAACCAGCTGTAGCTGGAGCGCCTCGTCCGTCCCCGAGTCAGCCATGGACTTCAAATCACCCTTGGAGAGCGTGGGTGGTGGGTGGTGGTGGTGGTATGGTGCGGGGATACGGGGTGGGGGGTAAAGTGGTGGCCGCTTTCCCTCTCGCTCTCGCTCCACTCCCTCCTGTCGTCGTTGGCTCACACCACGCAGGCGCCCGAGCCGACACGGGGGGAGAGGGGGGGGAGGGGGGGAGGGGAAGATGGGGAGCACAGATGGGGATGAGCTATATAGTAGTACACAAGACAAGGAAGGGGGATATTGCCTGCCTTTGCAGATCTAGAACATCGCGCTACTTCCCTCATAGTCCCAAATCAATCCCACCAGCCTCCCTTCTTCTGTCGCTGAAGGTGGCATGCAGGCCAGGCACCAGCACCGGCCAAGGCCCCCCCCCCCTGCCTCGGCCACACCCCGGGACAAACCTCCCCTCCCCCCTCCATCCCCCTCCCTCGCTCCCCACCCCCCCCCCCCCCCCCCCCCACCCCACCTCTCCCTCACCTGCACCCCGTGGCGGCAGCATGCCTCGTACCTCCTCCGAAAGCCGCCCTGTGCAGTTCCCTGCGGCCTTTGGCTCGGCCGCCGGCGTGGCTCTGGTGACTCAGCGGACAGACTCGCTCCTTGCCTTCCATGCTGCGGTCCTGGACTACGCTTGCGTGCTGATGGAGACAGAGGCAGCATATGCTACCGGCCTGGCATCTCTCAAGGGTGTGCCTGTACCCGACGAGCTGCATCTCTCCCGCGTGGCCAATGCCTGGTCTGTCTTTGAGCGGGCCATGGAGCTCGGCGCCAGCCAGGTCACCGATCTGTGGGACCGGCTCGCCACCACCTTTGACATGCTGCGCATGGCGGCCGACGATCAGGAGCATCGCCTGTATGCTCGAAAAATGCGTCTTATTCGTGCCGCCCGCTCGGTTCGCGCAGGCGCTGACGAGGCCATCCTCGCCGCCCCGCTCTCGGCGTATCTCTCGGGCGCACAGGTTGTGTATCACGACTGCCTCGCCCGCATCGCCGCCATGCTCCGCCTTATGCACGAGCACTACTCGACACCGGCCAAGGTGTGGAAGCTGATGAACGAGCATCTCGCCGCTGTTGCACCCGACGCCTCCGTCGATGCCTTTGCCGACAAGCACGCATCGCAGCCCGAGCCACTGCACGTTGTCGCCCGCTCGCCTGCGCTCGCCTCTGAGGCTGCTCTTACCGAGCTTGTCGAGTGGGACGGCGGCGAGGGACCAGCCGCGTACGACGACGAGTCGTCGGCCGCCATGCGCTACGCCGAAGTCGCCCGCGACGTCAACCGGGTCATGGGCACCGACGCTCTTGCGCTTCCGTCTGCCGCACTGGCCGCCGACGCACCAGGTGACTCGAGCCTGCCGGCATCATCGCGGGAGGCTGCTAAAGCCAAGACGAAGGCCAAGACGAAGGCGAAGGCCAAGGCCAAGGGTCACGCCGCCGATGGCCGCGCTTCGACCCACGGCACGGATGACTTTGATCTCCCGCCCGGATGGACCGCCCACTACGACCGCGAGTACAAGCGGCACTACTTTTACAACGCACTCCGCGACGAAGCCACCTGGGTCATTCCCGAAATCGAGGGCCCGGCCGACGCAGCCGTCGACGGCCGCAAAGTCAAGCGGTGCAAGACAAGGGTCCGCAAGAAGCGCCGCCGGCAGTCGGGCGACGCGACCGGCAGCAGCGATAGCAGCGGCAGCGAGTCGGGCGACTCGAGCTCGTCGTCCGGCAAAGTCGATGCAAGCAAGTACGATGTTGACCTCGACGCCTTTGTCACCGACATCTGGGGATCCAAGATCGCGCTCGATAAGAGCGACATTGCGGCACTGGCCTACTAGCCAAGCGGGCCGCCGCCAAGGCCGTCGCCATGTTCCAGCCGCGTATACTTGGGGCCGTACGCCCGGACCCGCCGCCAGAGTCGCTTGCCGAGCGCCGCGGGGCCTACGTGCTGAGTAGGCTGCAGCGCTCCGCGGCGCGAGTTGATCGACGGTGCAATAAAGAGCGTGAGGACGCCGGCAAAGACCGAGCACGTGGCGCCGACGACAAACACAAAGTGGTGGTTGACCGGCCACGGGTGCGGGCGTGACATGGACCACGCCAGCAACGCCCCGCCGATGAACGGCCCAAACGCTCGGGCCAGCGCAGCGCTCGCCTGCGCCATCCCGTTAGCGGCGCCGAGCTCGTGCATCTCCACGGCATTGTTGACCATCGAGATGATTGAGGTGAACGCGCATGAGATCGTCGCTACACGCACAATCGCTGTGGCAAACAGCAGCGTCCAGAACAGCCACGGCACAGAGGCACGGAGCGGAACAATGGCCGGAAAGACCAAAATGAGCGGCGCTGAGGCAAAGAGGCAGACTTGGATGATGACAAGAACACCAGTTCGCGGCGCTACGGTCGGAAAGATCTTGCTCTGCACCGCTACAAGCATGCATCCGGAGACCATGAGGATGGCGGCGAGCTGCAGCTGCGACGCGCGGAAGCCGGCGCCGTTGGCCGACTTGGGATCAAACACTGCCCAGACCGAGAATGTCTCGTCAAAGACAATAGTTGAAAACGCCAGCAGCGAGTACACAGCCGTGGTAAGGATAAGGTTCTTGTTGCGCAACAGAGTCCGTGCCATCTCCCACGACGAGAGCGCGCGAGCGAGATCCTCCTCGTCGACAAGGGCTGCAGTTCTCTGCTCGGCGAGAAGCCCTTCGTCTAAAGCCCCAGCTCGAGGACAGCAACGCTGTCGAGCCTCGCTGAAACACTGTGAAGCTCTGTCAGTGCTCCATGCTCCTCCTGCTGCTCCACAAGGCCATCTGAGCTGCAGCGCGCGTTGTCAGAAAAGCTGCCCGAGTCCGGCGTCGACGGCGCCAGCATCTGCAGCAGCACTGGATCGTCGCTTTCTGAACTCGCCTCAACGGCGGCCTGCTGCGAGAGGGTGGCAAGGCGGGCCTTGTTGGCGCGAGTTCGCGCCGCCAGCTCCTCGCGCGAGAGCAGGTACTTGTAGCCGACGATGAAGCCGACGACGTTGACGAGGGCGGCGACGAGGCATGGAAGAAGATACGGGTAGTAAGAGAATGGCGATCCGCGGCCGGCAAGGGCCGGAAAGGTGCGGTCAATGTTGGCGAGCGAGCCGCCGACAGCCGGGCCTAGCACCATGCCCATGCCCCAGACGAGGCCCATGCGGGCGTAGGCCTTGGGCGCGTTTGTCTCATCGGAGATCTCGGCCAGATACGACTTGGCAACACCAACGTTGCCATTCGAGAGACCGGAGAGAACGCGCGCAGCAACCGCCCACCAGAACGATCGCGAGAGGCCAAAGAGGATGACGGTGATCACGTTGCCGGCAAGGCCGAAGAGGATGACGGCTCTGCGTCCACGGGCGTCCGAGGCCCTACCCCAGAAGAAGGCTGAGATGAACTGGGAAAAGTTGAAAGAAGCAGCAATGACGCCTGCGTAAAAGGCAACCTGCGCATCCGACTCGGCCACGCCAAACGACATAACCATCCTCGCCAGAAAGGGGAACAGCATGGTGATGCCCATGGCCTCGGAGAGCAGGATGCACGACAGGACGAGCATCTCCTGCCGGGGGAGCGGCGTGACCACTGCCACCGCCCTCGCGGTCTCGCTCGAGGGTGCCGTCTCTTCCATACACTCGTACGGGGTAGGGGTCTATATGAGAGGGGTGTCTTGTCCAAGGCAACGTGTGGTATCGAGTGTGGAGGGGAGAGGACGGTGGGGAAGGACGCAGGGCCCGTGGCACGTTTGCCGACATTGGCGAATGTGGATTTGCGGGTGGCACGGGGGGATGGACCGGGGGGTGAAGGGTGGGGTGGGGGTGATGTCAATGGTGATGATGGTGATGGTGACGATGATGATGACGGTAATGGTGACGATGGTGTCGATGAATTCGACAGTGTCGACGGTGTCGATGGTTATGGTGGCGGCAGGTGGCGGGTTAGACAGGAGGGTCGATGGCAGAGACATGGTCCTCGAGGAGGTCAAGGACGGTGGCATCGGAAGAGGACCACGAGGTGAGGCTGATCCTGTGGGCAAGGACGGGGCCGATGACGATCTGGATGTCGGCAGGGGTAACAAAGAGGCGATCCTTGAGGAGGGCAGAGACGCGGGCGGCCATGGAGAGGGCAGGTACGGCGCGGGCAGTGATGCCCTCGGCCACGCACGGGTCCTGGCGGAGGGCGTAGACAAGCGCCTTCATGTAGGCGAGGACATCTGGATGGAGGTAGACCCGGGCCAGCTCCATCCGCATCTCGACCAGGTCACCGGCAGTGTATGGGAAGGAGCGAGCCTTGGCCGACGGGTACGGGCACTCGATGCGGGCCGAGGCACCGAGCGAGACCCGGGTGAGAAAGTAGTCGCGCAACGGCGAGGTGACGTGCCCGGCATCAGCGCCGGTGCAGACTGCCACCATGACAAAGTTGGCCGGGAGGGTGTACACCGTGCCGCCGAGCGAGAAGCGGCCGTACGAGAGCGTCTTGAGAAGGGCACGCTGGACAGACTTATGGGTCATGTCCAGCCCAACCACCATCCACACCGGCGCCACGCGACGCAGCTCATCGGTAGCCATCAGCGGCGGGAAATAGCCGCCAGCCGGTGAGGTCGGCGCCGACGACAGCGCTGATGCCTTGCCGCCTGTCCCAGGCGACGACGATGCCGGCAGCTGCAAGCCTGACGTAACAACCGGCAGAGAGGCCGGCGCAGCCACATCCGGCGGCACCTCGCCAGCATCCTTCCCATGGCTCACCAGCAGCGAGTCGAGCAGCGATGCAGGCGTTGTTGCCTGCGACAGCGTCGTTGTTGCCAGTGCGCCCAGTGGGGTCGGGACGAGCGTGCGGACAAGCTGCAAACAGGAAAGAAGCAAGTGAGTGAGTGAGTGCGTTCAGAAGGTTGAGATGGGGGCGCGGGGGGCGGGGGGGGGGGGGGGGGAGGGGGGCCGGGAAGGGGGGGCGTACGTTGCGGAGGGCGGTGAGGGCAGGCGAGTCAGCATGCGGTGCGTCGACCACCAGGTGCGTGCCCGACACCACCGAGGTGATGAGGCCGTGGAGCACCTCGCGTGGCGCGCTCATCCCGCTTACCTCAGCGAGGAGGCTCGGCAACTGTCCAGCGAGGCTTGTGGACATGAGGGAGTAAGGTGGGGCGCGAGGGGGAGGAGGAGGAGGAGAGTAGAGCCGGCAGGGTGGGGCTGGGGCTGAGGGCGCGTAGCCGTGGGGCGGCGGCGATCCGACGGGAGAGGCGGAGAAGCTGTGTAACAAGATCGTTTGGTTGCGCATGGAGTGAGGGTGAGCTCCGCCCATCAACGCGGTGTCCTTGATGTTGAGCGAGGGCTTGTGCGGGTCTTGGTGGAGATCTACTAGCTGGTACTGCGTGCCGTGCGAGTGCGTGAGGCCGACGGGCGGCCGGGAGGCGACGGGCAGCAGGTGGCAGGCAACCAGGTCTTGATGAATGTGATGATTTATGGAGAAGAAAAGAGGATTGGTTGGAATCGTGGTATCGATTGAAGAAAAAGGTTGTTAGGACCTTGCTGGGTGCCCGGTGATGCGGACCTCAACCCCACGACTGGACCCCGTCCTGTCGTCCTGCTACATTCCCCGTCGCGGGAAAGCGTAGAAAGAGCGACAGTGGGACGCAGTCGCGAAGATGCTCTCGATTGCTGCAGCACGTGTGCCATGCATTGTCGCTCTTTGCGTTTGTCAAGCTGTGCAGCACGCTCCCGCCCTCAACGTGTGCCGGCTCAGTGTCGGCGCTATCACTTGTTGTCAGTGATAGCGCCGGCACTGAGCCGGCACCGTCGAGGGCGGGAGCCTGCTGCACAGCTCTACAAACGCAGAGAGCGACAATGTCGAGCATGTGCAGATGCAACTCAAGCAGAGGAGCCTGGGCGTTGGTGCGAGGAGTGGTCGGATGAAACGTCGAGCAACATAGTTGCTGAACTCATTCTGACGTACTCGCGTCTTGGGGGTGCGGACTTTCGGTCTTGGCGCGCTTCCGTGTCAGGTTGCCCTTGTCGTGCACGATCTTGTCGTAGATCCAGGGGTACTGCTCGTTGACGCGCTGGCCGGGCACATGGCTCCGGTTCTTACGCTTCGGCGGCTTGCGCCTTGGCGGAGAGGTGGGTGTTGGGTCAAGGAGCACGGTGCAGTGAAGGAGGAAAAGTGCAAGGACAAAGTCGATGTAGTCGTCGAACGACAAATAGTTGGGGTCCGACTCACAGGAGTTCCAGAGTATGGAGCCCAACGAGCCCTTTGATGTGCCCCAGTAAGAGCCTTTGCCCTCCAGAATCAAGCCGTGTTTCTTGGCAATGGTGTCGGCCTTCTATCCGAAGGGGGACCACTCTTCACCGGATGGCCTTGCTTCGCTCTTCAGCGCCTCCCATCGTTCCAGGAGACGTTGCGGAGTGAGACCTTTGATGCTGGCAAGTTTGCAGAAGAAAAACTTGTTGCGGCTTTGAAACTTGTAGCGGACCTTATCCTGCTCGTTGGAATCGAGCTCCTTGACGCCGTTGATAAAGACCTCGAACAGCTTGTCGCCTCTCTCCTTCAACTTGTCCTCTTGCCAACACGCCTGCAGATTTGAGAGTATCACGGGCGCCATGATCGTGCGTTCCACACTGCTGGCGTTCGAGCTTTGGTCGCTCGAAAGCGACCACTCTCCAGGCGTGGGAGGAGAATGGCTCGACTCTAGCGAGATAGGGTGTTGGAGAAACTTGTCGATATCGGACGAAGTCAACAGGTCAGCGAAGTCAAGCTCTGGCAAGGGCGAACCCGATGTCGGCGTGTCCGACTCGTCAGCAGGTGGACTGCTGGCCGAAAAGGTGAACGGACCCATTAAAAAATCATCCGAAAAGGTCGACGGCGACAGATCCGACATGAGCGGGGAGGGGGGATCCAGGTGGTCGAGAGGCACCTCCAAATCCAAGCTCCATGGCCGCAGCTCCTCAGAAGAACACTCTGGAGGGCTTTGGCAGCTCATGGTACCCGGTGTCTTGTAGAGTGAGGTGTGGGGAAAGTGGACTGTGAGGGGTGCGGCGGGTGCGGTGAGAGACTGACTATTCGCTCAGCTACGATCTGCCCTCGGTTTCTCCTGGTCGGCACGTGCTGACAGGTAGGCCGGCGGGTGGGCGGGCGGGCGGGCGGGTGATAGGCAAGCCGGCGTTACCGACATCAGGGCACAGCAGGATCTTGTGTTGACGAGGACTTCGGCGCGGGGCGACATGATTCGCAAACATGGCTTTCATGGGTCTCGTCCAGTCCTCCCGCTTGGGGGACCGCCCAAGCGCGTCGGGGAAGCGACCCGCTACGCTGGGAAACACATGTGCACTCGGTCCTCGCCGGCCGCCGACAAGATCTGGATCATCAGCATTTCCCTCCCACCAGCTGCCACCGGGTGCATCAGCGCTAAGAAAGACATCGACAGACGAACCGGCTATTGGCGACCAGCATGAGTCTCACCGCTTTCGCGCGCGCAGCTACACACCAACGGCGCGCGAGAGGGTGTCGGCGAAGCATGGTGCGCGTGGCCGTGGTGGGGCGATCCGATGGCGCATGCGCGCGGGGGGGAGCTACACGTAGAGATCAACCACCACCACAGGGTGGGCGATGTCGTACGAGGCGTTGGAGAACATGGTGCATCCCGAGGGAGCGAGCCGGACGCCGACGACATCGTGGACATGGCCGTAGAGGTGGAGCTTGGGCTTGATCTTGGCGACGCGGGCAGCGAGGGCGTGGGAGCCCCAGTGCCGCTTGCCGGCATGGCTCTTGCCACAGACCTCGCAGTCGCGCCCGCCAGTCCCGCCGACAAACGCGGTATCCATGATGTTGAACGGGGCATGTGCATGACGAGAACGTCGGTCTTCTTGGGTATCTTCTTGCAGGCCTTGGCCAAGCCAGCTTCATTGGTGCCAAAGGCGTACGAGCGCGAGGCGTGGGTCCACGGCAAGCCGTAAAACTTGATGCCTTCGATCTTGGCGCCCGAGTCCTGCAGGTAGACTACGTCCGGCATCAGCGCCTGGATGTCGTCGGCAGTCATGCGCGAGAGCGCAATCTCGTGATTGCCGCACACCACCACCCGGTGGGCAGCCGGCGCCGCCGCCAGCCACTCGTTGAAGCTCGCAAGCACCTGCGGAAGCTCGTCAGGAGTGAGGCGGGTGCTAAAGTCGCCCGAGTGGACAAGCACATCGCACGGGGGGACGACAATCTCCGGGTGCTTCAGGTGGGTGTCCGAGACATGGACCAACCGGATCCGCCGGGCTTTGCCCTTGGCTAGCGCCTTGGCCGAGCACACCCGAAGCGACGGTGCGTGGATGATCCGCGGCGCTCGGCCCATCATCTGGTCAAGAGTGAGGGTGTAGAGCGCCGCCGCCGGCAGCGCAGTCTCCCATCCGCCGTCTGGAGCATCGCTCTCGCCCTCGCCTTGAGCCCACGGCACGGCTATTCTGCTCTCTTCGACAAAGATCATGCCCTTGGACGCCTCCATCGCCGCTGCTCCGGCCTCGGCCAGTTGCGCCTCCAGCCGCTCGCGGCGGGTAGGTGTGGCGGCGACAGGCGGCGTCGGCGGGTCTGCGGAGGATGGTGGGGGTGGGGGTGGGGGTGGGGGTGGTGGGGGGGGCTGGGAGGAGGCGGAGGATGAGGACGAAGACGATGAGGAGGAAGAGAACATGGCAGGGCGTCCCGGAGTGAAGCAGATGCAAGTGCGTTTGTGTGATAGGCGGGCGAGAGGAAGGAATGCGGGCGATTGAGAGAATGCATTTAGGTTGTTGATTAGAAAATGAAAGAGAGAGGGGGGGGGGAGGGGGGGGGGGGTCGAGACGCGTGACTTGCCCTTCTACGGGTTGCTGACAAAGTGTTCGTCGATGTGACGTGACAGAGAGGAAATGTGGCATTGATGCGTGGCGTGGAGATCGCGGCGCGGCAGTCTGCTCGATCTCGCCAAGGCCTTGGCCTGGAGTCGAGAGGCTTCTGCCATTGCGATGCTCGCTTGCTCTTGCTCGTGTCCACAGGTTATCTTGTGCTGCACAGTCGGGAACAAAGTGTCTTGAATTCAGCGCGGTGCTGACATCGCGTTCTGCGACGTGGGGGACGCGAGGCTCCTGGTGGATTGCGCGGCGAGAAGCTCAGGTGCACCATGATGGTCACAGGGCTCGCTTGCGTTGCATGTCCAGAGAAGGTCCGGTCTTCCACAGTCATGAACGGCGATGTTCTGACTTGGGATCATACGTCTTGACAGCCGTGAGGTAGCAGGAGATATCCAGCTTCTACGGCGTAAGCGACTTGTGTCGCTTGGGTGGTGGTGCGTCGGGGCTGGGCGTGGACGCTGCGCGCTTTCCGTACAGCTTGCGCCACACCTTGCAGATGTACCACGGGAGGTACTTTTTCACATGACCAACGCGGGCGTTGTGACCCTTCGTTGTGGACTTGAGAGAGTTCGTCTTCAGCGTGAGCATGACGATAGCGGCCGCGAACTTGAGAAGTTGCGTGGACGCGTCAGGACTGACCAGCAGGCCGCGCAGGTACGAGTTCTCCACGCGGCACTGGCAGCCAGGCCAACACCCAGACCAATCTTTGCTCCAGCTGCTTCTGAGGGTCAAGACCAGCGAGTGGCACCAGTGCTCCATTGGCCTGTGATACTCGTCCTTCTTGCACAAATCGCAATCTGACGCGTCCTCCTCCTTTTCCACAGAGGCCAAGATCTTGTCCAGCACCTCCACGGTGATAGCGGTGCTCCCGACGTCGACGGATTTCTGGAGGATCGGCATAACCTTGACCTTCAGCATGGCATTGCGGGGAAAGCCACTACATCGAATCGGCAAAGAAACTCCTGCCATACCTTCTCGCCAGAGCCCAGAACTCGTGCATCATCATCATCCGAGGAACCACATGCGCTGGCCCCACGCTCCTCCGCCGATACGTTGGGTGGGCTGCAGGGGGTGAGCGTGACCGAAGCGACCGGGCTCCCAGTCGACGTCGGCGGGGGTCTCGAGTTCGGGGAGGGCGTCGCCAATCCCAGCGACAAGGTATCCTTCGCCGACGAGGCGAACGGAGTAGCTGGCCGTGCCAACACCGTGTCCGCGACAGGCGTCGCTGACGAGCAGTGCAAGGGCGTCAGCAAGTGGGGCGAGCCCGCGCCTCCGGCGGGTGAGCCAGGACCGCTGTCAACCTCGTCATCCTCCGAAGGCATGGGCGAAATGGAGACTGGGCGTGGTACAATAGCCTCGTCAACCAAACTCATTGACAATAATTCCGGCAGCAGGGCTGGCAAGCCTTCGAACACTTCTGCCGAGTCCGAAGAGTCCATGGCGGGCACAGGTATGCAAGAGGAGATAGCTACTGGTAGTACACGAAGAACCCCTCTAGACTGGTTGTCGGAGAGAGGTCTGTCTTGTCTACCACCTTTACCTCTGCCCGCCACGGTCGGCTTTTTGACGGCAACAGCGTTGTTCGATGGAAGCCGTCCTCCATCGCCTCCAAGAAAACACTTCTGCTCTCAGTCATCCTGGGCCGTTCACCAGCATCGCTACAAGATCATCAATGTCCATCGCCAGCAAACTGCGATCGACTACCAGACGTAGCGGCAACACTGCAAGCTGACCGTTATCCGGCTGCATTGACCACCCGGTCAGCAACCAGCTTGCAGTATTGCTGCTTCGTCTAATGAGCTCTCCTCCCACCTGTTCGCCGTCACTGGCGCGAGTTCCATGGGCTTGACCCGCCTGAGTCGGTCGAGTACGGCGTGCCCGGAGTGCGGAGCGGCGACTCGCGGCCAGACGCACCTTGCTCCATCTTCAGATATACCATCTCAGTGTCGTCGACAACAACGCCTGCGTTCTTGGCCATCGCGGCAGTGAGAAACCGTGCCATCTTGCCAAAGCCTGCGCCGCGGTCGCGCTCCTTCCACACCGGCAGCTGGCCGAGCGAGGCAATTTCGACGGCGGTGGCCGGCGTAGTATACCCACCACGCTCGAGATAGCTGATGATAGCCTCCAGCGTCGGTGCCTGCCGCGCCTCGCGCGGCGAACGCGCGATGACGTTGACCTGAACCCGCTCCATCCTCGGCGTCGATGGCCGCTCGCCGGCGTTCATCATCCACGGCGAGGAAGACGGGGCGTACAACAGGCTCGGTCTTGACTGCTGATCAACGGCGTACTTCGAGGTCGAGAGCCCGACTCGGGCACCCTCGCCGATCTGCCAGTACTCGCCCGTTGCCAGCACGTCGGTGAGCATGAGCCGAAAATACGCTTTCGAGTAGACGGCGCCCGGCAAGTCCTGCGACATCCGTTCCTTGACGCACTCGCCCAGCCGCGCAAGCAAGACCACGCCCGACGCGTCGGCCTCGCGCTCCATCAACTCAGCCACCAGTTTGATGTGGTCCCGCCTCTGCGCCTCAGTGGTCGCAGATTCGAGCTGGCTCATCCCGTCCGAGCTCACAAAGTACGCTTCGCTTCCGCTGCTTGTCCGCTGCACCCACCCCAGCTCAAGCGCATCCTTCAGCAGCCGCCGGAACATCTTGGATGTGTAGCCCTCCGGGCACCACTGCTTGAGCCCGGAACCCATGGCTACCACTGATGCCACCCCGTCGCACCCCACCTCGCTCACCAGTTTGACAATGTGCCGCGCAGAGAGCACCGAGGCGTCAACCCTGCCTTTCTTGCGGCTTGGCCCAGGCTTGGGCACAGGCTGCTGCAGCAGCGCTTGGGTCCACTCGAGAACGAGCTCGACCTCGCGCCCCAGCGTCCGGAGATGCGCCACGAGCTCCGAGGCGAACCCGTCCTGCGAGGCAACCACAAAGGTGACCTCCAGTGGCAGCTGATAGTGCAGATGCACCGCTTGGCATGAGACCTCCACATCAGCCGCGTCCTTGGTCCGTCCCAGCGTCGGCACAATCCACATCCACGGCGAGGCCTCTGCCAGCCGCATCGCCTCCTCCATGTCGGGCTTGTTGAGATGCCCACGCATGATGCACACCACCAGAACCGTACCGGCCATCTGATACTTGTTGCCCACTCGTCCACTGCTCTCCACAATCTCGTCGAGCACAAAGGTCTGCTGATCGCCGTCGACAATCACAACCTGCTGCACCCCGTTGAGCGCACCCGACACCACCCGCCACAGCTCCCTCCACGCCTCGGCCGGATCCCGCAGCAGCGCCTCTGATCGTGCCACCACATCAGCCATCTTGAACTAACTGTCGCTCTCTATATTCCACACACCAGCTCACAACCTCTGATCGCCAGCACCCGTACTCGGTCGCTCGGTCGTAGCCTTGCTCTTCCACTCTCTCTCCGAGCCACCGACCACTACCAACACCACGCTTCTTGCTGTTTTCCCTCTTGAAGCCAACCAAGCCCTCAAGAAGACCACACGCGTAGAGTATCTCTTCTCTGCGTGGACAATAGCCTGGTCTTCGATGTCTGTCAAGCCCTACCTCGGCCGCGACAAGTCTTGCCCAACGCCGTCCGGACTCTGCCCTCAAACGCTCACCACATCCAAGGCAGAGATGGACGAGCCATCTACCCATCTACCCTCATCTGCACCACGCCTCGCACACATCGCCACACCAGTATACCTCCATCTCCCATCTACCCATGATACACCGTCAGTGCTCAATGGATGCTTGGTTCTGCTCCATCCCCCCCCTCCCCTCCCCTCCCCTCCCCCTCCTTCCCTCCCTTGGTTGAAGTCGTGAACCTATGCCATCCATCGATTATACTTTCAACAACAATCACATTCTCAACCATCGATTATCACTCGATCAATTAATCATGCACTCCACTCTGTCCGTTACCACTCAACTCGACTGGCTCTCTCCACCTCGTACCTCGCCACCATGCCGGGCTCATCCGGCTACTCCACAAGCACATACTTTGCCCCGCTTCATGGTTACGACCCACTCATTCACTCGCCCATGCCGCTGTTCCGCTACCGCACGCCACCTTCCGCTCCACCCATCCGCTCGCTCGCCCCGAACATGCCGTCGCCGTCGCCGCAGCCGCCGATGCAGCAGGCGGTGCCCAGCTACGTCGCACGCCCTCCCGCCGCCCACTCGACTACCCACAGCACGTCGTACTGTGGCGGTCGCCGCACCCTCCGCGCCTTGGTCATGGACGATCTCGAGTACCTCTCGTCAGACACGGTGCCCGATGGTGACGCCCCGCCGCCGCCGGTCTTCGCCCCGCCGCGCATCGACATGCTTGCCTCGACTCACACGTCAGCGCAAGCTGTCCAGGCCGATGCGCTTGTGTGGTCCGCTCGCGAGCGCCAAGGACGCTCTCGCTCTCGCTCCGCCTCGCGCTCCCGAGCGAGATCGGCCTCGCGCTCGCGCGCAAGGTCGGCCTCGCGCTCGCGCGCACGATCGCCCCCGCGCCAGCCGGACACTCATCGCCTGCCTCCCCGCGACGCACACATTCAGCAGCTTCTCCAGCACTCGCACACATCGGCATCGCTTCGTTCTGCCGATCTTGGACCGCCGGGCTATGACGCTATCGTCACTGTCGACCGCCAGCTCTCCGGCTCCCGTGCGCGCTCGCGCTCGCGCTCGCGTCCGCGTTCTCGCTCTCGCTCTCGCTCTCGCTCTCGCGCTCGCCCGCGCTCGCGCTCACGCTCGCGTCCGCAACCCAGGGTCTCGCAACGGCACTGGACTTGGCGCGACTCGCAGCCGAGCCCACCGCGCAATGCTGCTCTGACGCCGGCATGCAGCACCGTAGCTACCTCGCCACCGTCTCCGGTGTATGTGACTCGCCCTAGAAGGCGCTATCGGTAAAGAGTGTTCATGGTTTGGCTTACGACCTTCGGCTCTTCTGCTTGAGGCTGCTCCGCGGCTTTTGAGACGGGCGTCGTCCATGCCCGAATCTGCTGTTGTGGTCCTGCTCGCGCGCCGCGCGATTCTCTTCGATCTCAGTCTCAACGCGCTCCTTCACCTCGGCCAGCGCGGCGTGGAACGATGCGCGGGTCTCATTCAGCAGCGAGTGGTACATCGCCAGCTCGTCATCCTTCGAGTCGATCTGGGCTGCATACGTCTTCTTGAGCGCCTCGTTGGTGTCGAGCGCAAGCTGGAGCTTCACTCGCGAGTCCTCCAGCTCCTCCATGAGACGCGACGGGGCGGCTCGCGAGACCGCTTCGCCGCCAGTGCCTCCTTGGCCGACTGCAGCTGTGACGCCAGTGACGCCCGGACAGACTCGAGCTTGAGCGAGTGGTTGTGTGTCTCGTCCAACTGGTGCCGGAGCGAATCAATGTGGGCTGAGAGCTCGTCGTTCTCGTGCGCCAGCGCCTCCAGGTTCGTCTTCAGCTCGATCACATCCAGCAGCTCCGGGTGTGCCACGTACACCCCCGGCTTGTTCGCCTCGCGCGGCTTGCGACTCTCGTGACCTTGGCGTGTCTCGCCCGCCTCGCGGCTCTCGCGGCTCTCGCGCTCTGCCTTGTCGCCGCCCGGCGACGTGACAACCGAAGCCATGGCGGCGGCGCGCGCTGCGGCGCGGGCATCTGCAGCCTCGTCGCGCAGCTCGCGCAGCTCCTTGTCGGCCTGGCTGAGCGAGTGCGCCTGCTCGTCGATGGTGTGGTGGAGATCTTCGACTTCACGCTGCAGCTGGAGCACAATCTTCTCTTGGACATCGACTTGCTTGCGGGTCTCGCGCAGCGCGCCATCGAGCTGCTTGGCCTGCTTCTCAAGCTCGAGGTACTCGGGCATGGTGTGGACGTCGATCTTGGCCGGTCGCTTTGGTGGGCCCGAGAGCGGCCGCAGCCGGCGCGGGCCGCGCCCGTTGCGAGACGATGCTGCCGACGGCGGGACCTCGGTGAGGAACGGTGAGCGGCCGGTCGCCGACGCGCCGTACTTGCGCGGCTTGGCGTCCAGCGCCGCCTGGGTCGTCGACAATTTGGCTTGCAGCGCCTGGATGAGCTCGTCGTCGTTGGAGGTCTTGGAGAGGAGGACCTGGACCTTTTCGCGGAGCATCTTCATATCCTTCTCCAGCGCCGTTGTCCGCGACGCCTTGCCGCGGATCTTGAGCTTGAGCTCAGAGAGCTCTGTGTTCTGCATCTCGATGGTCCGCTCCAGCCGCATAATCTGGTCGACCTTGGACTCTTCCAACGCCCGGATGGTCGACGCATGCTTGTCGTCAAATGACGTCGCCGTCGGCACCCCAGTCTGGTCGAGGTAGTTGACTCCGGCTGCCAGTTGCTTCTTGAGCTTGCGGATCTTGTCCGAGAGCAGCGAGATGGTCTCGGCCCGCCCGCGCCACCCGGAGCCCTCCACAAGGACCTCCTCCAGCGGCACATTATCGCCCACTTCGCGGACCAACGCCCGCTGGGTCGCCTTGAGCTCGGTCTTGAGCTTCTCGATGACCAGTCGGTACTCGCGGTTGCGCGCCTGCGCCCGCGACAGCGACTTGGCCAGCTCGCGTCCGGCGCCGGTGTCCGGCCCAGGCGGCCCAGCGCCACCACTCCGACTGCTGCTCTTGCCGCTGCTCTTCTTGGCCGGCGACACTACAGTCTGTCCGCCAAGCAGCTGGCGGAACTCGGCAGCGCGCGCCGGCGGCAGATGCGCCACCGCAAACTCAAACCCGGGCTTAGTAGCATCGAGCTGGGTCTGCAATGTCGCTGACCGCGTCCGCTCTCGCTCCAGTGCAACCGTGAGCGAGCGCTTGGCCTTGGTCAGCTTAACGATCTTGGCGTCGCGCATGTCGTATGCGCCAGCGCCGGCTGCCGGCTCGGGCGCCCTCTCTGATGACTCGGGCTGGAACTTGCGCGCTGCCTTCTCCGCCAGATCCTCCACCTTGGCCCGGAGCCGAGCATTATCTCTCCTCAATGCATCAAGCTCAAGAACGTGCTCTGCATTCTGTTCCTCCAGCTCACGGACCTGGCCAAAGGCCGACCAATCAAAGGCCGGTTTGGCCGTTCCTCCGCCTCCTGTTGCAGCTCCGGCTCCATCCCCGACCTCGACCTCAGCCTCGACCTCACCACGACCACGACCACGACGACCATACGAGTCCCTTCCCCTATTTCCCCTGCTCCCCCTACTCCCTCTCCCTCCATACCGACCTCCATGTCCGTCTAGAGAATCCCCTTCATCCGACGAGTCCAGCGAGTCACCCGCCGGTGGTCCCGCCGCCGCAAACTCGGCGTCGTACTCGTCAAACTCATAGCCATACGAGCCGTCCATATGGCCCACAAACTCGCTCTACTCCCCACGACAATCAATGTCCTTCCTTTGTGCTGTCGACTCCCCAAGCCTCTCTCACGCCTCTCAAACACAGAGTCCCTGTCCCTGGTTTCCCTGCCCGCAAGAGACTGGTGTCCCACAACCTCACCCTCGCCCGCCACTACCCGTCGCCAACGGGCCTCTCCCCCCCCCCCCCCCCTTCCCCCATGATTAATCGTTCATTTTATGTGTGTTGTTGACTGCGACTGGCTGCTCGCCAAATTGGCGCCAAACGAGCCATTTGTCGCTCGCTGTGACGGGAGACGGGAACCCTACATCAGGGCCATGCTCGATCATCTGAGCGATGTGCCTGGGCATCATCATCATTCATCATTTGTTGGATCAAGCCATGACTATGGGCAAAGGCTTGATATGCTGCCTCCCATCCATCACCCGTTCTCCGAGTCCCTTCTCCCACGCTTGGACAACGAGTGACTCACCATGTGACTGCTGCCATGTCGGTGATGTGCCTGGTGCACGTGTTGCGCGTCCGCCCCGCGCCGACTTGCCGACTCGCTCCGCCCACCCACCCCCAGCCCACCGCCACCACCACCACCTCACCCGCACACTCGCCCTCCCCCCTCTCCGGAAAGCAACTTGCCCGCCATGCTCCGTGCAGGAGTGATTGACTCGCTCTCTGCGTCCGAGCTGCAGCTAGCGCTGACCACCGGCGTCGTCCGCCAGTCGGAGCTGACCACACTGGCCAAGTCGACGCTCGGCCTCGAGTCGGGCCGCTTTTGCGCTGGTGACACGCGGGTGGGCGCTGGAGGCTCGGCGGCGGTAACGGTGCACAGGGCAAAATGGGTCTCGGACATTCTACAGCGGCGCGATGAGTTCGAGGCTGCCTGGCGGCTGGCGGCCAGCTGCGATGATCCCGACCGCGCCGCCAAGTCCATGCTCCCGCGCGACGAGTTTGAGACGCTCATGATCCGCCTCGGTCTGCCTAGCGCCATCCACGCCTCGCTTTGGCCGACGCCAGTAGCTCTAGCACCGGGTCGGTTGTCGGCTGACGAGGCGATCGAGATGTACTCGCTCGAGGTAGCGTGGCCCTTTGTGGAGGCCCGCCTGAACACTCTCTCGCCATCGGACGCGATGCGGATGGAGGTGCGCCAGGCTCTGGCTCTCACCCATGAGCTCGTCGACGAGGTTCAGGACGAGGAGCTTATCGATGAGGTCAACGCTCTGCTGGCGGCGGCTGACGTTGACGATCGCGTCACCCATCCGGACACCCTCGCCATGGACGAGGACGGCGTGCTCTCGTTCCTTGCTGCCCATGGCATTCACACCCTTGCCGAACATGTCGAGGACTTGATGCATGCCATCAAAACAGCGCACGTAAGCTTGGAGTCGACTCGGCCGCCCACGCTTTTGCCTCCTCGCCGTCTCGAGCCCACATCAGCGCCATGACGCCGGTCACTGAGGCCGAGCTGATGGCATGGCTCGAGGCGACGGGCGCCACATTCTGACGTCTATTGTGATTTATACTCCAGTCGACCGCCGCATGCTCGGCACCATGCCGCCATCGGCCGTCAATTGGTCGAGTGAGTACAGGTCGTAGTAGTCGCGGATGCGCGAGCCCGGCGTCAGCCGAATCTGCAGAAAGTCCGAGACGTTGTTGAGCCAGGTCGAGGTGAACGGGTTGTGGAACTTGCCGGTTCCGCGCGCCTTAAAGTGGACATACCGGTTCCAGTTGGCCGACTCGTTGGTCGTAAAGTTGCGCACCACGCCATTGTATACGTGTTGGGCGAGAAGCGCTGAGAGCCAGGCGAGATTGAGAAAGTGAAAGTAAGCTAGCGCCGTGATTGCCGTCGTCTTTTGCCACGTCTCGGTCAGGAACGGGAGCACTGGGATCATCTTGTTCGGCAGGCCCGGCGTATTGGTGACGTACAGCAGGTAGAAGAAGATAAACGACGAGTGCAGCACGACAATGCCAGCGTTCGTCGCCACAAATACCGGATGGTTGTGCAGGCCGATGCAGGTGTTGACCCACGGGCAGTGATGGTCGAACCGCGGCACGCACCGTCCGCACAGCCGGCAGTGCTTGGATCGCAGCGGCCGCTCCACAAGACACGTCGAGCAGAGGCGGTCCAGCGTCGGGAGCTCTTCGTGCGCCTTGCCCATCGCATGCTCTGCGCTCCGCGGCTCCTTGTCCAGTGAGGACTCACCGCCCGACCGCAGCAGCGACAGTGTCGACGCGTCAGCCGCCAGCCGCTGCTCGAGCTCCTCGTCCACAATCGAGATGAAGAGCGTCTCATCGCGCGCGTCACGCTCGATCGTCCCGGCATCCGACCGGACAAGGGTGACGTAGCAGTACATAAAGACAGGATTGAAGGCTAGAAACAGCAGGTGTGCCGTAAAGTAGTGGCTCGAGGCCGGCGCAAGGTGCATAAAGTACGCGCCGGCCGAGAGCAGATAGAGGACAATGAAGAAGGCAACCTGGCTCGGCGACCGCTGCCACGGCTGCGGCCAATACGGGGACAACAGGCGCCGCGAGCCAACAACCAGGAACATCATCAGCGGAAGCATCATGTACCACGGCGCAAATGCCAGCACAAGCATCAGCGCCGGTGGAACAACCGTCATGAGCGCCACTGTTGCCTTCCATCGCTGCGACGGCGGAAGCCAGAACCATGCCACCGTCCACATGGCCAGGCCCTCGCGAACACCCTCGTGTGCCGCCTCGCGCACATTACGCCGCAGCATGTCACCGGCGCTCTCCCCACTGCGGTCCTTGACCTGGTCGTAGTCGGCCGGTGACGCCACCAGCTCATCAGCCATGTCCACTTCGCCCTGCCGCGCCGCCACAAGCAGTGGCGTGTCGCCGTACGCATCCCGCACATCCAGCGAGGCGCCAAGCTTGACAAGGGCCTTGGCCATTGTCGGCTTGCACTGTACCGCGCACCAGGCCAGTGCCGTCTTGCCTTGCGCGTCGCGCGAATCGACGTCAGCTCCGCGGAGTACCAGGTACGCGGTGGCGTACGCGTGGTCAAAGGCTACCGCATAGTGCAGCGGCGACATGCCAAGCGAGTTGGGCGTCTCAATCAGAGCCTCACCACCAGCTCGAAGCAGAAGCGCCAGCATAGTACAGTGCCCGCCGCGGGCCGCCCAATGCAGCGGCGTCTCACCTGTTGATCCGGGCTGGACCGGCGAGGACCGAACGACCGGTGGCGGCGGATCAAGCAAGTACACTGCCACCGTGATCTGGTTTCGCAGCGCTGCATAGTGCAGCAAAGTGCCACCCGCCGTGTCCGACACTGTTGTGATGGCTGTCGCCTCTCCTGCGTCCGTCCGACCGGCAGCAGGCACAGGAGCCACCGGCACATGCTCGGCCGAGGCAGCTCTGCCCGACTCTGCGCCCACCACATCCTGTAAAGAGCCTAACCCTGCCAAAGCCAATGGATCAAACGATGCCCCGCCGCCCAAAGAGGATAGACTCGCCGTGCCCATGGTGAGGACTCGGTGGAGAGCGAGGACATCACCGCGCTTGGCAGCCAGCATGGCGGCCTCAAACTGCTCAGCATTCACACCCATGACCAACCAGTCGACACACACAAACACAAACGCAAACACACACACACACACACACACACACACACACACGCTTCAGAACTTCTGTCTCTTCTGGACTATGTTGCTTCCCTTCTTGGTGCTGCCTGTCTCAAGACTCTGCTTCGCCCGTACGAGGAAGGGTGGGAGAGGTGGTGATATTTCGTCCCAGCTATCCACCGAAACGTGCCAGTGTGTGTGGCTGCAGAATGTGACGCAGGGGCAGGCCCGGTGACGGACATGAACGGGTCGACCATGGCGGCCAGGGACATCGATAGTGTCCATCACAGCTTGATCGGGTATGTGTGGCCTATACTGATGTCAGTGCTAGCTATCCGCCTCAAAGCCAGTACAGTCTCAGACACGGACATGTACTTGCCCACCATGGCCGGCAAGGCGAGATCGACGGCAAGGATCGCTTGCCTGAGTCGGAGACGAGCATGATGCGATACGGGGCATCCCAGCCAGAAGGGCCGTTGGCTCCTAAAGCAGCTCGATCGGACATGAAAGGCTGATTGAACGTCAAGCAAAGAAGGGAGAAGGGAGAGCGGCGGTGGGAACAAAGGCTGCGTCGTGCAGATGGCATGCACCTGGCCGCTCTAAATCGCAGGTGCTCACCGCGCCAAAGTCCGGCTGCCCGCACCACCGCTCTCCGCCGCCGCCACTGTCCGCCATGGCCATACCCGTTGCCAAACTGGGTGGTGAGCTGGTTTTGGATGCTGAGCGGTGTGTCCGGCTGGTATCCAAGGCCAAGGCTCCGTGTGCCTTCAACGTCGAGCTCCGCCTCGGCTGGTGCATTGTCCCTCTTGACCATCCGCTCGCGCCGGCCGAGGCTGAACGGTGGCCAGCATGGTGTGCAGCTGTCGACAATGGATCCGCGTCAGTAGCGGTGGCTGATGGTGAGGGATCGGGACCAGTTCGGCTTGTCATTGCCCTGCGTCTGGCCGCCGCAGGCTGCTGCTCGTCCAGACTCCCCCCGGAGCAGCAGCAAGTAGGGTCTGCAGGCGCCATCCATCCGATCGTCCCGCTTCCAGCTGCGTCGTCATCGCTATCTCGCTCTGCCTCTTCAGCAGAGAACCCGAATGAGATGCAGGTTGTGGTGCCGCCATCGCCGTCGCTGTACCCATCGCCATCGCCACCGCCATCCCGTTCATCCCGTTCATCGTCGCCATCGCCGCCGTCCCCGTCACCGATCTTGCCCCTCTCTGTCAACGAGGGTGAAGTCGGCGACGCAGGCGCAGCTCCTCTTGTTGATCTTGCCCCGTGGCCATCTGTACCATCTGGAATGGCCGAGGTACACTGGCTGCATCCGATGCTCTTCCTGACGTTTGTCACCCGGTCGCCGGCGGTACTCTACGTTCTGGGCGTGGCGGACGGCTCGACTCGCCAACTGGATCTTCCGGACATGCCGCTCAAGGTGGTGGCAGCGGCACATGCTCCGGTCATGGTTGTACATCTTGCGTCTGATGTTGTTCTTGTCGTTGCCGTAGTTCATGGTACGCCGCGCCGGGTCCTCGCAGATGTGCCGATGCGGGCAGCTGATTCGAGCTGTGTCCTGGCTTCCGATGGGCGACTTGCTGCTGTGTGGTACACCCCAAGTACTGCTGCTTCCCATCTTGCGGTATATGCAGTCGAGAATGGCGAGTGTCTCGCTCGGTTGGACGCCGAGGGCTGGTCCCGTGAACTGCCGTGGTGCGTGTCCCCGCTGCTGGTGGCGAATGTGGGTGACGTTCATCTGGCTGACGATGTTGCCTGGCTTGTGCTTCATCGTGCCGATGGCTCGCTTGTGGCAGTCGACATTGTCACTCGCCGCGTGATCGAGCTGGTCAGCAACAGTGTTGCCTGTGTTGATCTGGCCGCATTTGCAAATGGCGGTGTCCACGTTGTCTGGGCCGAGACAAGCGGGCGGCTTGCCGTCGCTCGGGTCGCGTCCGATGTGATGGCTGCGTCTGTGTGCTCAACTGTGCTGGACAACTTTGACGCTTCTGTTCCGGGTGCGAGTCTTTCGTTGCACCGACTCTGCGACGATGGTTCAAGCTACTACGTTCTAGCTGCCAATGCGGCGATGGCTGTGGTCTGCGTCTACGAGGCTGCGCCCGAGCCGACTCTCCGCATCCTGCAGCTTTGCTCGCCTGCTGCTTCTCTAGGTCCATGGACTTGGACAATGACCTGGTTGAGCGAGACACGAATGATCCGTGTCAGCGCGGTCGGCCGTGTCTCCGGTCGGATCTGGGAGGTTGCCAGCGCCTTGGCGTTGGCGCGGCCGCGTGTGCTCGGCTGGCGCACGCCGGTCGGCTCCAGCCTTCTTGCTGTCGCGGCCGTCAAGAACAGGATTTCTGTCGCCGTTCAAGAACCGGAGCCAAGAGCGCAATCTAACACCCTCGGTGGCGGTCTCCTTGTCTTTGAACCTGTCATAGTTGACGCGTTGCATCTGTCGGGCCAGAGCCGTGCCATTGCCTCTACGGCTCTTGTGGCACCCGTCAACAGGTCAGGCCGGGTGGCTCTGGCTCCGATCAATGCCAAGTGGCACCCGCTGGCTGCTGAGCGGGCTAAGTTGTGGCTGGGGGTGTTTGATGATGTAGTTGCGCTGTTTGCGCATCCGCCGCTGCCCGGTGCCCGTGTTGTTGTTGAGGAGCGGATCGGAACCTGGCGCCATGGCTTGCTACAGGCCTTTGAACTGGACGTGCTTCCAGACGAGTCGGTCGCTGCATGTACGATGGGTGTGATATGGACTGCGCCTGGCTGTGGGCTCAATGTTGCACCGGTGCCCGAAGGCCGCCTGCTCCTCCGTCCGCGGGTCATCGACCCGTCGACCATTGTCACTCTCGATCTTGCGCACGCTGCTGTGGTGCTGTACACCGTGGAAGCTGGCACTCTCAGTCGCCGTGCCGTAATCTCCTTGGATGTCACCATGGCTGATGGCATCATCTGCGGACGCATGCGCGATGACGAGCTGCTTGTGACTGTGTGCCACCGCAGCGGCCCTCTTGTATTCTCGCTCGATGTGGCTCATGCCCGGTTGAAATGGCGGTGGCATGGCGTGGGACTCAAGCCAGATGCGGTTGCAGTTCCTAAGACTTCTGTCTGGTATGGCTATCGGGTCCATCTTTGTTCCCTACGAGCCAACGAGCGGTGTGCCTGTTGGCCTGGGCCCAGCGCTTGCGGCAGCGAACGAGCTGTTGCCGGCGATTCCGAGTGTGCGGCGCGTGAGTGCCGTTTACAATGTCCTTGCCGTCGAATCAACTGGCGAGTGGGCGTGTGTGTGGACCCGTGACGCCGTGGCTGTGTATGCACTCGGATCGAGCTCGGGTCTCGTCTTTCCGTGTGGCATGTGGACGGGCCAGGTGCTGGCGGGCGGGGTGGACGAAGCTGTCGAGGCACCGCGATTCTCTGTCTCGATCGCAGTCGGAAAGGCAGCCACTGGATTTGTCCTGCAACAACTCGGTGTGGCGACAACGATCCTGGTGTGGACAGGCGATCAGCTGTCTGTTGGGCACGAGCTCGCTGGCTCGCGGGTCCGGGTGTATGCCGCTGGCCACGACGATGGGCGGCTGTGGATGACCGCGCTTGATTTGAGGAGTGACAGCAATCCTGCCGTCATCGAGTCGCGGCCGCTGGTTGGAAGCCGCAACGTCAAGGTTGTCTGCTCCCTTGAAACTGGCCGTGTTCTTGCCGGTGAAGCAGTGTGCGCCCGAGCCGACGGATGCGGGTGCGTCGTGGCCACCGGCGCCGACGATGCCGAGACTGGCAGTCTTGTTCTGTCTTGGATTGATCCAGTGTGGATGGGCATCGGTCGGGCTATAGGCTCAAGCCGATTGACGCCCGGGATGTGCGAGTCGGTTGACTATGTGCGCGTCGTCAGCCTCGCTGCCGGGGCGGGGAGCAAGCCGCCGGTGGCGCTGATCGAAGCCGATCCGTGCGTGGTCGTGCCAATGGGCGGTACGGCCTCGGCGCTAGCTGGTCTCGGGCCGGCCGATCTCGCGCTTCTTACTCCTTCTGGCGATACCGTGGTCAGCCGATGTGCCGAATGGCTCTCGCCAGACTCGAACACACGCAAGTGGCGAAGACGGCCACGATCCTGCGGCAGCAGCCCGTTGCTGCTGGAGCCACGACACGCTCTCTGCGATGGCGTGGCTGTCGACGATCATACTCTTTCCCTCTTGCCGAGCACATCAACCCACATCTCGCCGCCCAAGCCGAAAGCCTCGCACCTTCCATGAATCGTGTCTTCTCACAACAAAACATGGCCGCCTGCAGGTGAACCGGCACACGTCGCGTAGCCGACCGAGTGGACCACCTCCAACTCCTCGCATCGCACATGCCCCCACACAACCTTTCCGATCACCTCTTGCCCCCATCGTGCCGACCGCCTGTCCACAGCCGAGTGGACTGGCGGTGTTCCACGCGGTAAAATCCGTCGGTGAATACGTCGGCGAGATGCGGCATGTCCGTCTTTTCCAACTTGGGCCGAAAGTGGGGAGGGAGGAAGCACCGCAGAAGCGGGCGGAGACGAGGGAGGGAGGGAGGCAAAGACGGTAGACTTGACTCACCCACCCCCGCACAAACCCTTTTGTTCGACTATGTTTCGCATTGCACGTCATAGCCTCCTTGGGCAGACCACGGCGCGCAGTGTGGCCTGCATGTGGGCTTCACGTGGCTTGAGCGCCGCAGCTGGAAGAGCGAGCAGTGACCACGCGCCGCCTATCAACGGACTTATGCATGACCAGCCCATGCTCATCTCGTCGCTCCTGGACCACGTGACCGAAGTCCATCCGAATGTCAAGGTGGTGACCAAGACGGTGGAAGGGCCCACGGTGGAACATACCTGGGCGGAGATCGGTCATCGGAGCAAGGCCCTCGCCAATGTGCTTCGTCATGAGCTGGGCCTAGGTGGCTCTGATGTGGCCGGCACCCTGGCGTGGAACACTCATCGCCATCTCGAGCTGTACATGGCGGTCTCGGGCTCGGGGCTCATTAACCACACCCTCAACCCGCGTTTGCATCCGGATCAGGTGGCGTACATCATGAACCACGCCGAGGACAAGGCTCTGTTTGTCGACTCGACCTTCCTCCCGCTCGTCGCTGCCGTCGCCGACCGGCTCCCGTCGTCGCTCAAGGCCGTTGTCGCCCTCACCGATGTCGATCACATGCCGGCGCCAGACTCGGATGTGGTCCGCGCACTTGGCGATGTGCCGCTTCTCTGCTACGAGGACATGGTCGGTGCAGCGTCGACCGAGTTTGAATGGCCGGTCTTTGACGAACGCCGGGCGGCGGCGCTGTGCTACACCTCGGGGACGACAGGTAACCCCAAGGGCGTGCTGTACTCGCATCGGTCGACCATGCTGCATGCGTACGGTGCGTGTGCAGCCGACTCGCTGGCGCTGTCATCTCGCGACACGGCGATGCTCATTGTCCCGCTCTTCCACGTCAACGCGTGGGGCATCCCGTACGCGGCGCAGATGTGCGGCTCGTCGCTGGTGCTGCCGGGGCCCAACCTCGACGGCCAGTCGGTCTTTGAACTCATGCGCGACTACAAGGTCAACGTTTCGTTCGGCGTTCCGTCGGTGTGGACCATGTTCTTCCAGTACCTGGCCGAGCATCCGGAGATTGCGCCTGCCGAGGCGCTCGAGCTGAAGCGGGTCATCATCGGCGGCTCGGCAGCGCCTCGAGCCATGATTGAGGCCTTCCGCGACCAACTGGACACGTTTGTGGTTCATGCGTGGGGCATGACCGAGACCTCGCCGCTGGGCGTCATCTCCAACCCGCTGCCCAAGCACGACGACCTGTCGCCTGACGAGATGCTCGACCAGGTCCAGTCCAAGCAGGGCCGGCGGATGTTCGGCATCGACGTCAAGGTAACCGACGAAAACGACGAGCAGGTGCCGCATGACGGCAAGACGCCCGGTATGATCAAGGTCCGTGGTCCGTGGGTGGCGTCGGCGTACTACAAGCGCGATGGCGAGGATGCCGACACCTTTGCCGCCGACGGGTGGATGACCACCGGCGACGTGGCGACGATGAACGAGGACGGATATGTCAACATCACCGACCGCATGAAGGACATGATCAATGGTGCGTCGCTCGTCAAGTCGGGCGGCGAGTGGATCTCGTCCATCGAGCTGGAGAACGCTGCCATGGGCCATCCGGATGTGTCCGAGGTGGCCGTCATCGGCGTCAAGCACTCCAAGTGGGAAGAGCGCCCGCTCATGGTCGCCATCCGCTCGCCGGCTGCCGTCAAGGCTGGCAAGTCGGACGAGGAGATCAAGGCCAACATCGCCAAGCATATGACGACCAAGGTCGCCAAGTGGCAGATCCCGGACGACGTTGTCTTTGTTGACGCTCTGCCCTACACCGCAACCGGCAAGGTCCTCAAGCGCCAGCTCCGCGACGACCTCGGCGACTACATCCTCCCCACCGACCCCGAGCATCCCGACTACAACTCGTCCAACTAGAAGACAACATCGGGGCGTTGTGTCGTTCTTTCGTTCTTTCGTTTTCCTCGTCTGCCATCGAAAGCGGCGCGCAGCGGCCCCGTTTGGGGCACGGCCCCGTTTGGGGGCAACTCGTGTCAACAATAAAACCAATGATTGTTTTCCCGTTCTTGGCTGACATGGGCCTCCACACAACCATCATCAAAACAACATCAGCATCAGCATCATGGCTACCGAGTACCACATTGTCGTTCTGGGCTCCGGTGGCGCCGGCAAGTCTGCCATCACTATGCGCTACCTGCACAACCACTTTATTCTCCAGTACGACCCGACAATCGAGGACTCGTACCGCAAGCAGGTGGTCATCGACTCGGACGTCTGCCTCCTCGACATCCTCGACACGGCCGGGCAGGAGGAGTTCTCTGCCCTCTCCTCGCAGTGGATCCGCTCCGGCGAGGGATTCATCATCGCGTACACCATCACCGACACCAAGTCGCTCGAGGAGGCCCGCGAGATCCAGGCCCGCACCCTGCGGGTGAAGGACGCCGACAGCGTCCCCACCGTCATCGTCGGCAACAAGGCCGACCTCGAAGACCAGCGAGCGGTCGGCACCTCGGAGGGTGCCGACTTTGCAAAGTCAGTCGGCGCCGCGTTCTTCGAGACCTCGGCTAAGGACGATGTCAACATCCACGAGACCTTTGCCGCTCTTGTCCGTGCCATGCGCGATGCCCGGGCCAAGGCCGCCGGCAAGGACATCAGCAAGATCAAGCCCAAGAAGCGGTGCGCCATTCTCTGACCGCCCAGCCAGCCGAGCGCGACCACCACTTTGTATTCCTTGACGCATGTCTCTGTAAACGACCTGCTCCACACCTCATCCGTCATCGGACGAAAACGATGAAGCCGAGAGTGAGCTAGAGGACGCCGAGAGCGACGGCGCGCGCCGGCGCTCCTGGACCTCGACAATCCCGACCTCCGACTCGGTGTCCAAGTCGAGGTCCGGGTCCTCGACAACAATGAACGAGTCGTCGGCATCCGCTGGATACGGCGATGCGGCGGCGAGATAGCGCGCCAGCTGCGGGCGCGGTGCTAGTGCCTCGTCACGCATCGCTCCGCTCAGCGCAAGCAGCGACGTCGCCATGCGTGCAACAGCCGGGTGTAAGACCGTCCACGAGAGGTGCTGTACCTTGCGCCAGACCGCGACACGGCGATGGGTGGCAGTCGCCGAGGCCTCGGCGTACGACATCAGGAGCGACGGTCCCGCAGCATCATCGCGTGCTTCCAGACCAGTGCCAAGGTCGCCGTGGTCATCGGTGGCAAGAGCGGCGTATCCACCCTTGCCCTTCTTCTTCGCCTTCTTCAGCGCCTTTGCCCGCTTGCGCTCTGCCTTGGCCTTGGCCTTCTCTGTCGCCTTCCGGGCGCGAAGCTCCTCTGCCGCCGCCGCCTCGACAGCCGAGTCGTCGGTAGCAATGCCTCTCTCGTGGGCTTCTGAGCGGGTGATGGCGGCAAGGGCGCCCGAGACAGCGCCGAGAAAGACCTGGACGGCCGCAAGCAGGCTTTTCATGTCCTCAATCACGCCCGCCATGTCCGCAGGCTTGGCCACGCCGCTTGCCAATGCCAGCGGCAGCGACTTTGTCACTCCCACCATAATTGCCTGTGTCTCTGCCGTCATCCCCCTTGACGCCGCTCCTGCTCCCGGTAGATCAGGCACTCGCATCGCCTCGCCGTCCTTGTCGTCGTCGTCGCTGCACCCGTTTCCGCCCACCGCCACCCGGGCTAGTTCAGCCTTGAGCATCCGCACATGACCCACCATCTGCTGCATACGATCCAATGCCTCCTCCACCGCTCCTTGCAGTCCCGTGGCCATTGTCTGCTAAGCCTGGCGAGAAGTGGTGGCGGTGAGGCAGGAAAGCGGCGGCGTCCACTGCGCCATGCTCTACGACCTTTTTGGGGGATGGCGGGCAGTGGCAGTGGGCAAGAGAAAGGCGCGCTTGCGGCATCGCCCTCCTCTTCCTCCACTGTCTAATAAACCCATGGTGTGTGTGTGTGTTTATGTGGGCTTGGCTTCCATGCGCTGTCGGTGGCTTTGCACGCGCGCGTGGTTGGATCGCAGCAACCATTGCGCCGGACAGCTGGTGATGGGCCATCCAAGAGCCGTCACCCCCGAGATCGGATCTGGCCTCGATCTGCAACTACATCCTCATCCTGTGTCTGTCTCTGATTTCACCACCATCCCCCCTCCCCCCCCCTACCCCCCTACCCCCCCCTGCCTTCTTCGGCATGTCCCAACCACGACCTTTCCGGTTCGAAATCGAGCATTGGCCCGACGAGTGGGAGAGCCACGGCTGGAGCTCGGAGACGGGGCACAACAAACTCAGCAACATCCCGCTCCACTCCACACACGGGATTTCTGTTACGGAGGATGTCCAGTGGGAGCTGGAGTGGGTGCGAGACTGAGTACTCTCTGTCGTCACCATCAGAGAGTGTGCTGCATGACTCTCAACCCGTGCAGCCGCCCTTGTCGGTCCCCTTGGCTGCGAGTGGTGAGATGGGACTGACCGGCGATGGCCGCCCTGCCGTCTCGTCAACCTCATCGACAGCTACCTCGGCTGCTACTGCTCGCCCGGTCTGGTCTGCTGAGGACGAGGCAAAGGCTATGAAGGAGGCAATGGCAGCGGTGGAGGCGGCGGCATCGGCATCGGCACTCAGATCGGTCCAAGAGGCTGCAAGTCGGCGCGGCTCGCGATCAAAGTCCCGCTCGCGGTCACGATCACGGAGCCGAGAGCGGGATATCACGGTCCAAAAAGAGCCTGTCGGCTTGGATAGAGACGAGGTGAAGCGAGTCGCCGAGGGCCACGTGGAGATCCGCAGGCGAATGCATGTTCATCGCGATCGTCGCGCGCAGCACGTCCTGCCGCTGTGGCACGCCCGCCGGCTGGTGGCCACCCGGCGTGCTGCTGGGACCAACGGCGTCATCCTCGACCGTCATGAGGAGCTGGGTAGCTTCTCCAAAATGGACTACCGCAAGTTGCACTCGACGATTGATCGGGCTGTCGATCCGCGCAACGCCCGCCATGTCGAACCTTGCCGTGACGGGCTCAACGAGCTCCAGCTGCTCCGCTTCCGCCTTCGGATGGAGCAGACAATCGACACGATGCGGCTGTATGGCGCTGGGCCGCGCGATCAACCGCGGTTGAGCTATCGCTCCAGCTCCGCCCAAGTCACGCGCCCTTCGTCACTCCGCCGCGAGGAGGCGAAGGCCGCCAAGGAGCTTGCTGCCGAGGCTGATGCTTTGTGGGAGGATGAGCCACTGCGTGGCGAGGAGCTTGCGTTTTGGGACCATACGCTGCTGCGGTATGACGCCATCAACGCTGTACTGCGGTGGATGCGGCGGCGCGAGGCCGATCCAGACGCCGCATTTGTCCCGCACATTCCCGGCCAGCCGCGGGTGGCACCGGTGGCGATCTCGCCCATGGCAGTCTGCCTCGCCGCATCGTCGGCGACGTCGTTCTTGCGTAAGATCATGCATCGACTCTTGCTGGTGGCCCCAGAGTCGGGTGAGGTCTCGAAGCGTGTTGTCGCGCGTGCCCTGCATGCCTTTGACATCGAGCGGCTCGGCTTCTCGGCCGAGGACCAGCTGTTGCGGCCGGATCTGGTGGAAGCCGCCCTGCTTGAGGCCCACGAGCGTGGTAACCTGTTTGGCCCGATCACATTTGACGGCCGGGAGTATGCTGCTGTCACCTCATCTCTGCCCACTGAGGGCGAGAACGACGATGACGAGCAGGTGAGGCAGGTGGCGGTGTCGCCACCGCCTCTGAGCAGCAACGAGCTTGCCAGCCTGTTTGGCGATCTTGAAGGGCTCGATGACACTGCCGGCATCGCCGAGCTCGCTACCAGTATGTCAAACGTGGACGAGGACGAAGACGAGGATGAGGACGAGGACGAGGAGACAGCGGCGAGCTTTGACGACGACAGCGACTCGGTTGGGAGTCAATCACCCGATAACCCTCCCGAGGAGGTGGAGGGCTCATGGCTGGAGTTCTCTCGAGGCCGCGGGCCCGAGGAAACGTGGCAATGCCACCGCCGCCCGATCCGGCAGAGATTGCGGTCAAGGTGGCGCAGGCGGCGCGGCATGTCATGCCAGCTGGTTCGAGCGTAGCACCGATGGAGGAGGAGGAAGAGGATGAATAGGTGAGCGTTTACAGCAACCAGAATCAACAAGGCGTCGATGCGAGGGAAAGTATGGGGGATCTATGACGAGAGGGCGAGCAAGACCGAAGACTCGTATGCGTACTCGTACTCACCCGAGTCGGACACGTCGGCATAGCCGTAGCCGTACTCTGAGTCGTCATCAGTGGACGAGATCACAACGTCGTCATTGAGCTGCGCGAGATATGCGGCGTCCTTGGGCTGGAAGAGAGCTCGGGCAATGCGTGAGAGATGAAGCTGGGAGAAGATGATGAAGCCTGCAATGTAGCCGCGGTGGGTGATGAGCGAGTCGAGAAGGCGGAGATGGAGCGAGTGCAGCGACCACTCGGCGAGGTAGGCAGCCTTGGGCATGCCAGCAAAGGCCGAGGAGCAAATGATGCGAAAGGCGGCCTCGCGTTCGACGGTGGCAACGTCCACAATCGACGCCACGTTGTTTGTAAAGCCGGCGAAGAGGACCCAGTTCTGCCAGGTCCACTCCCACACATACCGCTCCATGATGTGCGAGAGCATCGAGATCTTGATAAAGACGGCAAAGACGCCGAGCACAACAAGCAATGTGCCTAGAAGCAGGTAGCCGAGAATCATGCCAACAAAGTACAAGTTGCCCATGCACGATGTGCAGCAGTCGGAGCTCTCGCCACCGGCATCCCGATTGCGGCGGGTCCTGTTCCGCGCGCGCGCCCTGGCACGAGTCGACGGCCCGCTTGAGCTGATCATGACTTTGCGCTTGAGCCGAGCGAGACGCATAAACTGCGACAGCGTCTGGATCCACATCATGACCTTGGTCACCGAGGGAATGAACTTGAGGAGCGAGAACGATGCCGCGCGCTGCAGCCAGTTGTACGCCGTCAGCAGCGAGTTGGATGCCAGCAGGCGGATGGCAGGTTCACCGCGGCGACGCGCGCGCCGTCGCCGGATGACAGCCGCGATCGAGTGGCAGAACGTGAAGATGACAATGAGCGAGAGGAGGCCAAATTCGAGGTAGATGAGGACAATCTGGGAGAAGTTGTACTGGACGTCCGGATCGCGCTCGGGCCTGCGGACAAAGTTGAGGAGAGCAACACCAGGGTTGAGGACAAGTCTTCCGACAAAAACGACAAAGACTAGGATGTGCTTCAAGCCGAGACGCTTGGCAGCCAGCTCATACTCGGCATCATCCACCGATGAGAGCTCTGTGGTGCGAAAGGCTTTGGAGATGGCGTCAGCTCGGATCTCCAGCGACGATGCATGCAAAGACTTGTAGTAGAACTTGCCCAGCGATGACAGCTCCGCCAAGCGGTCCTTGCGCTCGCGATGCTTCTCCTCGACTCGTTTTCGCAGATCCTGCTTTGCCGCCCTTCGCTCCGCCCGCCGACTGGTTTTCCCGCCACCACGGCGGCCACGGCTACGACCATCACCAGCGCCAGCCTTGCTCGACCGCCTCCGTCGCCCCTTGCCCCCTCCACCTGCAGCTCTTTTGTCGTCCCGCTCGCCACTCCTTGACCCTTTGCCGCCGCTCGCGGCGTACGACCGCCGTTTGCCCTTGCTACTCGACCGGCGCGCCATGGCGATGAGTAGTGACACTCGATTGTTCTGCTCGGCTCGGTTCAGGCTGGACGTGCAGCCCAGCCCGCAGGCCGGGACCCGATCGCGGCTTTACAGTCAAGACGCTACAAGATCACGCGTGAGGGTCGAGAGCCGACGGCGCTCTCCACGTCCAGTCGTAGCTGGCAAAGAGCGGGAGATGATCTGAGGGATGGTGTGCGTTGGGCAGACCGACCGGCCCTGTAACGACTTGAGCCAAAGTGTCGGATGGGAGTGCCATGCGGAGGGCAGTTGGGGTGAGATCGGGGGATGTGAGCACGTTGTCGATGCTCTGAAGGTCTCCGGGCGTGTTGCCAGTACCAATGTGGGTGCCCCACTTGAAGGTCGCCGGCCGCTCCCCGCCCAGTGCAGGGATGCTGGCTGCGGCAGCAGCAGTAAGATCGCAGGCGATGGAAAGGCCATGGCTGTCGCCCAGCATGTACTCGTAGACTTGTTCGTCTGCAGAAGCATTGAAGTCGCCCATGACAGCCACCGACGCGCGATCGGCCAGGCCGTCGCTCTCTAGCCGAGTCCGGACCTTGGTCAGCACCGATCGCATCTGGAACGTACGCTGCGCGTCCTCACCGGAGCCGCCCTGCAGATGAACGGCAACGGCGACAAGCAGTCGCGGCTCGGCGGGCGAGTCGCTGGGGACCAGCTCGCGGAGCGCGACGGCGACAGTCCGTGTCCGGCGGATGGACCAGAGGAGAGCAAAGCGGTCGACGTTCCAGGCGAGGCACGGCTTGGTATGACCATGAGCCTCGCGGTCCGACTTGGTCTTGGCCTTGGCACACACCCATGCGTAGCCGCACTCCTCGAGCAATGGAGCATAGTCGGCGTCAAAGGTAGGGAGCTCGGCCTCTTCGAGAGCAAGCACATCGGCGGCCGAGGTGCGGACAATGTCGGCGACGAGCGGGAAGCGATGCTCCCAATCACGGTGCTCAGGGAGGACCCACGGATTGTTGCAGAAGCGGTAATGCCGACGGAGCGTGTTGAAGCAGCCGAGGATAATCGAGGTCGTTGTCCTCATCGCAGCGTCCGGCGATGGCGCCGGCTCGGACTTGCCCGACGGCTCACTCGACTCGGCCGACGGCTCGGACGCGCCTGGCGGCCAGGAAGACGGCTCGATGTAGCGTATTTCGGTGACAGACATGGAAGATGAGGTGGACGAGCTTGTGTTGCGGGGGGCGAGAGGTGTGGGGTGGGGGGGGTGAGGACCGAGGAGGATACCGATTTATGCCTTTGGTTTTGACGCTGTCGACTTGCGCGAGCTGCAAGGTGCAGATGCCAATCGAAGATTCCACACGGTGGAGTCATGCCCGCGGCAGGGTAGGGTGGCGACGGAACATGGAGGAGATGGTGCGCGGCTTGGCAGCACCATGGCGGGCCTCGGGCGAGACGGAGGTCTTGGCCGGAAGCGAGGCCGTGCGGGTGTAGACCATGCCGTTGATGACGATCTCGTCGGCCGCATCGGTGGCGGCGTTTTCATCCGTCACGGCAGCAACGGACGCTGAGGCCGGCGGCGGGGTGAGGGGAGTAGGAGAAGCCGGGGGCGGAAGCGCGACACCAGCGTCGTCGCCGTCGTCCTCATCGGCGGCGGGAGCATCCTCAGCGGGCGCGGCGGCTGCAGCAGCGGCGGCGGCCTGGGCGCGGGCGTCAGCCGCCAGCGACGACGTGGCCACCTTTTGGGCGTAGGTGACGCCGTTGATGATGATGCTCGACATGGTGGGGATGTACGACGCCGAGAGCGAGCGGACCTTCTCGATGCCCTTGGTCGAGAGCTCGGCGAGGTGGCGGTCGATGTGCTCCTCGTTGTGCTTGAGGTGCGGGCGGATGTACCGATGGAAGAGCCAGTGAGCGCCCTGTGTCTGCGGCAGCTGGAGCCAGAGGAGGAAGAGAACCTCGCCCTCGTAGTAGAGCGGGACCCACGAGATGAGGAACGACGGCATGAGCGAGAACGCCGCAAAGCAGACCCAGTACGTCAGCCACTGCTCGCATCCGTCAAGAGACTGCGCCTCCAGCGCCTTGAACGAGTGATAAGCTGTCGGCCTCGCCAGCCACCAACAAGTCGTCCAAGCCGTCGCACGCGCCGTTCACAACATGGGTCCCCACGTCCCACCGCCACATACCACACACACACACACACACACACACCGCATACCGCCGTAGTATGCACACACAAGTATCATCTCTGCGAGTGAGTATTCTCTTCTCTCATCCTAGCTCCTCATCCACCCGTATGTCCCACCCCGGCTGCCGAGGGAAGGAACGTTCGCAAAGTTTGAACAAACGCGCCTCGCTCCTCCTCTCCCTCCCCACTCACTCCCTACCCCGCTCAACGCTCGGCCCTTCTTCACTGCGTACCAGGGAACATGATTCCAATGACGAGTGAGAGCACGTAGGCAAGGTAATACCCGATCATCGCGGTGCGATCGGAGGTGTACGGGTGTGCACAGTGCACGACAAGTGTGGCGTCTGCGACGGGTCGAGGTCGCCATTGAAAGCGGTTGCTTGTTGTTCGTTGGGAGATTAATAATCGAGTGCTGTTGTTCCGTTGAGCGATGCTACGATAAACTCTCATTCAGTTGATCGATGCTACGATAAACTCTCGTTCAGTTGATTGATGTCGATAAACTCTCGTTGGCTCGTTCGCACAGCACCCGGCGCGATCGATGGCTTTTTTGGCGCCAAGCTGCGACAGGCCGACCAGCGACGGGTGAACAGCAAGGCCAACCCTTCTCTCTGGAGAACTTTGCAGGAGCAGTAACAGAAGAGGGAGAAACAATGTACATTCTTGAGCTCATTCTGGATGGGTTCAAGTCGTACGCGACGCGGACGGTGATCTCTGGCTTCGACCGGTCATTCAATGCCATTACGGGCAAGAACGGGTCGGGCAAGAGTAACATCCTCGACGCCATTCTCTTTGTCCTCTCCTCATCGCCGGGCTCGCTCCGTGCAGAGAATCTCAATGCGCTCATCTACAAGTCCGGCCAGGCCGGTGTCACCAAGGCCTCGGTCACCATTGTCTTCGACAACACCGACCCGGAGCAGTCGCCCGTCGGCTACGAGCAGTTCAACCAGATCACCGTCACCCGCCAGCTCGCCCTCGGCGGCCGCTCCAAGTACATCATCAATGGACGGCAGGCCAACCTCGCGTACGCTTTCTTCCCCCTTTCCCTCCCTACTTTCCCCCCCCCCCCCCCCCTGCCTGCCTATGCTCTCAGCCGTGCCTCTCCCTGCCTGTGTTTGAAATTTTGGTTTTTGGCGCCCTTTCTGCCCGCACTCCTTCCCCAGAGCGGCCGCTGACTCTTGCGCACAGAGGACACATCAGATTGTAGTGCGTGCGCGACTCATGCGACGGACGAGGAGTGGAGAGCAGCCGGGTGCAGAACATGTTCCACTCTGTGGGGCTCAACATGCAGACGCCGACGTTCCTGGTCATGCAGGGTATGATTACCAAGGTGCTCAACGCCAAGCCCAAGCAGATCCTCAAGATGATCGAGGAGACAGCCGGAACGTCGATGTTTGAGGCCAAGAAGTCTGCTGCGCTCGACACTATCTCCAAGAAGGCGCGCAAGGTCGACGAGATCCAGAAGATCATCGACGAAGACATTTCGCCGACGCTGGAGAAGCTGCGCAAGGAACGCAAAGCATACATCCAGTGGTCGCAGAACAAGACCGAGCTCGAGCGGTGCGAGCGGTTTGTCATTGCCTACGAGTACTCAGAGCTGGTCAAGTCGATTGCCACGTCGGAGGAGAAGCAGGCGCAGATGATGGCGGCGGCCGAGGAGCTTAACTCGGAGGCGACGTCTGCGGCCGAGGCCGTGGCCGAGTACGACGCGCTCATCAAGGAGCTGCGGTCAGCGCGGCAGGCCGAGATGGAGGGCGAGTACAAGGAGCTGGAGGCAACAGTTCGCGAGCTTTCCAAGGCCCTGGTCAAGGCCTCGACCGATGGTGACCACAAGGCTGAGGCTGTGGCCGAGGCCAAGGCTGCGTTGGCCAAAGTTCAGGCTTCCATCGATGAGGCCAAGACTGCACACGCGGCCAAGGAGGAGGAGGCCAAGAACCACGCGCAGGCTGTCGAGGCCGCACAGGCCGAGCGCGATGCGGCTGCCGCCAAGGTGGCCAACCTCGAGGCGCAGCTGCAGGGCGCCGGTGCTGCGCTCTCGGGCGGGTCGGGCGACGAGGGTGTGGGCGCCAACTCGTTCACCGCTCAGATTGGTGCAGCCAAGGCTGCGGCCGGCAAGGCTGCGTCAGCCATCGATCAGGCCAAGGTCAAGATTGATGCGCTCCAGGCCCAGCTGGCGGTCAAGCGGCCGCAGCTCGAGTCGTCGTCGGCCGAGCTTGCCAACCTGCACACCCAGCTCGAGGCGGGGCGCGAGGCCGTTGAGGTTGCGCAGGCACAGCTGAACGCCCTGGCGTTCTCCGAGGAGGAGGTGTCGTCGGCCGAGGCAACAGTGAACGAGCTCGAGGGCGAGCTGGCGCCGATGCGCGACGCACTCTCGATCCTCGAGTCCAAGCTCGCGCGGTTCTCGTTTGAGTACGCCGACCCCGAGCGCGGTTTTGATCGCTCCAAGGTCAAGGGCCTGGTCGGCGAGCTCATTTCAGTCAACACGCCCGAGGCCATGACCGCACTCGAGGTTACCGCCGGCGGCAAGCTGTTCAACGTCGTCGTCGACACCGAGCGCACCGGCTCGGCACTGCTCAAGAAGGGCAAGCTCAGGCGGCGGGTCACCATCATCCCGCTCAACAAGATCTCCGGCTCGTCGCTCTCGGCCGACGTTGTGTCCAAGGCCGAGGCGCTGGTCGGCGCCGACAACGTCACGCCTGCACTCTCGCTGGTCGGCTACGATTCGGAGGTTGACGCGGCTATGAAGTACGTCTTTGGCAAGTCGTTTGTCGTCTCGGACATGGTCGCGGCCAAGAAGGTTACTTTTGACAAGGCCATCCGCACCAAGTCAGTCACCCTCGAGGGTGACGTGTTTGACCCGGCCGGCACGCTCACCGGCGGCTCGTCGCGCCGAGCGTCGTCGTCGATTCTCGCCGCGCTGGCCGAGCTCTCAGCGGCACGCGCAAATGTGGCGGCCAAGGAGAACGAGCTGGCCCAGGCGGCAGCCGACCTCGCGGCAGCCCGGTCGCGTCAGGCGCAGGCCGCAGCGCTGGCCAATGCTGTCGCGCTCAAGGAGCACGAGCTCAAGCTGGCCAAGTCCGCCGCGGCTGGCTCGCCACAGCAGCAGCTCTTTGACGACATTGCTGAGCTCGAGGCCCAGGTTGCCGAGGCGCAGGGTGTCATCACCGCGGCGGAGGCAACCATTGCCGAGTCCGAGGCCAAGGTGGCATCGATTGAGGCCGCCATGGCGGAGTTTGCCGACAACCGCGAGGCCAAGCTTGCAGCAATCGAGGCTGAGGTCAAGGCGGCGAAGAAGGCAGCCGCAAAGGCGACCAAGAAGTTCCGCGCCGTCAGCCAAGCCGGCGAGGCGCTCCAGCACGAGGCGCTCGAGCTTGTCAACGAGGCCGCCGAGCTCGAGGCCCAGATTCCGACGCTTGAGTCCGAGATTGCGGCGGCTGAGGAGGCCGCAGCGGCATCGGCGGCAGCGCTCGAGACGGCCAAGGCCAAGTACGGTGACCGCAAGGACGAGCTCGATGAGCAGACGCAGCGGCTGGCGGCGGCAGACAAGAAGCTGGCCTCGCTGACCAAGGCCCGGGCCAAGGCGGCGACCAAGTCGGACAAGGTCCAGCTTGCCATTCGCAAGGCCGAGACCGGGCTCAAGAACTTTGACAAAAAGGCCAAGGAGCTGCTGGCGACCAAGAGTCGGATGGAGCGCAAGCACGAGTGGCTCGCCGCCGAGGCGCACCTGTTTGGCGAGCCGGGCTCCGACTTTGACTTTGAAGCCCACAACCCGCGCAAGCTGACCAAGCGGGTCAAGGCCCTGCGCTCCGAGCAGGACGTGCTCAACAAGTCGATCAACAAGAAGGTCATGAACATGTTTGAGCAGGCCGAGCAAGAGTACCAGGACCTCAAGCGGAAGAAGCGCATCATTGAGAACGACAAGGCTAAGATCGAGAAGGTCATCGCCGAGCTCGATGAGCGCAAGAACGAGGCCCTTCACAAGACCTGGGTCCAGGTCAACGCCGACTTTGGCTCGATCTTCTCCACCTTCCTCCCCGGCACGACCGCCAAGCTCGAGCCGCCCGAGGGCAAGACAGTGCTCGATGGCCTCTGTGTCCGCGTTGCCTTTGGCACGGTGTGGAAGGAATCGCTCTCGGAGCTCTCCGGCGGCCAGCGCTCGCTGCTTGCCCTCTCGCTCATCCTGGCTCAGATGCTGTTCAAGCCGGCGCCGTTCATGATTCTTGACGAGGTCGACGCCGCCCTTGATGCCAACCACACCGCCGCGCTTGGCACCGTCATCGCCAAGCACTTTTCGCACCGCGAAGGCTCGGCCCACGGCGGCTCGCAGTTCATCCTCGTCTCGCTCCGCCAGGGCTGCCACTCGAACGCCAACGTCCTCTTCCGCACCAAGTTTGTCGACGGCGTGTCGGCGGTGACCCGGACTGTCCGCGCCTCCAACGGCTCGTTTGCCACCCAACTGGTTGGCGAGCTCGACAAGGCCGCGTCATCGTCGTCAACGTCTTCCCGCGCCAAGGCTTCTGCCGCGACCACTGCCGTTGCTGTTGGTGGCAAGCGTCTCCGTGCCTAACCGCAATACACACTGTAACCTGATTCGCTGAGGAGTGCTGCCAAGTCTGTGACCGATTCAATCTTCACCCCAGCAGAGGCCATCATAGAGACGACGGGAGCGGGCTTGCCCGCCGGCATGCCACGACGCAAAACGCGTTCTCATCGTCCACATCGAGGTGCACAAACTCGATGCCGAGCCGCGCAACATGGTGCGGGAAGAGTGTCGCCAATGCCGAGTCCCACTGAAGGGGTACCCTCTCATTGGCAGCACTCTCGTCTTTGCCCTTCTCCGACGCCGTCGCCGCGGAGTGGAGGAGGCAACGTCCGCTTGGCTGCGGAGGCACTGCGAGGAGCATCGGATACGACGAGAGCTGGACGCCCCGCCCAGCATCGGCATACTCGGCCCAGCCGCGGGTCTCGGGCGCCATATGTCCAAAGTACAGCGTGTAGAGCGAGGTAAATGTCTCGCTAGCCGGGATTGCCAGGGTGGCAACAACCGCGCCCGACCGGTCGACAAAGGAGACGTCAATGATAGCACTGTCGGCAAGCCAGACATCCGCGAGACGGTCTTCGATGGCGGCATCGAGGCATGCGAGTCTCGTCTCTCGCTCCTTGAGCTCCGACGCCAATGCAGTCATCCGCGCCTTAAACGGGGACAACACCTTAGCAAAGGAGTCTTCGCCGGCCAGCGCAGCCTCGGCCTCGCGGCGGAGCTCGGGCGACGCCAGCTCCATCTGGCTTGGCGGCAAATGGGCGAGCTCGACCAGCTTGGCCAGGGCAGCGAGCGGTGACGAGCCGCTCGCGAGATTCTCGATCAGGCCCAGGTCAACCGAGCTGCCGTTGCGAGCAAGCCCCTCATCGCGAGCGATGGCACGCGCCTTGGCGAACAGTTGTGCTGGCTCGACGGCGTTGACAATGACCTGGCGCAACGAGAGCACAAACCGATCGTCGTCGTTTCCGTTTTCAGAGGCGCAGCCGATAAGGTCCGGATCCGGCGCGCGTGAGACGACAAGCACTGTTCCAATGGCGCAAGCGCTAGTGACCGGCACGACAATGTGGTCGGGCGAGCCAAGCTCGTTGCCCGGGTTGAGCACCTCGGATTTCCACACCTGCTTGCCGTCGGCAGTACTAATCGAGACTGTGATGTCGCGGAGCCGGTCTTTGCACCGGCTGCGGTTGACGAGGGTGATGCGGTGAAAGAAGACCGGGCTGGAGAAGCCAAGCAACCACGATGAGTTCGGCATTGCAGCTGTTGAGGAATAAGCCGAGCTGCGTGATAGCGCATTGCCGGCTGGGTACTGATCGGTGTCACCGTAGAATGAGGACTGCTGCGCGATGCCGGTACCGGCAATGTTGGCAACAACGACATTGGTGTCCTTCAGCGCGCGCGGCAGGAGATTGTCACACAGCCGGGCCACAGCGTCGGCGATCTCGGGTCCGGTCCGCCAACTTGGCCCGTTCTTGAGGCACGGCTTGCATATCCGCGGCTGGTCGACTTTGTCCGTGATCTTGATGGGCAGGAAGGCCTTACGATCCATGTAGCGCTCACATGAAACACAGAAGATTGGAGCAACATCATACAGGTCCGCACGACAGCCGCTCTTTGCTGGCGGCGACATGTGGGTGTACATCTGGCGATGGACCGGATGATCGACAGTGCACTCTATCCCTCTTTGGCACGGATGGGAGAACTTGGAAAAGTGACGAGCACCACGATTCTTGCACCGCCTGCTAAACCGACACCGGCGGAGGGTTGCCAAGACCGTTTCTTGTCCAAGCCGAGCACGGTTGACGATGATTCGGACTCTCCAGCATCGATCTCTGTCGCATCGATCTTGTTCAAGACAAGCTCATCATCATCATCATCATCATTATCATCATCATGGAGAGAGCGATCAGCAACCTGTGAGCCGTGATGTGTGTAGGCAGAGCAATGGCTCTTGGAGCCCATCTGGAACTTGCGGCATCGATTGCCCTTTGGACACGGATGGGAGAACTTTGCACTGTGGCTACCCATGTGCCTGCGCGAGCAACGTGCTCCGAAGCGGCACTCTACCAGCTTTTTCGTATGACGATACCGCCGCCGGTTGTTGCCATGTCTGCCTGGTGTGCTAGACATGATGAGGTAGTGTCTGGTTGAATTTCGGGGGAGAGGGGGTAGCCGGTCGGAAGGGGGAGAGGGGGAGGGGAGGGGGAGGGGGGGGGGGTGCGTGGGTAAAGTGTCGATTGCTGGTAGTGGTGGAAAGTTGGAATGTTGTCGGAAGGAATGACGGCAAGTGGGAAGGAAGCATGGAAGGTTGGTTGCAGCGGCAGTGGAAGTGGAAGAAATTGGGGCGGGTGCCAGCGGATTAAGGTGGTGGGGTGGGGGGGGGGGACTACGAGTCATCGGCTTCGTCTTCGGTGACAACGCGGAGAAAGACATCGTCGAGTGAAGTTGTGGAGATGCCCCAGTCACGGACGCCGGCATCGACTTTGCGGGCCTCAAAGGCGGCAAAGAGGGTCGAGACACGAACAGAGGCCTTGTCGACCTCAAAGGCGAGGCGCCCAGCAAACTCTGAGATGAGCTGCGCCGATGGGAGGAGCTCCGCTACCAGCGCCTTGGCCGGCTCTGTCACTGCCTCATCGACGCAAGCAAGTTCGATCTTGACTCCACCGCCGTAGCGGGCCTTGAGGTGGTCATTGGTGCCGACCACCCGCATGCGACCCTTGGTCATGATTCCGATCCGGGTCGAGAGCGTGTCAGCCTCCTCCAAGGCGTGCGTCGTGAGCACGATGCAGCGCCCCTGGTCCTGCAGCTTGGTGATTGCGGCCCACAGATCCTGCCGCGTCGCAGGGTCGACGCCTGATGACGGTTCGTCCAGAAAGACTACCACCGAGTCACCAGTCGCGGCAATCGCCACTGATAGCCGCCGCTGCATGCCTCCCGACAGCTGGGACGCCTTGCGGTTAGCAAACGGCTCCAGTCCCAGTAGTGCCATGTTCTCCTCGACATGCGCCGCCTCGTCCGCGGCCGGTACGCCCTTGACCCGGGCATAAAACAATAGATGCTGCCTCACCGTCAGCTGGTCCCACAGCGTGTCGTGCTGCGGACAAACGCCGATGGCGTGGTGAACCGCGTCCATCGACGTCGTGATGTCGTGGCCCGCAATCCAGGCCTTGCCCGACGACGGCGGATAAAGCCCGGTGAGGATTGAGATGAGCGTCGACTTTCCGGCGCCGTTGGCTCCAAGCAAGCCAAACGTCTCGCCGTGCCGGATGGCAAAGGTGAGCGACTTGTTGGCCACCTTGCCGTTGGCGTACCGCTTGCGGATGTTCGAGACCACTACTGCGTGATCGTCGATGCCCGGCCCGGTTGCGCTCAGCAACGACTGCACGTACTCGCGCTCCCGAAGCACATCATCGTCCTCACCCTCTTCCTGCTCGAGCAAGTCGGCTAGATCATCGTCACCGAGGAGCGCGCCATGGCCAGCGCGCGCATCTTCTTCGTCGTCGCCAGCGTCGTGCCGCTGACGACGGCAGCGCGCAACCATCGGCCGGCAGCAAAAGCACAGTGACTTGGGCACCAAACTGCTGCGGCAGCACGTTGTCGAGGTATGCGGCGATGCCAAGAAGCACCAACGCCTGGAACAGCAGGCAGCCAGCCGCAGTTCCGACCTCATACTCGTACGTGCTTGACTTGCTGAGCGAGTGTCGCAAGACGCCGCTCAAAGTCATAGGCGCGTCGCGCGAAATCGACTGCGCGATGAGAAAGAGGCAGCGATAGTATGCAAAGAGTGGCCAGACGCCGAGCATGACGACAGACGCACGCTTTGGCGGTGCGTACAGCAAGTTGTTGATGTTCTGGGCAACCGCAACAGATAGCACAATGACGAGATACGAGATGACAACCGCTGGCCGCGACTTGCGGAAGACCACCGCCATGACAAAGGCAAGCCCAATCTGCGCGTGGCCCCAGAGAAAGAGCACCCCGATGTAGATGAGGGGCGGCGTGCGGAGAAAGAACGGAATTTGCCACACGAGCCCGATCCCAATAAACGCCGCACATGAGAGTGTGTGCAGAATGTAGTCATACACGTAGTTGACCGCCCAGTACACTCGCGACGAGAGGCCCATCATGGCCATCAAGCCCCGCAACCGTGACTCCTTCTCATAGAGGGGCGTGTAGACAAAGACCGGCAGGAGAAAAGAGGTGGCAAACGGGAAGAGCAACGACGAGAGAAACGCAACAGCGTCAAAGTCAGCCGAGTCGTCGTACTCGCGCTCGGGGAGTGGCTTGAAGGTGGCAATCAGCCGCGCGTCAGGCGAGAGAGTGAACCGGATGAACGCGTTATGGATCATGTACACGTAGTACGCAAACTTGCGCCCGGCGCGTTCCCACGACGGCACTGCGTCGTTGATGCGAAAAGCGTTGGTGTTGTCCGGATCCACCAAATTCCCGCCCTGGATAGTGTACTCGAGTGCGTTGTCGGTTCCGTTGAGGACATTGTCGAAGATCAGTCCAGCCGGAATGACCCGCTTCTCCTGCGCGAGCTGAAAGAGAAATACCTCGCGCTGTGCAGGCGTACACTGCGCCAAAAACGTGTCTGGCGACGATTCTCCCGAATAGTCGGGACAGCCCTGATGCAACGTCTTGGTCACGTCCTTGATGCTGTACCCGGTGGCGCGCTCAAAGGCCTCAACTCGGTTCGCTTCATCGGCAAACTGGGTCGCGAGCGCGAGATCGGCGGCGTCGGCCGATGCAAACCCGCGTGTGTTCGGCGCCGAGTACTCGACTTGTCCCGACGCGTTGTTGATGTCGGAAAACGGCGCCCAAGCGAGCATTCCATAGCCCGAGCCATCGCGAAAGCGTTCGCCGACCACCGTCGACGACGGTGATGTCGGAATGAGGTTGACCACTGCGGTCGGGCCGCGTGGCGGAAAGGTATACTCTTCCGGTAGCAAGTTGATGATGTTGTTCGGGTCGACTGTCGGCGCTTTGATGAGCGCGTTGATGATCAGCGACATGATGCCGACGAGTGAGACCATGACCACCGGAGTACAGATCTGGCAGATGTTAGTCTTTCGCTGAGCGAGCTGCATGCTTGCATTCTTCCGCACCAGCGCCCGGAACGAGTTGGACGTCCGCGCGCCATGCGCCCGCAATCTGGGTTGTGTCTCTGCCGGCTTTGATGAAGGCGCATGCTTGGGCATCACATCCATCTCCACGTCGTTGCGTGCATGCGATGGCGGCGGGATGCTCGGCACACCCGCGGCTGGACTCGCATCACTCGAGTATGACGATGAGTATGATCCTGAGTTCTGCTTGCCATGGCCCATCTCCTTTGCATGTTCCATGCCAAAGGACGGTGGTGACTCAGACTCGGACTCGGACTCATAGTCGAGCGAGATTGCGCTCTTGTGCGATGGCGGCGGTGGGTGTGATGGCGGCGGTGGGGGCTTGTGATCTTTGAACACGACATCAGAGTCAGCAGAAGACGTCGGACTGTCGGTCGAGTCGCCCGCTTCCGAACTGTCGCCAGTCGTGGGCGGCAAAGGCGGTGGTGCGGTCGCGGGCGTGGTATGTGCATGAGACCCACTTGGTGGAGATGTCGTTGGGGGTAGTGGTGGTGTAGAGCTTGACGAGGACAAAGACGTCGAGAAATCGACTTGGTAGCCCTTGAGGGCCATCTGGGTGGCGTCAAGTCTGTGCCAACTCGCTGGTCATCTCTACGGTCGTCACTGACGAAAGAACAGGCGCGTGCAGTCGAAGAGCGGCGTAACAACACTTCTGGAACTTGTATGAGCTGGATACGTTAGCTACATCTCCACAACTTTGGTATGAATTTGGTAAAGTAGTGATGCTTGTTGATGCTGTTTTTGGCCTACATCCGTGGATAGAATAACTTGAGGGTGGCGACGAGAGTAGACATGGTTGACAGATGGGGTGATCACTGCACTGATGTTCCATGGAACATCATCTTCCTCGATCATCGTTCTCATCGTACACCAAAGCCACATCCAGTCCACTCACCCAACCTACACCATTGCTACTACATACATACCACTTGTACAAGTCTTTACTGCCAGCACACCAAAGACAGGCGAGATCAAGGCGGATCAGTACGACAAAGGCGGTTGCCGAAAAAGGCTGGAAATGGCGAAATGCGGAAAGCGCAGAGTAAGCGAGTGACACGGGCGGAGGGGGGGGAGGATAGGGGACGAGCTGGGAAGAGAGATACATTTGACCCATTACATCCAGAGCTCGTGGGAAGGAGGTGTGGGCGGTGCAGTATGTGCCGAGGTCTGTTTTGGCGGCAGTTGTTTGCTGTTGTGACCAAGAATGTGATTCTTCTTACCAAGCGGCCTCTCTCCACTCTTGTCAAGACCACGGCGCCATTGGTCTTTGTTATCGGACTCTACGCTCTGGCCGTGGGATTGACGGCATCAAAGGGGAGCGGAGTCCTACATCCGGTGGCGCAGGGTTTAGATTTCTCGCTGCCGAGGTGTGTGACAAGATCACCTGCTCCTGGATGCGCTACACTCATCTATGCTCCCAACACCAATCCTGCCCTCAATGCCATCATGGCCGACTTGGCCGTGTCCAACACACCGTCGTTGTCGTTCTCCTCCTCACCAAGGAATGGCTCATATGATGCAGATGTGTGGGGGATGGCCTCAGTGGATGAGGTCTTCGCCTTTGTCATTGATCATCGCAACACAACCAACGCCGTCCTCGTCCTCGACACCGAATATACCTGGGACGGCGACGCCGCCAACGGATTCCAGCGCCGGTTCGTGGCGGCCAACACCTCGCTCGACTTTATTACCCGGTACCAGATCTGGTACAATTCCTCACTCGAGCTGTCCGAAGATCCAACCGAGCGGCGCCAGCAGGAGCAGGAGCAGAGTGGGCGAAGCCGCCCGGAGATCGGGCTGTCGGCGGTGCGGTTGCAGCTGGCGTTTGATCGCGCTCTGCTCAAGTATGGCGTGACGGTGACGCCATCTCCGACGCCGCGAAGCTTCTCGGGTCTCTCTGTCAAGTGGAAGGCGTTCCCGTCGGTTCCAACCGGAGCGAGCCCAGATGAGATCGCGGTGACGGCCGGCACAGTCTTCTTTTACTGCGCCATGATGTTTGGTTTCATTCTCCTTCTAGTTGCGCTGGTGTCCGAGAAGGAGAAGCAGCTGCGGTCAGGCCTTCTCACGATGGGACTGCCATCGTCCGTCTTCTGGATCTCATGGCTAGTGACTGAGCTCGTGCTGGCCGCAATCGGTGCGGTGCTTGTGGTGGGCACGGGATGGGCGCTTGGCTTTGCCTTCTTCCGCACGGTCCCGGTCTCGCTCACCTTTGCGCTCTTTTTCGGCTTTGGAGCAGCGCTCATCCCGTTTGCGTTTGCGCTTTCGACGATGCTGCAGACGACCAAGTCTGCGGTCTTTGCGGGCATTGTGCTCTTTGTCTTTGGTCTCCTCCTCACATCAATCCTGTTTGCGGCGCAGGTGGTGTATCTGCTGTATGACGACTCGGTGCCCAACGTGGTGACGACGCTGCTCTCGGCTTTGCTGCCGCTGTACAACTTTGGTAAGATCTACACCGACATTGCGCCCAAGACCTACTCGACGTTCAACTACGCGACGAACAAGTACGAGACCGGACCGGGCTTCTCGTGGAGTGACATGGGCAAGGAGCCAGAGGCGTATGCCACCAACGACTCTGTGGACGTTGCGCCGCCGATGGTCAACCTCATCATGTTTGGTGTCAACTTTGTGTTCTATCTAGTAGCGACATGGTACTTGGACGAGGTGATGCCGTCAGAGACTGGGATGCGCCTGGGGGTGTGCTTCTGCTGCGCCCCGTCGTACTGGGGCTGCTGCACCGGAGGCAGTCCACGGCGAGAGGCAGCGCTAGAGGACGAGGGTGGGCAAGGCAGGCCGAGCGGGCCGTACTCGAGCGAGTTTGAGGCACAGCGAGCGCAGATGGCGGCCGACGTGGCTGGTGAAACCGCGATGGCGGCGTCGTTCCCGGAGAGTTCCCCCGTGGTAGTCCATGATCTGCACGTCGAGTACGGGGGATCAAGGTTGCTGACCAAGATGCTCTGCTGCTGCTGTACGCTGCTCAGGTGCCGGCGCAATAAGGCATCTTTTGCAGCGGTGCGCGGGTTGTCGCTGCACATGCGCGAGGGTGAGATCCTGGCGCTGCTGGGCCACAACGGAGCCGGCAAGTCGTCGACGATCAAGGCGATGCTCTCGCTCGTGGCACCGAGCCAGGGTTCGATATCTGTGTTTGGTCTCTCAACGCAGAGCCAAGCGGCGCGTGTGCGTGCGGTGACGGGCGTCTGCCCACAGCACGACATCCTGTGGCCGGAGCTTTCTGCGCGGCAGCATCTGCGGCTGTTTGCGCACATCCGTGGCGTGCCGTGGAGCAAAGTTGAGGCGATGGTCGAGGAGAAGCTCGAGGCAGTCCGACTGACCAACGTTGGCTCGCGACCGGCCGGGACGTACTCGGGCGGGATGCGGCGGCGGCTGTCTGTGGCGATTGCAACGATTGGCGACGTGCGGTTTGTGGTGCTGGACGAGCCGACGACCGGCATGGACGTGGTCAACCGGCAGCATGTGTGGCGGATGATCCAGCGGCTGAAGGCTGGGCGGATTGTGCTGGTCACTTCGCACTCGATGCTCGAATGCGACACGCTCGGCGACAAGATTGCCATCATGACTGCAGGGCGACTGTCGTGCGTCGGCGACTCGCTCCACCTCAAGAACGCGTACGGCTCGGGGTACTCGATTGCGATCATTGCGGCGGCGCCCGAGGCCGTGAGCGAGATTACTGAGGCGATGGGCGAGGTAGCGCCGCTTGCAACGGTCGGCTCGGTCCGCGGGCGCAAAGTCAACTTTGCTTTTCAGTCCGAGGCTGCGGTGGCCTCGGTCCCGCACGTCTTTGCCTGGATCGAGACCGTTCCGAATCTCATCTCTGACTGGGGTGTCTCGCAGACGACGCTGGAGGACGTGTTTCTCAATGTGGGCAAGCTTGAGGAGGAGAGCAAGGCTCAACACGAGTGGCAGTAGTAGCACGTGGATGGAAGCCGATGGGCGCGAGAGGTATCGCACAGAATGCCAGCTGGGCTCTCCATCAGAGCATTGAATATAGTTTGCAGCGAGGTGGAGCATGGCGGTGGCAATTCCTTCGCAGCATTCCTTCGCCACTGTTCGGGCCGATTGCGACACAGTGAGTGGTAGGCAGAAATGCAGAGGGGGGACGGGGTGGTGGTGGGAAGCAGGTGAGGAGGTACTTGTCGACCAGTAGAGGAGGAAGATGGCGGCAGGCGAGATGGTGGCGTTTCCGGGAGGGCTGGATGTGAGCAATGAGCTGCCGTGGGCTGTGTTGGTGGCTGGCGAGCATCATTCGATTGTGGGCGAGGGAGGGACCATGGGTGCCCATGTCTCGTTAGCGTACATCGGAAGGGCATACACTACGCTGCGGAAGCTGCTTCCTCGAGATCGAATCGTGGTCATTGCGCAGGCAAAGGAGACGATGGCGTGGTTGAACAAGGCGGCGAGCACGGGCCTGCCACTCTTCTCGCCGTCGATGGACGAGGCGAGATCGGCGTCGCGATGGGCTGAGCGTGAGGCCGATATGGCCGAGGCTGTCGAGATGCTCATGGCAGAGGGAGGCGCAAACTATGACGGACAAGATGTCAATCCGCAGACGGTGTTGAACGTGCTGCGTGGGCTGGAAGGCGGGCGATCGGTCTTGTTTGCCATCTACTCGCACGGATGGTCGCACTACGTGATGGAGAAGGACGATCCGGCACTGAGCACGCTCCTAGCGACGACGCCATGCGATCTGTGTGGGGACGTGCACATGCCCGAGTTGACATACAATCACGAGCACTCATCGACGCTCACACGCGAGTTCTATGCTCACATGCCGTACGCTTCGCCGGACGACGAGGCCTACGGGGCGGTCTCGCACTCGCACATGCCGCATGCGCTCAAGTACTTGTACTTTCAGCAGCTGTTTGAAACGTACGCGGCGCTGATTGCAGACCGGCCGAACCGGCCGATTGTGGCGCTGTACAACTTTTGCGGGTCGGGCGGGATGACTAAGTTCCTCTCGCGGGAGTCGTACCGGCGGTACCACGGAGTCAGCACGTGGCCGCTGTACGGGATGACGTCGTCAGGTGAGATGGAGTCGTCGATTGTGGGCCTCTTTCCGATCTGGTTCGAGCTCCTCGACGCGGCAGCCCGCGAGGCTGCGCTGGCCACAACGACGCTTGCGGATCTGTTCAAGGCGGTGGAGGCGACGTATCTGGAGCGCAATCCGGAGCTTGTGTGGCAGGAGGAGATAATTTCAACACCGTGCATCTCGTGTCTGCAGTTTCAGGGCAAGACACGGTTTAAGCGCCTCTGCTCGCAGTGCTACGTGCAGTACAGCGAGGATCCGAGTCGGTTTGATATGCGGGCGCTCCGGGCACGGGCGCATGGCGCTGGCCAAGTCGATCGCGCGTCGGACGAGGTGTCGTCGATAGCGTACAACCAGCAGATCCACCAGGTTGTGGCCAATCCGACGGTTGCCGACTGCTCTCTGGATGCCTTGTTTGTTCCATGATTGCTGTCGTGATCTGCGGGGGAGTGGATGGGGTGTGGAGAGGCGGAGTTGCGCGACAATGCCCACGATATCTGAATGCAGGCAGTAGATAGGAATACAGATAACGTCATAACCAAAGACTAAAGAGAACAAAGTGATCTAGCCCGTGGCATGTCTCATGTATGTGTGCATGTTGTGTGTGGTGTGTGCGGAGCCAGAACGTGTCCATCAACTGTTTCTCCCTACACTTGTGCCCACGATCTCTGAGCACAGGACGTAGATGGCAAAACAAATCCCATTTTATCTAAGAGAACATACTGATCAATACAACAGTGTGTCTCATGCATGTGTGCATGCTGTGTGTGGTGTGTGCGGAGCCAAAACGTGTTCATCAATTGTTTCTCCTTGCACTTAATCGTTGGTTCATGGCGCCTTCTCCCCCCCTCCCCTCCCTCCTTCCCGCCCAACCGCACCAGGTCTGCCACAACTCACTCTGACCACCATTCCTCGCCCTCTTGTGACTGTGAGGAAGGCACAACATGGGTAGTTCAAGTACGCTCTTTCATCGTGTGCATGGGTGTGTCTGCCACCTTGTGGCATGTGTGGCGTGTGCGGCGCGCGTGTGTGTGCGTGTGTGTGTGTGTGTGTGTGTGTGGTGGGCTTGGCTTGCTGTGGTCGTGGAAGGGTGACTCATGTCAATCATCGGTGGTGATATGGATGGCGTGCTTGTTGGTGGTGGACCGTCTGCTGCTTGTCGTGGTCATGAAAATCATCGCATGTGTCCTCTATGACTTGTTGGTGTCGGCTTGGTGCGGGCGATGGCCCGATGGCGTTCATCGCATCGGTCGCGGTTACCTTCGTTGCATCGGTCGTGGTGGCTGCTGTCGCATCTATGGATATGGCTGCTATCGTAATCGCATCGCTTTGCTCGGTTGCGATGGTTGCTGTCGTCTCATTGGTCGTGGTGGCCGTCGTCTCATCGGTCGTGGTGGCCGTCGTCTCATCGGTCGTGGTGGCCGTCGCTTTGGTGGCGTGATGGGGGCAACAGGCAAGCGCAAACACTCCAAGGATTCGTATCGCGTCGAACCGGGACGGTCCCGGTCCAAGGACTCGTACCGCGTTTCGCGGCGCTCATCTCATCGGCACAGCAGCCACCGCAAGCATGGTGCCAGCGATGGCTCGCTCGTTCACGAGCACGCCCACGTGCGGAAGATCAAGCGCCGCAAGCGGGTCCGGCGGCGGAAGCCACATGCACCGGCGTACGGCACGTACGGTGTCTACGGGACGTATGGCAATGTCGGGAACTACGCCGTTGACGGCTATGATCCCACCTTTGCCGCCGGCGCAGCTGCAGGCAAGCCGCTGCCGCGCAAGCGTAGGCGGAGGGTGCCCAAGTACATCATCGTCTCCGAGTCGGTCTCGAGCGCCTCCTCTTCTGCCTCCTCGTCAGGCTCGTCGGCGTCGGGCTCGTCGTCATCAGGCTCGTCATCGTCGTCGTCGTCCAAGTCGTCGTCGCACCACGCTGCCCGCATCGCCGAGCTGGAGGCTGCCTACGACCAGGTGGCCGACAAACTGGCTGAGGCCCAGGCTGAGGCCGACAACTCCAAGGCCATGAAGAAGCGGATCAAAAAGCTGGAGAAGGAGCTGGCGGCCGCTCGTGACGAGGCCGACTCCGCCAACAAGGCCGCCGAGCGTGCTGCTGCCACTACCAGCAGCTCGGGATCGGCCAAGGCGTCCAAGGGTAAGCGCAAGCGCAAGCGCACAAGCAAGGGCAAGGGTAAGAGAAAGGGTAAGAGAAAGGGCAAGGGCAAGGGCTCGCCGTCGTTTACCTACGAGTACGAGTATTCGTTCTCGTACATGAACGTGCCCGTTGAAGAGCTGGACAATCTCCCGTCCGAGTACGATCTGGCCTCTGTCCAGCTCTCAGACTCTGCCACAGAGCCCGAGTCTGAGTCCGAGGCATCTCCGTCGCCCAAGTCTGAGTCCGAGTCATCTCCGTCGCCCGAGTCCTCTCCGCCAGCCGAGGCATCTCGGTTGGCCGGCTCTGGCTCTGGCTCTGGTTCGGCGTCGTACGAGTGGTCGTCCCACATCGTCCGCCACTATCCGCCTTCTCACAGCGAGGCCAAGGTTCTCTCGGCATCCGACGATGCTCAGGGCGCTGTGCCCGAAAGCTTGTCGGCCGCTAGCCACAACTCATCCGTGTCTGCCGACTCGACACCCTCTCACGCCTCCGCCTCTCACGCCTACGTCACCGACTTTGTGGCCTTTGACACGCGGTCGGCGTCCCGATCGGCATCGCGCGACACAGCCAAGCCCGACGCCGGGTCCTCCTCCTACTCGTCCGCCTCCTCCTCATCCCAACACAACCGCTCGTGGCACGATGCCGAGCTGTACTCGACCGACTTTGAGTACTTTGACGGCAACTCGTCGTACCGAACCGACTTTGTTGACTTTGACACAACAGGCTCAGCGTCTGGCTCAACGACCGACAACTCGGACAAGTCATAACACACTCTTGAACACAAAGGCGTTTGCTTCTATCTTGACATCTACTCCTTCACCTGGACAACATGCTCCTTGACCAGCTCCTCGGTCTCGACCTCGACCTCCTCCCAATCGTCGTCCGGGTTGTAGCCAGCCGGGGCGGCGGAGAGAATGAGGGCGTTGCGGGCGTCGGCCATGGCGGCGGCGTCGGCCTCCATGCGCGTGCACAGGTCGCGGTACTCCTGGAGGAGGGCGTTGCGCTCGGCGCGCTTAGCAGAGTCGAGCGATGACGAGCGGACGGTGTCGATGCGGTCGTACTCGATCGACTTGTGGCGAAGGTTCTTCTTGATCTTCTTGACCTGCGACTTGGAGAGCAGCGACTTGGGCCGCGGGCGCCAGAGGAACTGGTAGAACTTCTCCTTGAGCACACGGCGGAGCTGCTGGCCAGCAAAGTTCCACAGAGTGTACCCGTTCTCGATTGACGACGACCAGGCCGAGATCGAGGTGGCGACGTAGCGGCCGGTCGGGTCCCACTCGACGGTCGTGGCCTTGAGGTGCTCGCAGATGGCCATCTGCTCCGGCGGGTTGACCGACCAGAACTCGAGCTTGCCATTGAGCTCGCGGAGGCCAGCCACCACAATGTGCTTGCCCTGCGGCGACCAGAACAGCTCGTTGGCGGCCTTGCCCTCGGTCGTCTTGATGTGCTCGACCTTGTTCGGCTGGAGGTTGTAGAACGAGACGTCCGGGCGCGGAACGTCGATGTCGGCGCCGTGGATGATGGCAAAGTGGGTGCCAGTCGGCTCCCACGAGAAGCGGATGACTCGCGTGTCGAGCTTGAGCGTCTCCACAGGCACGTCCTTGATGCGGATGCGGAAGAACTCGAGGTTGACAAAGAAAGTCTTACCAGACTTGGAGACACGGTCGACCTTGACGCACAGGTTGTCGCCAGACTTCTGCCAGAACATGTCGATGTTGACGACCTGGACCAGGTTCTTGTGGCGGATCATCTCGCCCGTCCGCGAGTTGACCAGCACCACCCGCGCAGGCTGGTTCTCCACCTCGGGCACCCATGCCGAGAGCAGCGAGTCCGTCGGCGACATGGCAAACGACTTGATGCCCTTGATGTCGATCTTCGACTTGGTCATGTCCGGCATGTTGATGAGGCGGATGCCCGAGCCGTCCGACGCAATGCGCGCAAACGCCGAGTCGTCGCCGGCCCACTGGAAGAGCGGCCACGAGAAGGCCTCCTTGGGGATCTTGGGCGCAGAGGTGTAAAGCCGCTTGCCGGTCAGCACCTCCCACACCATGATCGGCTGCGTGTTCTCCACATCCTGCGGGTCCACAGGCAGCGACGACCACGTGATGAGGTAGTTCTCCTGCGGCGAGAACTGCACGAGCTTGACGCCGCGGTGCGGGAACCGCCGAATCCGCTTCATGTCGCTGCCACCCCACAGCGCCACGCCCACAGGCACCTCGCCGTCCGAATGGAACGTCGCCAGGTACGACCCGAGCGGCGACCACGTGAGGTACGTCTCCGACCAGTTTGTCCGCACGTCGATCGTCTCCGGCTCGCGGTCGCGCTCCGCCCATGCAAGCTGTACCTGGTCCTCGTACTTCATCACAAACTGCTCGCGGCCAAGCGGATCCGTCGTCCACGACCGGAGGTTCTCGTTCATCCCAGGCGGGAGGTTCGCCTCGAGCTCGTCCTCCGTCGGCGGAACGTACTCGTCCGGGTACTCGGCAACACGGTCCAGGTCCGCAAACGAGTACGCGTTGAGCACGTGTTTCTTGTCAAACTTGTACCCGTCGAGCTTGGCCTTGGCAAACGCAGCCTCGTCGTCCGAGATAAACGAGAGCAGCAGATGGCCCGTCGTGTTGCCATCATCGTCCACGCACAGCTCGTAGTCTGTCAGCGGGTTGTATGGTGTGTTGAGCGCCTTCTTCAGTTGCTTCTTGACGTACTGCTCCCCTCACAGCGACCCCGCACACTCTGTGTGAGTCCTCGCCTCTCACCCCGGCCACCCAGGTGGAGCCCAGCTTCCCCAGCCAGCCAGGCTCCCACCCACCCAGCCACATTCTCTGCTCTACTGCCATTCCTGCATCCATCCGCAGCCTGCTCGCGAGGCACAGCCCTCGCCTCTCTCCATGGTAGCGCCATCGTTCCCCCCCCCCCCCCCCCCATCCCTTTGCCAGAACCCGGGATGGAGCCAGCCTCGATCAATCCCAGCGGATCGCACTCGCACGACCTTTTCCTACGAGCGGGGCGAGAAGGGAGGCACAGCGGCGCGGAGAGGGGCGAGAAAAGGGGAGAGACAAGCACAACATGTGGCTGAGGTTGTAGGATGGGAGGGGGGAGTGCTCGTGGACAGGGCAGCCTGGTACGACCGAGTACGTACCTTGTCGAGCTTGGCAAACTTTTTGGCCTTCTCAGCCGGCAGGTTGGTCACCAGCAGCAGGGCGTCCTTGGACTCGTCAAGGACGGGCAGCTCGGGCAGCGGCTCCTCCTCATCCGACTCGGTGTCCTCAAGGTCCTCCCACTCGTTCTTCCGGAGCGTCGACTGGTAGCCACGCGGATCAGCAATGGAAACCATAGGTAGTGGTGTGCAGTCAAGTGGTAGAGGTTGACTGTCCGGGTTTGTGGGCGAGGTGATCGTGATCGTGTTCGTGATCGTGATCGTGATGGTCATCGTCCGCTGGGCCGGCTAGCGGTGTGGCCAGAGAGCCAAAGCATAGCAGCTGGAGCAGACTTGTCGTGGAGCATGGTGGGATGCTGTGGGTTCTGCCGACCTCGGCGGATGCATACACGGCTTGTCAATGCTGTGTATAACAAGTCTGAAGATGGAAGTATGCCGACTAAAGCCGTGAGTAACCTCGTCGACTACGCTGAGGAGTTCCCCAAGAAACTCTCGCCCATCTCCCAAGCCCTACGCAAGCGTGCTGTCAAGGACCTAGCCACAAGCAGAACTCCGTACGTACCCCCCTCCCCGCCTCCTCCCCCTCCTCCCCCCTCTCCCTTCTCCCTTCCTTCCTCCCTCTCATCCCCTTAATCCCTCTCCTCCT